TTTAGTTACTCAGAACAAAGTGTCCATGTAGCACGGGCTATGGTGAGCCCGTAATACCTAGTGCGGTAGTCGGCATCTTTACGCGAGCGCGGAGGACACGGTCAGATACAATGGGGAAGGGGGGGGGAACTGAAGGGGGTGTAGAGGCCTTCTGGGGCGGGGCCAGTGATCTGGGGGAAGGGGGGGGGATGGGAAGAAGGGGGGGCAGAGATGGGGTGGTCACAGGAACGCAGGAGACAAGGGAAAAAAAAGGAAGGGGAGGAAACGATAGGGGGAAAAGTCAAGTATCCAAAGTTTGCTTAGAGTAGGTCATGCCTGCACTTGGTTGTAAAGTAGCCAGTGAGATTGTTGCTTTACTGTGTTCCAATATCAGGGAGGGATGTGAAGGCATTAAGTGGGAGTGGAAGGGTAGCGGTAAGAAGGGTGGGAGAGAGATGGGATAGTCTGTGTGATTGATGGTTTGGCTGTCTTGAGTATTCACTGAGAAGCAATAACCCTTTGGCCACAGACTCCCAACATTTTATTACTTCCTCTACACATATATAGTACTGTACTTCCTCTACACATATTCAGTGAGGCACAGTAATGCCTCACTGTGTTACTATATATTCTTATACTGTGAACCTCACAGCTAAATGGACTGTGGGGTTCAGTTACTAAACCCATTATGTGCCTTTAACTCTTTTCCCCCACCGCGGCAGCCCTGGGAATTGGTATGGGGTGCATAATATATGACCGACTGTCAACTATAGGCCTAAATGCATAGAGGGAGCCGAGGGGCATGATAAGGGGGGCGGGGGACACGAGGGTTACCACCCACACAAGAGCTTGTTCTTGGGGTCTTGTGTGGGTGTCTTACTGACCAACTCACAGCAAGAATACTTTAGATCTGAGCGTGGGAATGTAGATCAAGACTAAATCAAAGTCCAAGTCTTTGCGTAGACGGGGAGGCGGGAAAGAGCCGCCAGTGTACGCATTCCTTGGTCGGGGAGGGAGGACAGGGAGACAGTGGTGGGGGTTTATCCCTAAACCCGAGGCGAGAACCCGTTATACAGATTGGGTGCGGGGCGGAGTCTGCCGTAAAGGCGGTGCGGGAGGAGGGTTCAGTGTTCATCATGGCGTGTACTTGAGCAGGTGTGGCATTACTGTGTATTGGATGGGTTTACAACAGCAGGTGTGTACCGGGTGTGGAGCGCAAGTGGCGAGTGTATGGTGGTGACTGACTAACCTTCACATACCAGAAGGTGATACTTGGTATGAAGCAGCAGGCAAGTGTTGGAACCACCGTACGGGTGTTATACCTTAATATTGCCTCACTCTACGTGTAACCTGTTACGGGATAATTAATACCCCTGCCATATCTTGGCTGGCATAATCTTCATCAATCACCAATGTAACCTGTCACAGTTACAGCCCCGCTCCTGTGCCAGGTTAGTCCGCTACGGTCTCACTATAGCCCGTGCTACTCGGAACTTTTTGTTCCCAGTTCTCTAAAACATCAACACCATGTAACCCGTCACTTCCCGTCAACAATGGTCCTATACCACCCCCCACTCGGCCCTCACACGCTTCTCACTCACTCAGATTCCTCAATATAAAGATAGATTAAATCATGAGCCAGTTCCTATTTATATCCAACCACAAACAACGTCTATCATGTTGCCTGTAACGTGTTCCATAAAACAACAATCCCATGTTAAAGCTCAGTATTTACCCAGGGCTTTTCTGAATCAAACATGGTTCAGTATGTAAACATGGTTCACTATTATAGTGTAGCAATGTTTAGCCCGCTATTTATAGTCCACTTGCTATAACGTTTTCTCCTTTTGTATACGCAGTCATGACTGCCCCTTACTCTTCGTCTCTAGGCTCTCTAAATAAAGTTATAACTTCTTCACACAGGAAGTGCCTAGTGCCCGGGACGAGGCACCTTAGCTGTTTTCTTTCTAAAGCTTTTGGATCACAGGGCATTAATATGGTCTTGTATGGGCCAGTACGCCTTCTCCAGTTTCCTCTGTTCTTATCGTCTTCTGTTCAGGGCGAAGCACTGTCAAAAGCCAGAGCCAGATACGTCATCACTATTCAAATAAAGCAAAAATAAGGAACATAACTAGAGAACATTGTGTGTTGTATAGTGTGCAGAAGACGTATAGTCTGTTGTATGGCGTGTATAGTTGTCTAATGTGTTGTATAGTGTGCAGGAGACGTGTGTGACGTCTGTGGTAATGTGGGCGGTGGTGGTGGTACGCCAGCACCGTGACGTCCCCACCAGTCACGCTTAACGATACTCTCTTAGTTTTATTTGAGATATATATACAAGAGTTGTTACATTCTTGTTAGCGTTTCGGGCAGGTCCCTGGAATACGATCCCCGCCGCGAAGAATCGTTTTTACAACCAAGTACACATTTTACTGTTAAGTTAAACAGAGGCTACAGTTAAAGATTTGCGCCCAGTAAATCCTCCCCGGCCAGGATACGAAACCATGACAAAGCGCTCGCGGAACGCCAGGCGAGTGTCTTACCACTACACCATGGAGACTAGTATTAATATCTGCCATTTTAAACATTGTCTAACTCTCACCTGGTGCTAGGGACATTTATTGTTAATAAGAAACTTACATTTCTTTTAGCATTAGCGCCCAGAGCACCATGCCGGCCAAGGAATCTAAAGTGAAGTAACTACTAATTATTTCTTCAGGAACAGAAAGCCGACGGCTTGTCAATGACCCCCCCCCCTCCCTGTTTTTCCTGAGGACTTTTTACAACTGGATTTTGAGCTGAAGAGTTATAGCATATATCAGCTGGTCAAGGCTGGCATTAATCAGGGAACATTATACAGTATACAAGTTCTACTTAACTAACGTAACCATTTAGGTCATTTCTTATAACCCCCCCCCCTACCCTGCCCCCGCCCGCCCTGCCGACAACCTTACACAGCCACATGATGGGCTCAGTTACGCAAGTTACTGTACTGATGAACTAGATAAGTTCTCACATATATATACTATATACTCATATATATACTATATACTCATATATATACTAGATATACTCATCAACATTCACAGTCCAGTGCCATTCACAGCTAAAATCATAATTAAGAAACTGCTGAAGGGCAAAGGCGAGGGCTCTATATCACAAGTAATTCTGGCGAATCCAACTTTATGAACAGATTACAGAGTAATAAATAAGACTACGTATTATTTTGCAATTAGAGTATTATGGAGGATTAATTAGAGAGGGAGGTGAATACATGGGTGTCCCCTCAACTGGCGCCGCTCCACCCGACCGCTGACGACATGTATAAATTAGCCTCCATACAAACATACAAAAAAGGGACGAAAGAAAAAAACTGGTCTTGGGATGATATAAGCTACATGACCAAGGCTGCCAACAAGGTCACCAGAGCAGGTGGTAGAGGCTGGGTCCGGAGCACCATGCCGCCCAAGGAGTCTAAAGTGAAGTACCTACGAATTATTTCTGAAGCACAAAACTAAGAATACAATGCAGTCCTCAGATGCAATACAGAATAGTGAGAGCAAGGACGCAGAAGTGTCCTTAAGCTACCAAAAATATTTCAGGTAGAGCAATGTAGTGCAACAACGAGGTCTTGAAGGTTGTTTGACCAGTTTGGCTACGAGAAGAAACACGGCATACAAAGAACGCAAGATCTCGCTACGCAGCTGCTATGTATTTATACTATAAAGGGAGAATGTCTGTCTGTCTGTCTGTTCGAGGTTGGAGGCCACACGGTTGGGGCCTCACCCAAATTGACGGAGCATAGTCTGGGGTACGGGATGAACATAGGCTGGTCGGGGTTATCTTGAGGTTATCTTGAGATGATTTCGGGGCTTTTTAGTGTCCCCGCGGCCCGGTCCTCGACCAGGCCTCCACCCCCAGGAAGCAGCCCGTGACAGCTGACTAACACCCAGGTACCTATTTTACTGCTAGGTAACAGGGGCATAGGGTGAAAGAAACTCTGCCCATTGTTTCTCGCCGGCGCCTGGGATCGAACCCAGGACCACAGGATCACAAATCCAGCGTGCTGTCTGCTCGGCTGCCTAAATAAAACAGACGATTCTTCCATATCTTCCAAGGTTTCTTAAGCCACGAGCCTTTATCAGCATAAGGGCTATTCTTTTCTTTTTTTTTTTTAGAATTTCAGAATTTAAGCCACCCAAGAGGTGGCATGGGCATGAATAGCCCGTAACAGGTTATATGTAGAGTGAGCTAAGCTCCACTCTCTGGCAACCACCTACACATTAGACAGTTGTATTTTTATGAGAGACAGAGACAGACAGAGAAAGCCAGTAGATGGATAGTGATGGATGGAAAGACGGATAAATAGATGAATATGTATAGAAGGATGTACAGGTGCATGGATAGAGACAAATAGGTAGATGGACAGATGGATGGATAGAGGATAGATAGATGGATAGAAAGATGAGTAGGTGGATGGATATATAAATCAATATATCAATGGATGGATGAAAAAATGGACAGATAGATGGATACTGATGGATGGGGAGGGAGGGGACATATGGGAGACAGACCTAAGGCAATACCTGTCCAGGTCTGTCTCCCATGTTTGGGTCTTTTAAGTCGTCTCAGCAGGCAATCCCTGCACAATAGAAAAGGTGGCATTCCAATAGGGCTGTACTGAAGAAAATTCCTCATGTATCTCATTTGTTTGTGAGAATGTGTGTACATTTGTGTGTATATATTATATATATATATATATATATATATATATATATATATATATATATATATATATATATATATATATATATATATATATATATATACACACACATATAAAACATACATATATGCACATACATGCATCCCAATAAAAGGAAGAATATGTAATATTTATTCACCTGATTTTGATACACTTGTGTCCATTAAGTAAAACACTTAGTTTGGTGCCCATCTTAAAAACTTAAATTTAAACTAGTTTTTTATTGTCAATTAAATTCTTTATCTTTCTCTTACAGGCTGGTTCAACTAGCTTCACAATTGGTGGTGCCACAATGAGCTCAGGTTCAGGTGGCTCCACTAAATATATGCTACGCGACACCGCACCCACACACAACAACCGTCTGAGCGTCATAAACACTAGCAGAAGCCACAGCGGAAGACTACACTATGCTCGCAGAACACCTACCCCCGAAGCCTCAAGATACGAACCTAACTTTATGTTAGGTTCCCACCCCTCCGAATACCCAGAGTATGACACTTCCTACACAATACGCTCGGCATCGCCAAGAACCTCCCGGAAGCCTGAATCTAGATACATGGTCCGGCCAAAGATTCGTGCAGAAAGTAGACAATACGATCCAAGACTGATACTCCAGCCACCATCACCCGAGCTGCCACAGAGCTTTGGGTCCAGGCACACCAGTGGCAATGAGAGAAAGGAGCTAGAAGCGGGCACACTCTATGACAACTACTGGCACATTCCTCGAGCTTCACTCTGGTGTTCACACAAAGGCTGCGTGTATGATTCACAACCATGTAAAGAGTGTCAGTGGAAGGTAAGACATAGTAACCACTGTGTGTGGTTCTTTACTCTATATAACTACCCTATTTCCCTATCATAACTATCTTTAATCTTTAACATACTGTACTTTAAATGTCTTAAATTGTACTCACTCCACTTTCTCCAAAAATCATCAGCCTTTACCTTTTTCATCCCTAACCATTTTCCTCATAATTATTTTACAAATATTATATTCCGAGTTAAATTCATTCATATATTCGTACACTCGCTCTCACTCTCTCGAGCTCACGAGAACATGCACGTCTTTCTGCACAATATTTTCCATGCAGCCCTTTTCTTCTGAATAACCTCTTGACCTTTTCATTGAACCATGCAGCATCTGCCTTGTATCTTTAAATAAGCTTTTAAGCAACATATGTCTTCCATGGTTTTCAGTCTCATCCCTTATACCCACTTTGAGCTAGTAGTCAATGCAAAGTGTTTACCAAATTTTGAACTAGGGAGAATTAAAGTATGATGAGTGTTGCCCTCCCCACAGTTATGGGGATCACAAAATATAGCTTAGTTGTAATATTAGATACAAAATGGTTATGTGAAATTATCAGGTGTTGTAAAAAGTAACCCGGCATGTGAATAACAAGCTGACACGGAGAAACTAACCCTTTCACCCTGGGAGGGCACTTGTGTGGTCTTTATATGCTGGTTTTGTTTCAATGCCACCTCAGATTTATTAAATACTCCTGCATTTTTAACCCTAGTTTTTGCTTCAATACCATTTCAAAATCATGATGCAGTCTTCTGTACTCTATATGCCATTTATATCACTGAAGGGTTAATAAGATTCTATATAATACTGATATTGAGGTTCTATATAATAACCCACACCCCTAAAAATGTGCCACTTTGTCACGTCTCTCTCAATGGAAGTACAGTAAATTTAATATTAAAACTCTAAATACTGTATGTGAAGAGATTCTGTGTTAAATGTTTGATTACTGGTAGCTGGGTATTTTATGACCCTCAAAAGATACATTATCAGGAGTTAATCAGTCTAATTAAAATGTAAAATGTGACAATGCATAATTTTAATTCTTAGCATTGCTGCCAGTAATTATAATTTGCATAGTATGAAAATAAAAAGTGCAATACATACATACATACTAGTGTAAGCATTATGACTAGAATGAAAAGCATACAAGTAATGAATATTTGTATTTCAGCAGGAGGAAAGCGCATCAACATGCTCATCCATCAACCCCCCACCAACATTTACCGCACTTGACAATTACCGCCCTGTCAGACCACGCCCTAAATGCCACCAGTGTAGCTGTGGGATCATCTTTGCAATCACCACAATTTTTTCACTTCTAGTTCTTTTCCTAATAACAGGTTTCATCCTCTATATTGAAAGTAAGTGAAAACGCCAGTACAATAACATTGCTAATACCTCTCTTGCTATATTACTACTTAAAATATATATAAATTGTAACAATCCCTTACATCTCTGGCCTAACCCCCTTCTTCCCTTTGCCCTTTATAAGCACCAGCTTAGTACATCTGTTAAGACTCGAATAGACTGTTGTAGGTGAAACGTTATTTTGCAAATCAAGTCTAATTTTAACATGATGCTTATTTACATCACTGTCAGTATATACTTTATGCACACTTTGACCATCATAATAATGTATTAGAGATATAACAAATTATCCTCTTGCTGTAATCTATTTTGGTTTTTAATTCGTTACTTCTGCTTCAACTCTTACCTATTAAGTACAGTATATCTGGTGAAGTGAGGATAATTATTTTGTATATTTCCCTATTTACTTGAACAAGAAAATAACCAATTAACAGTTAAGCAATAAAATCATGATATATATATGACCTTATAGTTCAGAATCTGATTTTCTCTGCAAGTACTGTACCTGTACAAGGCAATTATATGCACAATATTTAGAAGTTATTAATATTATTATTATTCAGGGTAAATTGTATTTTTCCTTTGCTTACCCATCATTCTACTGTTATTCTGTTTTAATAAATATCTTACTAATAAGGTCTCTGCATTTCACGATAAAATATTAAATTCATCATAGATAAAATCTGCAAACCATTTCAATGAAATATATCATTATCAAGTCCGAGAGTTAACATTCTTGAAGGTACACCTTCATTAACATATTTACCACAAAGAATAAAATGTTGAAATCATTTAATAAATGGAGTAATTTTTCAACACATGAAATGCAAGACTGTGATACTATATTTCTATATTAATTGAAATCACATATATAAAATATTACCTAGGCATGTTATTAATGATTCAGTCTTTAGTCATATTAATTACCAATATCCTATACAGTATTTATTTAAGCATACTGCTGTAACTGGATCATGTATTAACACTAACTTTTCTTTGATTCCAGTGGTCCTGAAACATCAAACAGCCAATGTTACAGACCGGATGTAAATCAAGAGGTATTTTTCACTTGTCAAAACAGCATATGAAAGTATGAGAGAGGGAGAAGCACTTTATTCATACCAAACAGGTGTCGGTATGAAAGTTATATTGTTCTAATCCCTCTGGTACTTATACCAAAGACTTTCCATCACATTCAACGAGTTCCTTAATATCTGACAGTATCTTCATAGTGCATACCCATAGCTACCAAAAGTTACAACAATAAAGTTACTATTTTCTGTTACTATACTGACTTGTTAGTTCCTAGCAAGCATGTATACTAAGGATGATATTACTATAACTGTTCAACTGAATTCTACGCTGACTAATTAATATTAAGTATGGTTGATTTTTACAAGTTTTTTTTAGAAATTCAGCATTACAAAAGTGTCAGATTACATACATATACAGTACTTAAAACTATTAATTGCCAGCTTTTCCACTATTTAGGAAAGACCATGCCGACTACAATGAACAGCTTTACTCATATTTTAAGGGAATATCTGTACCACTTCATCGTCAGTGATGATAATAAAAGATCAGGGGATTACTAAAATGACCTATAAAATAGGCCTGATGACATAACTCAAAGTAATCAAAGGGGATGCTGCTTCTGACCACAAATCTGGTTAGTAATATTCCTTCAATTTGTAACCTTTAGAGACACAATTCCCGCAGCTCCAGGTCACCAATATGTAAAATTCTTACATTTGTATATTAGTTTGCAACTGAGTTAAAATATATAAATAAATTAAAAAATAAAATAAAAACTCCATATACACATATAGATATACTGTACTTTCTTGGATATTCAGAATTTCCAAATACAGTACTATAATTAAATTCTGATACTGATATCAGTTTCTGAAATTTGGATAGTTACATTTTAGTTTTACATTTCATTCTCTTGTATTCAGGAAAATAAAATACTGTATACAAGGGTGAATGAAGACAAAAATAAATAAATAATGGTCTCAAACTGAATAGTACAGTAGATATTTTTGCCTCAAATTCTTCTAATTACCGTAATAAATATGTATATTAACAAGGTTTATTATTTTATTAGTTGAATAATAGCCAGAAAGTTGCTAAATCTTGTAACTTAAAGATTTACAAGCAAATCCTAAATACAATACTTTAATTAAAAACACATGACATAGGCAAGATTCTTCCCAGATGACTCAAAATAATGTACTGTACATCATATTGCATGAGCTGTTGTCCAAGGGTTAGGCCGAGTGGCAAACCTCTTCAATGTACAGAAAACTAATATGACAACTAAGAAATTAACGTGATACAAAAATATGCATTATGAAAGTGTTAAGAATATCGCAGCTTTTAAACCAGAAGTCCATCCTATACAGTCTAGTAAATATTTACTGAAAAGCCATTATGTTATATCCTAAATTATGAGGGTAGAGTATGCTAAAATATTACCTGGCTTGCAAATTACAAGTCACTATGAAAGTCTAACTTACTTTCAACAAAATATTACAACATATAGTTTAAAATTAATCTGTGGCATTACTCCACTAAATGTGGACCATGACAGTATCTTAATTTTAATTTTGTAAAACAGACTGCTATATTAAGTAACACAATGTTTCATTAAATGTCTCTCATTTATTCCTTTCCATTTAATTTAATCTCATACAAAAAAAAAATATATATATATATTTAGGCAGTTGTCCCTTTGCTTACTGTAAGGTCTCTGGGTATTAGGTCAAAGTGCCAAAACTTTTGTAAATAGCAACAAATCTCTCCAAAAGTCTGATAAACAGCACTCTTAGAGAATTTGCCTCACGTACAATCTTAATCTGGCACTACTCAACATATATCCTGTTACTTCACTTTTTTACTGATTAAAGTTATTGAATTGTATAAATTAGCCCATCTTCAACACATTAGGTTCTAAAAACAAACCTGCATAGGTCTCAAAATATAGAACTCATGAGAAATTCATCATGCACATTAGTTTTATAAAGCTCAAGCCTCTGTACAATCCTTTATGTACTTCACATGAATAGTACATGTACATGTGTGAGAAATTTAGTTTTCCTAGCCAACTTTGGAGGTAACTTTGTGAACTTGGGTTGGTGAGCCACTCAGATATTGTCAGGTAGTTATCTGTGATTATCAGTCATATCAATGACTTATTTAGTGACATGCGTCAACTTTTGTTACTGATGTGTAGTTTAGGACTTGTTAGTCCATGAATCCTTTTTTTAATGGGGTTAAAACTTAAGTAGGCAACTTTTCAATAAATGAAAAAAGTCATAAAATTACAGCACATTATTTCAAGTGGATAAATTCAGATAATGATGATCATGTGGAGGATACACCGAATATAAAATACTACAGTATATAAAATGCCTAGTGATACAGTATTGAATAAACAGCCCGAAAGAAACTACAGTACTTTAGTGTTTAGTGGGTAAAGCATTCTCCCAGGTCCTCTGGCCTTCAAACTAGTGCTTATACTAGGCCAATGCTGTCATCTATTAGCAACAGAACCCCATGTCACGCCAAGCATTAGCTTCAAACTTGCCAAAAATTTGTCCACGAAACTCTCACTCCTCACACCTAATTCTAAGTTTTCTTGGGGAAATACTTACACCCTGTCATAGAATTATCTAGACAATATATGTAAATGTATACTGTACTGTATTACAAAATGGAAACAATTTTTTTGTATTTTTTTATAATACTGTACTTTAATGATATAGCTAGAGAGAGCAAGTCTTTTTCTTTCTAGATATGCAATAAAATTACACAAAAACATATTGCTCTACCCGGCTTTTTGAACCTTTGATGGAATAGAATGGAAAGGGCTAAATCAGAAGTGAATTTGAAATTACAGAGTACAGAGTACAGTATTAATTTCAATACTGCATGTAATTCATTACATTACATGATAGCCTAATGCATACTACCGCACCATGTATTTTGGTCCAAAATATTCTGTCAAGGAATAACATCTTCCCTTGAGCACACTCACCAAGTAATCTGTGATTTCAAATGGTAGGTTCTATCATTTAGATACACTTAGATATGCGGCAGTCACTGTACAATACAATGTATAAATCATACCTATAAGTAGTTTTAAGAGCCTGGCATTCAATTCATTAGCCTTTTCTTGTACCCTATTTATAAAACAAAAAAAGTTAGAAAATAGACAAATTATTTAGCTGGTGCTTTTATATTCATTACTGTACTGACATTTCAGAGCAAGTTTCTACTTAATTGTGCTAGGAAAATGTATTTTCATGTAAAAATATTCATACAATGCCCTATTTTACAAATATCAAATTGTTGAATAATTTCAGACAGAGATAATAATTCCAAAATAAAGTAGTGTACAGCATATGAAGCGTCACAGTCACATTAGGTGGATATACATTCACAATCAACTTGAGAATGGTCCAGGACGAAACAAAACGTCGTCGTTCCTTCACTTTCTAGTGTGTGGTTTGGTCAACACATTAGGTGGACTCTGTGAAAGCTGTGTAGCTCAACTATATCTACCTACCACAGTCTCACTCATTCTAGCGCTTATTATTACTGTGCTGCCTAATGTATAAACATGTATCTGTCAATTTGCTTTTCTGTGAAGAGCATTTGTTATTGTATGACTGTAAATAAATGATAAAAGAACAATGTTATTTTTAATATAAGCCATACATCTGGATAAGCAGAATTCTTACAAGTCCAACAATTACAATATTTGCAATTTTTTGTTCCACAATCATCATAATTCTAATTTCCACACACACTATAAATAAAAAATATAATATGAAACAGAAACTTTTGTTTATTTTGGTGTAGTTCATTTTCTTATTTGAGACTGTAGATCTTGAAAGGTGAAGTTCTTGAAAATTTCCGTAACCTAATCTCCAGTTGTCTGGATTTCTGCCCGGATATGGCGAAGTTTTAGCAGAAAATTATCCAGATGCGATTTTAGCCAAATAACTCAAATATTTGGTACAGAGGACTTCGTAAAACCGAGCTCATACAGTATATGTATACACTGCAATATTACTATTTAATGTTGGACTCAACATAAATTGCAATAAGAATATTACTGTATAAATATACTGTAATTACCCAATTACACAATTATCAAACTTTTTTAATCCTCATACTCTCAATAACCTTCCACCTGGTTTTCTGGAGCAGCCCCCCTTTGGCTTCCTGAAGCTATCTCGCTGAGATGTTTCCTATCTACTAGGACACATCAGCTGTGACATAGGTCTGCAGGCTGCTCCAAGCAACAGCCTGTTGGACCAAGCTCTCACAAGTCAGGCCTGGTCGCGGGCTGGGCTTCAGGAGTAGAAGAGCTCCCAGAACCCCATCAAGCAGGTATAGCTTAACTTCTTATTTTTTATTTGAGGTGTTAATGTAAAGTAGAAAATTGGGAAGCAAACAAGAGGAAAAGAGACGAAGTGGACTCCTGGAAGTGGCTAGCCTGTGGGGTTCTTGGGTGACCTGGGCTTCTATTACGGTGATGAGGTACATCATTATTGTCAAACTTGCATTCCTCAGGGTTCAAAATTATCTACAAGTAATATTTCCTGATGAATTTTTTCCTCTGGTTTAGGTTGACCTCTGATCCTTAAGCTCCCTTTGTCTCAGAGCCAGATTGTGACCTTTTCTTCCAGTAGAGTTGAGTGGGTGTCAGAAGCTTGGTGCGAATCCTTAAGTCTTGGCAGTTCCAGTACAGTAGCATTGAAGAGTTATTAGGAAAGGGAGGGAAGAGGATCCTAGAATATGAGATAGCACAATAACAAGAACTACAGAGTCCTTACCTCAACTTCCTGTAGTGATTGAGTCCAACGATATTTGTCCAAGTCACATCCATTCCCTGCATTTGGTTTAAGTTTTCCTTTAGAATTTTCATCGTCGTCATCTTCCATTTTTTCAACTTTCTCGGGTTCTTTAGTCTTTGTCGATTCCTGTAGAGAATAATATCAGTACAAATGCAGCATTTTTAAAGATACAGAATAAAAATCCCATCAAAGACTGTCACATCCACCATAATTATATTCCTTCCATTTTACCATCAAAGCACAACCTTTTAGCAATCCTAATTTTTATTTCAAAGAAATTAAACAATTTAACAAAAAAAAAAATATTACAATATTTATATTTACCCACACTTATATTGTCTTGAAGCAATTACGAGTTCCCCCCCCCCCCCCTCCTTATTTTTATACCATCTGTAAATTTTCATATGATGATGTTCAATCCTGTCTAAATTGTTTACATGTACAGTAATCAATAAAGGTCCCAGGATAGGACCAGGGTCATTTCACTCAACAGTTTCACAAGAGGACTTGACTACATTTATGCTACCTTTCATTTTCTTAGAACTATCCATGCTCTAATTCAACTTAGATAACTCCAGGACAGCATTTTGGCAGTTAAATTAAAATCCTTGGAAACACTATTTTCTAAGTACGGCAGTCTTCGTTGCTCTCCTACCCAGGACCGTGGTCTACCCAATTCAATGACTGGGATAATGTTCCGGTCACTGGGATCACGCCCAGAGACAGGAACTGGGCACGATCTTACCATGTAACAGGAGGCACCAAGACCATTGTAAAGCATACCTCAATTCACCACAGAAAAACTGTTTGATATGTCACCAAAGAAGATATCAAACCAATCAACACTCATCAAATCATCTGGAATCGGGACTAATCTGGTATGGCTTTGAAAATATGTAGCTAGTAAACTATCCACTACACCTGTCAATGGCTTGTCTGACCTATATCAAAGATGGACTTTGATCTCATTGGAGTCTCTTACCTGCATTAACCCTTAAAGTGTGGTTATCTCAACACATTGATTCACAGGGCAGTGCAGTTATCATACATTGATTTTAACTATTATTGTATGGGTTTTATACCAATGATACTAATATGGCTATACTGTAATAGCAATACTGTATATGGATGTAGTGGAGTTTACATAGACCCATGACAAAATCATGCTACCCACTTTTGTTTCACAATTGCTTGCTAAGCAAGTGTGGTTATCATCACAAATCTTACTCTAGGGGCACAAACACCACAAGACTCACATGAGTCACCATTCCAATAGGCAGCATGGTGGAGGCATGGTGAAGCCTAAACAGAGTTGTCGAAGACTCTTGAACCACCCAAGGTAAGGCACTCCACCCCAGTACCTTTGCCTGGAAATGGTGTGCTCCCAAACATACCAGAGAAGCATCAATTGTCAGTACAGGGATAGTGCTAGCAAGCATCCAGGAAAGAAGACTAAACACATGCAGCTCAAAGCACAAAATGAGACAAGTTCACACTACAAGGCTGACAGAAAATACACACATGAAGCACATACCGAAAGAAAACAATACACAAGCAAATGACCCCCATAGAACCAATTCCAAGGATAGCCGGCACTTAGCTTATTAACACGGGGACCTGCCACTACTGATGGCAACCCAGGAGCACTACAATGGTGTTGAGGATACAGCATCAGTGACAGAACTGACCTGGGAAAGTTGACAGGTGGACCAGGGCTTTTAGCCACCTGGTGGAAATTGTTGGGACTAACAGGTTCAAGCAAGTTTCAAATGTTTCAAGCATTTGTTTGGAATTGTTGGAGGAATGGTTTGATGGTTTTGAGGCTTCAGTGTCCGTGAACCTGACAGTTGCCTGTAATGCTTCCCTGACTTTCTGGATTTTTTCCCAGTGAGGAAGCAAAATGTGCACCTCTGAGGGAGTCGGGTTCTGGATCTGATCCCCAGTAGGCCAAACACGATTTCCACAACCAGTTTGCAGCATTATAAACAGTCTCAGCAAGACAGATTCGAGGGGCCACCAGGAGGACAGGGAACTTACCCAGAAAAGCAATTTATAAATACCGTGGATCAACACTTGATCCAAGTTTCACGTTTATTATATTTTGAAGGATGCTATTGGGATATCAATACTGCATTAATCACAGCAGCATTCCTGAATAAAAATTAAGCTAATTTTAAATGTACTACATTAAAATATTTCCTATTTACGAAATTACCAATATGAAAGTTAAAGAAAACCAACATTTCAGCAGATTTTATGAACCAATAAAGTTGTTGTCCTATCTTGAGGTTATCTTGAGACCACAGGATCCTAACAGAAGGTCCTGTCAATAAATTGACCCCCCTTTCATTTAAATAACAAATAACAATTAAATAACAAACAAATAAATTGTTTGCAGCCTTGCAGGAAAAGTTCAGTACAGTGTACAAAACACAACACTGTACTGACAAAAATATAATATTGTGCCAGTACTATAACCTCAGTATCAATAAAATGCCTAAGTGTCTTACCTCTGATAAACTTTTCTCTAGTTCGTTGGCTTCTTCCTCTGTAAGTTCTTTAATTTTAGGGGCATTGGCCAATTGTCTTTCCTCCAACTCCTTTTTCTTCATCCTCTCTTGCTTTCTCCTTTCAACCTCTTCATATTCAGCCTTTTTTTTATCTTGCTCAGCAAATGCCAAACTTTTATATTTCTTAAATTTATCGATTACCATCTACAAAAAGAAAAAGAAAGGCATTCAGGATTGTGAAAACAGACTCCTGTTACATGTACATATGAACCAGTCATTCACAAATTAGAGTACACATGACTACAATGGATGGAAGCACAAAATGTGAACTCTTGCATAAAGAAGGTTCATGAGTGGTACTACTGTAGTAATATTACTGAGGGTCTAATAAAAAACAAAAAACTTAACACACAGAGATCACACTAACGTGATGCATCAAATGAACAAATCCACAAGGGCCGTGATGAGGATTCGAACCTGCGTCCGGGAGCATCCCAGACACAGGTTCAAATCCTCGTCACGGCCCTTGTGGATTTGTTCATTTAAAAAACTTAACATTTTCTAGGCTTAATATAGTACCACTATATGTTTGTAGTAGTAACAAGCTTTTAAAAACAAGAGCCAAGGGAATGAAACAAATGTCAATTAAAGAGTCTTTTGCAATGGCTTCCAAGAAAGCTTGCATTGTATCACCTGCACCTGACTCATCGCATGTTGACCCAGTTAACCCAACACCATCAACATCCACCACCACCTCTTCCATGTAAATAACTATGCTTCATCAACATCAATCATCAACATAAGCGGATCAGGACTTTAATTATATCTTTAATAAAAGAGAGAGAGAAAAAGAGGAAAAGAGAAAGAGAAAGAAAGAAAGAGAATGGAAGAGAAAGAGAATGGAAGCGAGAAAGAAAGAGAAATGAGGTCAACCCTGCCCCTCTTCCATCTCCACCTCCCCAGTGCCCAGCTAGCCATCTCTCTCTGTATACACCATGAGTGACCCTAATGTATTTTCCACAAGTGCATATACTGTACCATATTTGTTACATAAAAATACAAATAAACTTGTATGCCAAGTTCACTACATGGCAATGAAAAGGCCCACCTTTTCACTGACGTCTTCTGGAGCTCCAGTATAAAAGTCTGTCTTTCTGGCCAAGAAGCTGAAGAAAGTGTCCAGCAACTGAAAATGAAACATTAATTAGCCATACTGTATGTAGTAAAGAAAAATGCAACTACAGTACTTCTTATCCACTGATAAGAAGTAGTTGCATTTCTTAACGCAACTACTTATCGGTCTTGATGTCTTAATATACTGGTCTACTTTCTTTGAGAATATCAATACATAATTCAATACATAATATCAAAGGCAACCTGTTATGAGGAAAAACACTACTGTTTATGCAGTGCTAAAGATGCCGTTCTGTCAGAACCCTAGTCCTGCCTATTAATACTAATGCTATGCAGGTCACTGTCAGGTGTAATATAATTGGCAATCAAGCCTTAAGTGGGATGCTGTGAAGTGGTGTATTAACAAGCGAGTTGCTTATAGTTCTGCACTCAGGTTATGACAGGCTACCTCTGATATCTGTAAAGGGCTATGAAGCTATTTACTGAAAGAAAAAGAAAAAACCCAGTGTTGAATGTAATGAAACACCGGTTTCTGGGCGAGTCCTGCAGGCTCACTGAAGCTATCTCACTGATACAGTGCTACATTATCCTATTTGGAGTCACAGTTTTTGTTCCCTACCAGAGACCAGTGCCAAAACCTGGTCCCCTCAGAGAGCCACAGGGAGCAATGGCCTATGAAAATTTTACATTTAGAGTACTGTATATCATACTTGCCATCAACCAGGGAAGGCACCCAGAAAGGTAGGTGAAACCAAACAGATCACTATCTGGTTGAAAAATGCGACCTACGAGCAAAAGAGCTTCCCATTAAAAAAGCAACACCATTCAACTAGCCCGCCTCGCTCGTTAGCACCCCCCCCTCCACCCCCGTGGGGGAGGTTATCTTGAGATGATTTTTGGGGTTTGGCCTCCCCGCAGCCCGGTCCTCGACCAGCCATCCTTTTTGTTACACACCCCAAGGAAGCAGCCCTTAGCAGCTGTCTAACTCCCAGGTACTTATTTACTGCTAGGGGCATCAGGGTGAAAGAAACTGCCCATTTGTTTCCACCTCCACCAGGGATCGAACCCGGAACCTCACGATTACGAATCCGAAGCGCTGTCCACTCAGCAGTCAGGCCCCTTCTTTCTGACCTCATAGGTGGTGCTATACTGTACCCAATATTGTACCAGAGAATGCATTTAACTGTACAATAAAAAAAAAAATCTAATATATTAAAGATACACTTTTTTATACAGTATTCATTCAAGGTCAAATGTCCCATCATGTGACCTTAATATAAAATATTTAATATCTAATGTAAAGCTTAATTAAAACAATGTCTCCTTAACTTCAAAAGAAGCCCAACATGACTGTTCTACCTAAATAATAATGAAATAATTATTATTTAATTATAATTAAATTAGAAACAAAGTTATGACATTTTTGTTGTTGAGCTTGTAAGCAAAACTGTATTTTTTATCACAATTTCAACCCCACTGTATAAGTATCATGCATCCCTGAAGGCTAAAATTTTGCATATGTAATGTTACTTCATAAACTATAACATCTACCAAATTTCATATAAATCTGAGATGGTCTGGTTGGGAGCCAAGATCATTTGGAATGGGATGATCCTTCAGCAAATGGGTGATTCAAGGGAGTTATAGCCCAATGGGTGAAACAGCCTCCCCTGTTTCCTGTTCTACATTGTTGCTTGTTGAGCTTGGAGTTGTTGCTCCTCATATGCATTACATTTAACCTTTTAAAGAGGTGGTTTGAATTAATATTTCCTAATTTGTTCAGCATTTTAAAAGTTCTCTTAAGTTCAGCCCTGTCATATCTGACCGTTAAGTCTTGAGACCCTCAATCATTCCTTGTCTGAAAGTTGAATAAATACTAGTATAATTTTTGGCACTTTGTTGAATTTTCTTCAAATCAGAGAAGTCCTTTTGAATGACAGGTCTCCATGCTTGGATTCAGTAGTCCAGATAAGGGTGCACAAGAGTCTTCAATAGTTGTATAATTCCTTCTCTTCCTTGAAGTCAAGGCTTCTTAAGATTATTCCCAAGGTTTGGTTGGTTTTTCTTTATTGCAGCTCCTACTTTTTTTTTGTAACTTTCAATGACTAGTGGATTCTATAGGAAATATTCACCATAACTTCCAGAGCTAAATCAGCTCTCTTATCAGGAATGGTTGAGAGCCATATGCCTAACAACACTGCAAACCAGGCATGACAGGATGGATCTCAATGAAACTTAAAAAACTGTAAGTTGGAGGATGTTGATCCTAACAATTTCTTCACAAGATCAGATGTAACAAACAGGGAGCAACGGTTTCAAGCTCAACAAACCTTAATAGAGGACTGAAAACAGATGTTTTTCACCCACAGGATTATAAACCCGTGGAACCGCTTACCCGCCGAAGCCGCAAATGCCGAAACTCTGTTGGGTTTTATAAACCACCTGGAGAGGATCATCAAGGCAAATAGAGGTGATCTTTGACAAGCCGCTGGCTTCCTTTTCTCGTGAAGGCCACTAATGTTAGTGGCTCCTCGAGTAAATTAGGTAATCATAAAATATTACAAAATAAATCTCAATGAGAAGATTTCTGTTTCGGTTTGATTAACAAATTAATGTGCAGGTTACAAATGCATGGTTCTTGGTAAGCTTCTTGGTAAGATATCCTGGCATCATTCACCACAAGTAACAATTGGGAGACTGAATTTATCTGTCATTTCTTATCAAGTACAATTAAAAGAAATTAACCAGTTCTTGGAGAACCAATTGAAATGATATTGTTATTCAAATTCATACATAAAAAGAGCTTAATATTCCGAATAAATAATATAAAAAATTCTCCTTCATTCTGGAGGTAGGAGAGCTGCCCAGGCAGCCATACAGAAAAGGAACATCATAATACAGCGAGAGAGGAGTAGTACAGTCCCTTCAGTTGCTGTTAAACAACTTCCACAATCAAGAAAAAAAAAGTCATGCCTGCCTCACGCTTCAGTTGTAGCCAAGGTTTATAATGGTAAACATAATTCATTGCCAAGTTCCTTCACAATACTGGACTGAAGTCCATCTACACCTGGGGATTTAGTTTCCTTGAATTTCTCTGTGCTCTTCCTGAATATTTTGCATGTAATAAGGATATCTCTCAATTTAATTTCTTTACTTTTCCAGCTTCAAGCACTTGTGTAAGTAATGGGATGTCTATTTTTTTTAGAATGAACACTGATGTGAAGTATTAATTCAATACTGTTTGCCTTTATAACAATTTAGTTGGTCTCATCTTTCAAGGATCCTACTGGGTGTTTTCTCTTGTCTTGGCTTCTTTTAGGCATAGAAAAACTTGAATTTTTTTGTTTTGTTTTAATATTTGGAGCAAATTTTCTTTCACGGTTTCTTCTTTTGGCTGATCTGATTTTTTGGGTAGGTGAAGATGCTTACAGAGGTTGCCCTTAGTTTCCTCTATAACTACTATGTATGGCAATATTATACAATGGAGGCAAGTCATTTTATCAACACTTAACATTATTTTAAACACTGGACATTAAAGGGGAAGACAAGAGTTGTTACTAGTTAATACATTTCCTATGCGAAGCAAGACCTGGAACATTCAGGACCAGCTCGTCTCTCCCTATAAACGATACATTTCAGAGCCGGTCTCTGCTTCACCTTTTGGAACATAGTTACAGCCCCGCTCCTGTGCCAGGTAAGTCCACGGCGGGCTCACCATAGCCCGTGCTACTTACCCTGCTCTTGTGCCAGTAAGTTACGGGCTCACCATAGCCAGTGCTACTAGGAACTTGTTCAGAGTAGCTGAATCTATAACAACAACTGCTTCACTACTCTGCTTACCTCCACCACCCCGCCGGAGTGCTGCTGAGCCATGGCCAGCAGCATGCCGTCAAACCTCTCCTCGCTGTCTGCCATAATTGTGGTGTTATAGAGGAGTGTGCCGCCAGCCCTCGCCCTCCGCTGTCAGCCGCTACAGTAAACAAATCCTCCCACGTGAGTCTCCCTAACATCCCTCAAAACTCGGAATAAAACACAAAGTTCAAGGTTTAATAACTCACTTATATCGTCTTTTAATACCTACTACTCAGCTGTTTGTTTATATATTAAATAAACTAGTATTTTGTATTATATTTACATTTTGCGCAAGTCATCCTTCAACTTCGCCTGGGAAACTAACTACGAGCCTTGGGGAGAATTATTGATAGTTTTTTCTATCTTCTTATTTGCAGTAATCAATAGTCTACATCTGTTCACCTGCATAAATTTTCAAATTGATCAGCTTCATTATGATCATGTTTAAATATTTCGATATTGCGTAATAATGCAACAAAATTCGTTTCTAATGTGTTAGGTTTATGTTGCTATGGACGCGTTGCCAGGGCGCGCGTGCTGTCATGCCGAGAGCGGTCAATGTGACCAGAACCTTCTAGTACAGTCCACAACAGTGTGGTTTATAGGTGGTTTACAGTACAGTGTGGCCACGTATGTGGTACAAAATAATAAAAAAAAATAAAATAAAAAAAAGTACAGTCCAGCACACACGCTGGGTATTTGCTGGCTCCTTAATTGTCTCCAGCTGCGTAACACAAGTTTATCCAAAACAGATTGTTATAGACATCTAGTTTAGTTAACTTATCACTCACCTCATGCACATTCTGTGGGTTGGAGACATTTTCAGAGGGACATAGCTACTGTGGAGAAGGTGCAACACTGGGCAACAAAAGTCATTCCAGAGCTAAGTCATCTCTCGTATCAGGAATGGTTGTAAGGTAGGCCTAACAACACTACAAACTAGCCATGCCAGGGCGGAACTCGTTGAAACTTAGAAATACTGAACAAGTTAGAGGATGTTAATCCGGATATTTTCTTCAGTCCAGATGTAACACAAACGAGCAACGGTTTCAAGCTCAACAAGTCACTATGTAGGACTGAGAACGGGAGATGCTTTTTGACCCACGGGGTTATTAACAAGTCCCCGTGGTGAAGTGGTTGAGATGCTCGTCTGGCGTTTCGCGAGCCCTTTGTCCTGGGTTCGTATCCTGGCCGGGGAGGATTAACTGGGCGCAAATTCTTAACTGTACCCTCTGTTTAACTCAACAGTAAAATGAGTACTTGGTTGTTAAACGAGCGGGGTCGTATTCTACGGAATATAGGATTAAGGACTTGCCCGAAACGCTACGCGTACTAGTGACTGTACAAGAATGTAACAACTCTTGTATACATAAATAAATAAATAATAAAAAACACATGGAACCGCCTATCAGCCGAAGCAGTAACTGTTAAAACTGTGCTTTAAAATATACCTGGAAAAGATGAAGGCAATTAGTGGGACCTTCGGCAAGCCGTTTCTCATTTTCTACCGATAGACTGGTTGTTGCCATGTCCAGACCTGTCCCATTATACTCTTTTTTTTTTTACTGTTGCACTGTCCTCTTATTGCATCTAAACTCAATAGGGGCCAACTCCAAGGCACCCAAATAAGCAGAAAGCCACAAATGCCTGACAAGAGCACACCGTGCCCATAAAGTGACTGTGGTAAACTGGCCTCCTGGTAGTAGCTATAGGGACTGATATGTTTGAGCTAGTGAGCAACCCAATTGTTTTATTTGAATAGTTTGCATATTTGTTTGACAGTTTCGATGCTTCATTTTCTGTAAATCTTGCAACTGTCTGTAAAGCGTCTGACTTTCTGGATGCTTTGCCGGTTGGGTAGTGGACTATCACTCACTCCCTGCGTCTCTGTGAGAAGAGCCAGAGAACTGGTCCCTGATAGACCAAACGTACCTCCTGTGATTGATGTGACCCATTAGAATGCAGTCATCTCAATGATAGCTTAATTGAGCTACCAAGGTGCTCCCCCTAGAAAGTTATTAACAACGTTAGTAAAATGTTACCGGGTATATATTTTTTAAAATTACTTTCCTTCTATTTAAGTTGTATATAATAATTTTATTTATACATTTCATTAATATATTAATTAGATTTTTCACAAAAAGATTTGGATTTTTGTGGTATAATTAATACATTGAATGTGGCTTCATTGGCCTTCAAACATAAAACACTTCCCACTTCTGCTCTAGTACGTTTGTAAATTAATACTTTTACACCAGAATTATAGTTATAACCAAAAATAACTAGGAAGTGTAAACAGAAATATAAACAATCTAAGTGCTGCTGTACGCCCTCAGAGGCCAGCCTGTTTAAGTGAGGTGTTCAGGGAAGGGTCGGAAAGCTTGTGTTAAATGTGACCACCTTCCTTCTATCATAACCAGTGTTGGGAAACAGGTCTAAGTTGTAATTTGGCCATAAATGATCAACTTATGGGAATTAAATAAAACAAAGCACTTTACTATCAGAAATGCACTGTTCTGCAACTCTTCACAGGATCATCCAGTTTTCAGGAAGACTGGAAATCTTGCTTCCTAATTGGCCCTTGGATTAAATCCTTGGTGAATCTGTTACTTGAACATTGTTCATCATATGCATTTTTGCTCTCATATTGGCTATCCTGAGTGATATCTATGAATTTTGTACCCTTCTGTGCCATAGGTGGTTCTAAATAGTGTTAATAGCTTGATGCCTTTTCTTGATAATTACTAACTAGCCTTCTTAGGCAAATATAAGTAGAAACCAGGAACAGTACATTAATCACTTATATAAAAAAAATTTTTTACAGGGAACAATATAGACAAATTAGACAAAACTATATAGGATGAACTGTCAAATGGCGACAAAAAATATTGCAAGGCATGACAAGTTTCCAGAAAAGATAACATTACTTGTTAAACAATTTAAGTGAATGAAACATATCATACCTACTAATCCATATATGATGCAGTACCTGCCAATACTGTAGTGTGAGTGTGTTGACCTTGAGACATGGTTCACAAGTTGACCATCTCACGATTGGCATGAGGATGCTCTATCTGTTCCACTCTTATATTAGATGAAAGTGGGTACTGTTAGAGATTAGCTTTGAAAATTACCATAAATGACTAAGTAACTTATCAAAATAAAGTGCTTTAAATGGCTAATTAGAAATAGACATAAATGCATTTTTTATTTTTTAACCAATTTACAATAAACTTAGTAATATGAGTGTTTGCACGTTTTCACCTTTCTATGTTTAAGTAGTCATACTTCTCTTTATCCTTTTTTTTTTTTTGTCATCATATATTTGTATAAAAGTAAGTGCCATGTATAAATTTTCACACATTCAACTGATCTCACCTAAAAGTTCAATATACATGTAGCAGTATTTTTTTTTAATTTAATTTTACTATTTTTTGTTTTAAATTTCTTTACAGGATTATTTTTATACAGGTATGTTACCTTAACAGTAGTTTAGCAATAAAAATAACTGTCAAAGAATGTACCTGATAAAAATACTTAAATAATTGCCAGATAACTTTTGATTTCATACAATAATGCTTTTCAGATTGTAAAATGATCACCACCTAACTACAATGTCTAAATGACAAAATATTTGTTCTAAACCAAGGTTATTGTACTGGGTACTTATTATCAACAAATACTAAGGCATTGGTAGCTCTCACCTTTCACTTGTGGCTTTATTCTGCTCTTAATAAATTAAAAAAAAATAAATACAAGGACACTACTGGGCTTAACAAAAATGTATTGGCATGTTACTTGAGACTTATCTATACTCTGCATCAGCAAAGAAAAAAATTAAAAGAACAATTGACTGTATACAGTATTTCTTCAGTATGTGTGGGGGGAGGATGGGAGTTTAGGGGTGGTAAATAATTACCATAATTACCAAAAGAAGGAACCAAGCCAGGAAGACTGTAAAGCATTGCTTGTCACTGGAAATTCAAAAGGCACTAAATATCATTCAGGATGCCAATACATGAACAAAAGGGCATAAGGCAAGCGATATGGAAAGTATCTGATTCATCAAAGATTTTTACCAAGGGATAACGAGAGAGCAAGACGTGATGAACCAAAAATTGGGATTTTCTACAAGGTGCATGACTGTAAATGGGACAATGCAGTTTGGACAAAAATGAGCAAGATGTTGCTCCATTGAGTGAGTGTCCAGGCAGGCCTCCTAGCTAATCTAGTCAACTAGGTTCTTGACTACAGCTGCTCGCTGTCCGAATCACAGCCTGGTTTATAAAGTATCTTTTGGAGGTGTTTATGAAGTTCTTTTTTTGAGCACTGTAAGATGTTAATCAAAAACTATTGTCCCTTTTATTTAGTGTGTGAGAGGTGGGGGGGGGGACATCTCGGGGCCTTTGATGTTGATAGAGATCACTCAGCGTAACTATTGTAGCTCTGATTTTCAATGGGGCTAGTTTGCACTTCATACCATTCCTTCTGGTCTCATGTTATTTATGTGTGCAGATCTGAGAACAGTCCCTCTAAAAAAAATTCAGGCATAAATTATTATGCATCTCTCCTGCCTGCACTTCAGGTAATAAAGATTACAAGTCACAATAATTAAGATGTTTCATCGAGTGGATTCTAGCAGTAAAAGATCTTTGCATGTTCTCCAAGTCAGCAATTTCTCCAACTTAGAATGATGATTATTGTGCAACAATATTCCACACTATAGAGTACTAGTGTCACTACATTTTGTGATTCCTGGTTTTTATATTTATGTTTTAATGTAGTGCAGGAGTTGGAACCTAGCTTCATTAAACAACATGTTATTAGCAGAGGATGAGTCACAATAACATGGCTGAAGAGTTGACACCTAACCCACAAAATGAAGAATCGATGACATTTTAGTCTATTCTGGATCAAGTTGTGTAACTGAAAAAGTTTAAGAAAGTTAATTTAAGGTAAGAGCAAGATGAAGATAAGAGAAACATGACGGTAAGAATTAAGAGAATCAGGTAAGTGTAGGAAAGGTTAGACGGGAAGGATAAAGAATAGGAATGGTTTTGTTTTTCATAATTATTTGAATACTCACCAATGTTTTGAATAGATTGTGAGCTAAGGAGGCCTGCTCCTATCATATCTACCTTGAGGAACAAAATGCTTCTTCTAAGAAGGCTTTGATTGGTTTAATTCATTTTCATGTTTGCTCGAATAATCACCAAATGCTTCAATACAGTGGTCTATGGAGACCTGTTTCTAAAGTGTCCACTTTGAGTAACCAAACCTATCCTGTAAGGAGGTTCCCTGTATTAATTAGAAATATTTTGCAATTGATTCAATACATTGTGGCCTACTAGGCCTGTTTTTCCAAATATTTACCTTGAGGACAAACTAGGAAGGTTAGGAACTGTACACATCTAACATAATTTGTAAAACAGCCTAGGGAGGGTTAAGAGTGGTTTAATAGGTTCCCTGCTTCTCTTCTATATTTAAGAAAGAAAACAGACATAAAAAAAGTAATGATACAGGCATTTAAAAAAGGGCATAAAAGACTACCCTGGTACAGGCAAGATAGGCCCTTCTTATTCCCTCTTTCCTCGCTTCCTGATCATCAGGCAAGGTTCATAGCCAGTTCTCTCTCTCCTGCACAATGACACAAGTTGTAGTCTTTCATCCCTCTGATATCCAGAAAACAACCAATAAGTACATGAACCCAACACACTATATGAAGTCTTCGATTTCCCTCATTATCATGTCTTCAAATATCAGAAAAGATCCACAAACTATATCTTTTATACCTTTAAATTGTCTGTCTCTTCCATTCCTTTTCAATTACACGACTTTATAATGGTCCAGGACAGATCATTAAATGACCTGATGTACATCATTTTGGAAGTTTGCTGTAATAAGGTAATTTCAATATGGCTGGAACCCAATTTCTGGCAGATATGAAAGTCAAAATTTGACTTTCATATCTGCAAGAGATAAGAAACAACCAGTGCTGAATTTTAACCACTTCATGATGCATATGTGTGTATTAGGAAAGTTGTGTGTGTATATGTGAAGAAATTGGTAGGGAGAGCTGCATGTAATTACCCAAGTGTAGTTACAGGATGAGAGCTATGCTTGTGGTATCCCATCTTCCCAGTGCTGTCATATATGACTTAGAAACTACCAACAGTTTTGGCATCCACCACCACCTAACTTAACTTGTTAAAACCACTGTTTGTAAAAATTTACTTCCTAATTTGATCATATTTATTTTATTATACTTTCTCCTATTCCACATTTCATATTGTTGCATTTATTCACATTAAATTCCATCTGCCAAGTGTTGCTCCATTTACTTATTTTGTCCAGGTCAGCTTGAAGGATATGACAATCAGTGTTTGACTACTACTCTAGTCAATGATGCAGATATATCTGCATATATCTATATCCATATATCTGCTAAGATTTCTGTAAATAAAAATGCCTGAAAAATCAATTAAAGTGGAATGCTCAGCTCGTAGGCGCTATATAGTCGTAATGGTTTAGTGCTTTCTCCCGATAACTACCTTGCCTTTCTCTCAGAAGCCAAGGTGAAATGTGAGTGTGTGTGGTGCAAGAGTTGGTGGATGTTAGGAGGGAGCCAGATCAAAGTTATCTCTGCAGGAGTGCAAGATGAGAATGTTGTGTGTGTTACATCATAATAGTGTACACAATGCAAGATGAGAATGCCATGTGTTATATCATAATAGTGTGCACAATTTAAATTATTAGTCACTAGATGAGGACTGCATTATGGCAGAAACATACAGTATAAATGCACATTATATAAGGGATCATTGTATATATAATTTAATTCTGATAATTACTAAACATTTAAATGATATAATAGTTTAAATCAAATTAAAAAATCAGTGTTATAAGATGTTATATGATCCATCATGAAAAAAGTTGAAAAATATATTGAATACAACTGGGCTTCTCTCCCTGCTACCAAGATCTTTCCATTTATTCTTGATATCATTATATCCTTCCTTTATTCTTGATATCATTATATCCTTGTGTAAGCAAAGGGTGCATAGCATTTAAATTTGCAATACCATAGTAACACGAAGAAATGTTAAATGTATCAATGCGTGTAAGGTCAACGATACGTTAGGTTTCATGACTGACCACAGGGAACCTTGCATGTGCTCTGACAAAGAAGTAGGGAATATTTTGTAGAAATGAGAAGAAGAAATTTAAGTCCAATATCACTTTTCCTCCAGTCAGTATTTACAGGAATAATAATCAATTATAAGGTACATCTTTACCAATAGGTAACAAAAGCACAATAAATACAAATGTTAACAAATTTGTAATATCATGGGGTCACAGCAAAAAACAAGGCAAATATTAACACACATATGTACTGGGTGTGCAGTGAACAAAATCTTATGCATTGGATTTGATAATTAACCACAGTACTAGAGCTAAAACAAATAAGCTTGTGTCCCACTATAATAACTCTTAAATCAGAGTCCAATGGAATTAGCATGAAACCAGATTCTGGTCAACTTCATCTGCTACACAAAGTAACAGCTACTTCCTTCACACATATCCATACATCTAATACTTGCTATAACTGAAGCATCCTCCTCGTTTACATCAAGGCTTGCCATGAGCCTCCTCGCTTACATCAAGGCTTGCCATGAGCCTCCTCGTTTACATCAAGGCTTGCCATGAGCCTCCTCGCTTACATCAAGGCTTGCCACGAGCCTCCTCGCTTACATCAAGGCTTGCCATGAGCCTCCTCGTTTACATCAAGGCTTGCCATGAGCCTCCTCGCTTACATCAAGGCTTGCCATGAGCCTCCTCATTTACATCAAGGCTTGCCATGAGCCTCCTCGCTTACATCAAGGCTTGCCATGAGCCTCCTCGTTTACATCAAGGCTTGCCATGAGCCTCCTCGCTTACATCAAGGCTTGCCATGAGCCTCCTCATTTACATCAAGGCTTGCTACGAGCCTCCTCGTTTACATCAAGGCTTGCCATGAGCCTCCTCGCTTACATCAAGGCTTGCCACGAGCCTCCTCGCTTACATCAAGGCTTGCCATGAGCCTAACACATGCACACCACAACCTTTTCCCACTTATCTAATGCACTCTGGCTATTTAATTAGGAATTTACAAAAAGTGCAACCCATTTAATATATACAACATTGTTTGCATGTCATGTAATAATGTCTTATTACAATGATGGCTTTATTTTTGTAAAGATAAAGGTCAGAATATATGTCAAATGTCCCAAAATAAATTAACTGTGTCTTAAGACGAAGAATCTTAAATCAAAATTTAAACATGGATAAAAATAGTTTTCCTCGGTAATTATGGTGTTATTTAAAGTGTTTAAGCCTTAATATTCATCAAATGCATACTTTTGCTTTCTATTTCCAATTCAAAAATTCTAATTTTTTATCAAATACTGTATATAAATTATAATGTTTTAAGACATGATACTGCTGATGTCACAAGCTTCTCTAGCCAATGAATAACAAGGCCAGAAGCTGCCAATACCAAAATAACGTGTAAATATTTACTAACAAAAAGAGCCAGTCACTTCATGGTTTAATTCAATATTTGGCACAATTATGTCTTAGTTCTAATGTCCAATTATTAAGTATATGTTCTTTCCATTATTAGTTCAAGAGTTCTATGTACACTTTCAAAATATTGTTAAAACAATTCTCTCTCTCTCGCTTCCCCCCCCCCCCCCCCTCCCAAAGAGAGCATAGAATGCTGTTACACATCAATTTAAATTTATATGCCCAACATTAATTACAAAAAAGAGAGAGTATCAGTTAAATAAATATTTTTTTAATCCCTGGCTTGAAAATTTTTAAATACTACTGTACTGTGAAACAATATTTTCAAAGTTGTTTAAAATATAATATACAAAATATTATTCAAAATGTATCTGTCTTTGATTTGTTATATATTCTGTAAATTTTGTATTGTGTAAATGGAAATGAGCCCCTATTCATCATCACTAGCAATTAGACTATAATATTGATCATTATCTACTTCAACTGACATTGGTCCTGTTTTTCTCTTGCTTGACAATTTTGAGCGTAAATCAAGCCTACTCCTGATACTTTGACTTCTTGGGGCACTAATATACGACAATCTGTCTTGAACTCCACCAGCCGATCGAGTTCTACTTCCAGAAAGACGATGCGAAAGAGCCCCAGATTTTTGCTGTTTCTTTTTCTTTTGTTCGGCATCAGCATACATCTTCATTCGGGGAATCTGGAATTTTGTTTAAGCTTTGTTTTAACAAATTAACATAACCTAATTTAATACTAATCATTAAAACCCATAGAAAAACCCAGTGTTGAATATAATGAAATGCCAATTTCTGTGTGAGTCCCAGTGTCTCCCTGAAGCTACAATGCTGATATAGTGCCAAATTACTAGGTGCCATCAGTTGCAGAATTCTTTTAGGCCTACCAGTTCCACAGAGAGCAGTGGCACTATGATAAACAGTGAATTTTAATCATGTCCTCCACCACCAGAGAAGCATCCACAAAGTCAGCGAAATAAAACAGACCACTGATGGTTATAACAAAATTATGACTTCAAAATTGCTAAAAGAACTCCCTGAAATGTAAACAAACGGTCAAAAAATCATGAAACTAGTGCTAGCTCATTCCCCCCCTCCTGAGGGAGGTGGACCGGATCAGCTGGCTGCTCCACCCTCAGTTCTATAATGATGGGAAAAGCCACCCCTGACTCCCAAGGGGAGGGAGGGGGGTGGCTTTGCACTTTTTATTTCTAATTCAAAAAATCTAAATTATTATCAAATACTGTATATAAATTATAATGTTCTAAGACATGATACTGCTGATGTCACAAGCTTCTCTAGCCAATGAACAACAAGGCCAGAAGGAAGGCCAAGAAGCCACAATTCACTCCCAACACCAGGGAAGACCAAAAGCCAAAAAGAAGCGAACTTACCCAGATCAAGGACCACCACAAGCAAGGAAGCCCTCTAAAGAAGTGAATTTCAAACACCAAAGGGAAGAGAACCCTGACAGCACAAGGGCAGCACTAAGGAGTACACAGGTGTTTACTAGTTGTGTTTTTGCGGGGGTTGAGCTTTGCTCTTTCGGCCCGCCTCTCAACTGTCAATCAACTGTTTACTAACTACTTTTTTTTTTTTCTCTCCACACCACACACACACACCCCAGGAAGCAGCCCGTGACAGCTGACTAACTCCCAGGTACCTATTTACTGCTAGGTAACAGGGGCACTTAGGGTGAAAGAAACTTTGCCCATTTATTTCTGCCTCGTGCGGGAATCGAACCCGCGCCACAGAATTACGAGTCCTGCGCGCTATCCACCAGGCTACGAGGCCCCCTAGGAAAGGTGAGGAAAACCCTGTGCACATGCAGCTCCAAACAGTCTGAACTTTGCCTGCATCATTTTTTCCTAGGCAGAGTTTGGCTTTGGCAGCAGTTTGGTATCTCTAGTGCAGCCCCTTTCACTGCCACCACGATTGTTGGGCTAGGGCCACATTGGCCCTTTACTGGCCACCTCTTCTGGTATTTTTTGAGGATAGGTTCCCTGGTGTCTACCTCTGCTATACTGTTTCCTCAGTATCACCCCACTCTCACCGTTAAGAACAAGGCAGAAAATGAAAAAGACTGACAGTGAGAGGGAAAAGGAGGTACATATACAACACAACAGGACTATGCATTGAGACCACTGACCCCAAGCATTGATCACCTAATGAGAGTGCCAAAAGCCACACCCCTGAACAATAGAAACTGAGCAGGGTCAACTGAACTGCATGCCAGATTGCAGGAAACAATTGTGCCCTGTGTTGTGTGTGTAAATAATATTACTAATCACAATTATTATTAGGCTAACAATTATAAATATACTATTCCTGTACATTAAATAACTGATAAATGAACACAAATAGTGATGAGCTCTGGCTAACTTGTATAGATGATGGCCTGTCAGTTAAGCAGCAGTGACACATTTACTATGTTTCATTTGCTTCCACTCTATCCTTTAAGAGATAAGACATGGGAGGTAAATTGGTAACCGTACTCAGATAAAAACCTCACCACATAAATGAGGTAATTAAGACCCACGTTCAGGGGTCTTAATTACTGGACTAATGAAAGTTCAGTTAACAAAATTTGTATTTTACAGATCTTTTCATCAATAGAAATATATATTATAAACAAAGACAAACCTTAATTTTGCTCTTCCATGGCACAATATCATCACTGTCATCACTGCCACGGTAGTCATCATTACTTCCATGCCGCACATCGTCAATATCCTCACCGTCGACCATGTCTTCGTCCTCACAGTCACTATAAGTTCTCTTTCTCTTCACACCAGGTACTGCAAATTTCATCTTGGTTACACAAGACAAATACTTTTATAAAGCTATTTGCATTTTAATGCATAAAGATATCACATTAAATACACAAAATCTTTCCTATATGATAAGGTGACATAGCACAGACCACCAAGTTTTCTTTAAAAAACAAAAAACAAAAAAAAATAACAGTAGGAAAAAGTTGCCAAATAAGGACATCTCAGTCATCCACATAAGTGCTGACAATGTAGAAGTAAAGATGTGATACTTAAGACATGGACTTTGTTGGGTACACATTTTTCCCATGTAAGTAATTTTTGTTTTATGCATGGAAATCACCTGTCACAGAGGCTAAAATTCAACAATGTTTTCAACTCTCCTGCTTCCATTAAATGCATTTTCCCTATAGAAAATGCCGTTGAATTACAACAGCCTGCTACAAGTAACATTTCCCACAACCACTGACATGGTGTGGGCAACTGAATGAGTATTGTCACATTCTTGTCTAGGATAGATAGCCTTGACAGTCCATGGGGCTCACATCACCAATAAAGAACAAATGCTCATATGCAAGTCAAGCCATTAATCAGAATTTCATCCAATCTATTATTTATATTTGCACTTTATAGAAAGGGATAAAGTAATCACAAAAATTTTCTTATATGAAGAATTCCTTACCTTATAATGTTAAAGGGTTGCCAGCACTGAAATGTGTATATACAATGATGATCTTTGTCTCTACATTTTTAAATTAAACTGCTTGTACTGCCAATTAATCTGCTTGCTGAGGCCAATTTCTGTTTTGCACAATCCCATAATTTTCCTACACATTTCAAATAAGCAAACCAACAAAGCCACCATGCAACCCATTGCAGCAAATTATTATTATTTTGTAAGGCTTAGTTTCAAGCCTTCCAAAACAGATTTATATAGACATCTAATTATTATTTCATTCAAATAACCTATAAGAGAATGATTCATTTTCAATACAAATTTACAAACATATGTATATTTAAGGCTACATTAACGTATTTCGCTGATTGACGTATTTTACCTATTTGATAAGATGTTTAAGGAAATTAATGATTTTTCAAGAATTATTAACAGTCTTTCTCTCCAGAATTTATTGCAATATATACCTCGTTTTTGATGTTGCCGAAGCAGAGCTTGATAATCAAATCGGTCGTCCTCCTGACTCTCTTTCCGTCCCCAGTTTAATGCAAGTGCTCCCCAAGGGTTCTTAGGACCTTCCTCAATTTTATTTTCAGTTCTTTCATATCTCCAGCCTTCGTCAAGCTCTCTTCTTCGTCTTGCATCACGCATCCGTTTTCTGCCACTTTCACTTAGGAGTCCTTTAATGCCTGAAAGAACAAAAAAAAAAAAAAGTAAGCCATATGTAACAACAGCTATTTCCTTAAAACTCTAGCAGGTTTTATACATGGTGATGTAGTTGTCTTTTGGTTCTACATGGAAAATATTAAACCAGATATACAGTACTGTATTTGTTAGTGGGAATTTAACTGTTCTTTCAACACAGCCAATGAAAAATTCAACTATAAAACAGCAAGTAAAGTGAATGGTGTGCAGCTTCATCTTCTCTTAGTATTTTGTGATTACAGTATACACCATTTTACTCATTAATTAAAGTCCAAAGCATTTGGACTTATACTAAGGAAAGATTGCCATATGTAAGAACATATCTGAAGAAGACAGAGCACCAGTTAGACATTTGCAGGTCAAGCAGAGAACACCAGTATTTTGACCTGCACTTACAACACCACTCAAATGGACCAATACATACCACACACTATTCGTTTAAGTGAAAAATATGAGTTTGTAGAGTGAAATAATGGCAATAATTATGATGTATGCAACTTTTAAGAAAATGTTGCTACAGTAATTATATATTCATTCAATCAAGTAAGATGCATGTGTACACACCAACACCAAAATTGTTATAAAAAGTTAATTTGTTAACATTTTGCTGATTCTTTAAGGGTATGAGCCTCTTGGATGCTACCTGAGACAGAGCCATTATAATCCACTCAAGATTCATATACTCTACTGTACCTTCCTAAACTCTCATTGACCTTGTCCCTATTCTGTCAAGGCTCTTAGCAAAATGTCTTATCTAGGAAATTAGGAAAGACTGTGATGAGTAACTCATGTCACCACTGAGAAATTAACTCATTAAATAAAAAAAAAGCAGTACTGAATGTAAGGAAACGTCAATTTCTGAGCCCCGGTTGCTGCCTAAAGCTATTTTCACTGATAATGTGAAAAACTATTAGGTGCCATCAGCCATGGAGGAAAGGCCTACTGAGGACCACAACACAGAACCTGGCCCTCTCACAGATGCACAGGAAGCAGTGGCACTTATGATAAGATTATTATGAATCTATTCATGTCTGCCACCACCATGGAAGCACCCAAAACGTCTGAACCAAAATAGACCACTGCTGGTTATAAGTGAGACTGCAGCCAAAAAAAAATGGCCAAAAGAACTCTCCAACAATGTAAACAATAAACAATTCACGAAATTAGTGCGAGCTCGTTCTCCCCAACTCCCCCTTGTTTGGGGGGAGGAAGGAGGTAGTCTGGGGGTCAGCCAGTTGATCTATCCTGAATTTTAGATGATGGAAACACCCCCGATGCCCTGGGGAAGGAGAAGATGTCAGGGAACCATCAGGGGCTCATCCAGAAATTGGTAATTCATTACATTCAATACTGGTTTTCTGGGGTAGGGGAGCCCTTGTTGCTCCCTGATACTAACCATCTACAGAGAAGAATACAAACAGGCACTTACCAAGGAGGAGGGACCACGGTAGGTAACACTACGAGCTCAAGACATTTGGCCACAACAAAGGCCCCAAAGCCACACAAGGGTGCCAAAGACCAAGAACATTTATAAGATAACTGGCCACCAGAATCCTGTTCGACTGCCAAGACCCCCATGCCCGAATATCAGCCCAGGACATACTATAAAAGACAGCTGACAAAGCAGCACACTCATGAAGATCCTGGGCATGAGGGCAGACTGCTGGCTAGCTAGACTTGCAATCTGTTCTCTTATAAATATCGTTGCTTTTTAGCTCATATGCACTACAACCAAAAATTGCCGTAATCCAAAATGGAAATTTATTTTCCAAATGTAAACATTTGTTTACACTCACTTGGGCCAGTCCAGCCAAAAGGCATCTATTGTGAGGCCTCGTGATCGAGAAACAATGCTGTGTACTGAACAAGGTGCCAAGACCACTCTGATGAGAAGAGGTCCACGTCCAGGCACCCAAATGTCCCACAAAGCCAGAGGAAGAAAGCGTCATCGATGGTCCACTTCATGGAGACAGGAAGGAAGTGGGGCAGCACTAGGGAGTGCAGAGGAAAGATAACCATGAGCACATGCAATTTCAACTGCTCTTAACACCTGGCTCACACTACATCACAGTACACAGGAACAGCCAAAAATCCACCTTACCACTTAGTTCAAGCAAAACATCAGAGCCAGAGAAAGGAGACCTGCACATCACTACCATATGAAAATAGAACTGAGGGTGGAGCAGCTGGCTGACCCCTGGCTACCTCACTCCTCCCTTTAAATGAGGTGAAAGGTGGGTCAAAAGAGCTGGTGCTAGTTTAATAATTATTTTACTGCCTGTTTACAGAGCTCAGGGAGTTCTTCAGCAGTTCTTGAGTCTGTGGTCTTGATTTAAGCCAGCAGTGGTTTGATTGTCTTACTGACTTTCTGGGTGTCTTTCCTGGCGGTGGCATAAACAAATAACTTGATAAATAAATGTCACCGCACCCTATGCCTCTGTGAGAGGGCCAGATTCTGGATCTTGGTCGCTGCTAAGCCAATAAAACTCTGCGACTGAGTTCTTAAAGTTCTTCTTAGTTCTTAAAGCTGCCAGTAGAGTGCTCCAAATCTAAACATTTCCAAAGAGGTACTGAATATATTCCTGAATTGTTGACAGACACCAATTCTGAAGCAATTTTAATTCACAATTTTTTTTAGATATTACCATAAACTAAAATTTCTATGTAAAGAATCCCCAGATTGAGAGTAGACTTTATTCAGAGATATCACTTCACCCTTAAATGAGAAATGTTTCAAGATCTGCAAAATAAGGTCTACTCTCAAGTTTGCATTTAAATACTTCATTGTCATCTATGTGCAGTGGTAACCCTATATTTTCTATAAGAAAAACAACAAATGTAATTGGTTCTGAAAAGATACCAAGTGATATAAAAATGTTAACATTGTATGACATTATTCAAAGATATATGAATGACATTTTGAGTGTTTAATGATACCATTTTCTAATGCAGTTTTTGAGAGGAAACCAATACCTTGATAAAACTATCAAATATAATTTTTGTCATTCACCTGTTATATGACCCGGTCGTGCCAGAGGTAAAATGGAAAGATGAAGTTGGTTGGATTCCTGGCTGTTCCGCTCACAAGTACGCACTGTAAAAGTTTTAAGGCACACACCAAAGATAATGTTAAGGTTCCATACATGAGCATTTTCACAGCAATGTACCATTTTTGAGCAACTGTGGCAGAATTTTACGGAAGAATGTTTAAGTACAGTAAACACATGTTTATTTGAAATAATTGGGACCAAACCACTGGCGAATTAAGCAGGTATGTTATATTTTTTTTTATTGGTTCTAAAAAATTAGGCTTTATTTACACAAATGATAGAACTTGTACAGTAGGCCCTCACCTTTTGCAAATTCAGATAGTATGGAACTCACAACACGAGTTGGGCACTTATAATTCCTAACTTCGATAATTCCAGTGTTTCACTTATTATGAGATGTGCAGGGTTCTTGTGTATTTTATACTACTGTATTTTTGTATCACATTCTTGTTTCATGGCACTTTCCAAATATTATGCAACACCTGTTGAGCCTCAAGATGCTCCCATGAAGAAATAATGTGGACTTCCATCTATGTCCTGCATTTGAATCTGTGAAGTGGTGGGAGTATTTAGTAATAATGCTCAGAGAATTTTTGATTGAATGGGAAATTTGGAGTTTGGTATATCTTTTATAGCTCATTCTCTTTTGTTAGCTTTTGTCTTGAGCAAATTCTTTTATGAAGAACTTTTTCAGAATGCAGCCACCATGCACAATGAGAGCTTAGTATCTTTGCACGTACAGTGGTCACTCAAAAATATTAGTCTTGGGGCTTCAGATCTCAAGATGATCAAGGCAAAATCTAATCTGGTCAATAATTTCAAGCAGTACAGATGATGACTGCAATACGGAGGGGTTGACTGAGTATCATGCAAATGTCATCGACCTATCAGGACTGAGCCTAATGTAAAAAAACTAGCGTTGAATGTAATGAAACACCATTTTCTAGGTGAGCCCCAGTGGCTCTCTGAAGTATACTGTAGTATACTACAGTATACTGATGAAGTGCCAGACTACAAGGCGCCATCAGTCACAGAGTTTTTATTGGCATAACGGAGACCATGAGCCATAACCTGCCTCCCTCAGAGGCACAGGGAGCAGTGGCACTATGAAAAGTTTTATGTAAAGTTCTTCATGTCTGCCACTGCCAAGGGAAGGCACCTAGAAAGCCAGTGAAACAAAACAGACCACTGCAGACGATGAGTCAATAACGTGACTGAAGGTATGATGACCAAACCACACACCAAAAGATGGAGAGACAAGAACATTTCAGTCTATAGTGGACCATTATCAAGTTGATTGGTAATGACCAGGGGGGTTAGTTGGGTGAAGTTTTGCTAGTTTGTTTGCTTTCTAGGGGTGTTCTTTTACTCTTTTGAGGACGTAGGCTGCAATTTTCAACCAGGCAGTGGTCTGTTTTGTTTCACCTACCTTTCTGGGTGTTTTCCCTGGTCGATGACAAGCAAGATATACTTTAAATGTAAAGTGTTCATAGGCCATTGCTCAGTGCGCCTCTCTGAGGGGGCCAGGTTCTGGCACATGGTCTGCGGTAAGCAACAAACAACTCTGCGACTGATGACACTTAAGTCAGTGCCAGTGCAGTCTGGCACTTGTTCAGTAAGATAGCTTCAGGGAGCCAATAGGGCTCCCCACAGAAAAGGATTGATGCCTCCACTACCACACATAATACTGACAGTGACTTGTCTCTCTCTCTCACTGCAAATGAGTAAATCATTATATATACCTGGCTCTTCTGTGTTTCTAGCTTCTACTTGTACCCCCTTTTCTGCTGTCCCTTACCCAGATATGATTGTCTCTAACCACTTTGAGTATTCTTCATATGTTGTTATTTAGTTTTCTTGATCTGTCCTCATTGCCAATCTCACTTATTTTGATACATGTCTCATGCCACATACAGTATTTGGATGAAATAATTGTGTGAACAATATACAGAATGTGCTTAGGAACAAGGCTGGGTGAAAGCAGTTTGTAAAGGAGTGAATATATTGTACACCTGGTTTTATGAAGCAGCACAGTGCTGCGGAAGACACTATTTTAATGTGAACGTGCTTGTTTATTAATGATATTAAATAGTGTGAATGGTGTAATAAACTGATATCTTTATATTTTAATATTACTGAACCATACAGAGAAAGTGAAGGAATGATACATGCTGATATAAACAGACAAACTTATGGATGCAGACTATATCTTATGGTCCTACCTCCAAAGTTAGGATTGCCATACTTGCGGTAATATTCTGACTTTCTCTCGGCACCACCCTCTTTTATATCTTTATAACTTGAGAAGCGCAAAAGTAGTGCTTTAGTACGTGAACACGGAACTCCTAGTCTCCAGCGTCCTGGAGGTACTGGGATGGCTACATCTTCTGCACGAACACTCACCTGAAAGCAAATAAACATTCACAACATAATAAGAGTATATTGCTCTATTCATATCTTATCAAAAAGCTATGAATTATGTAATGATGGATATACTGTACTTCATAGTACTGTACTGATAATGAAAAATATGAAGTTTTATCTTTTTATACCTGTAATAATTAAAAGAAGGTACCAAGTCCCGATTATATCTTTAATTCAACTTAAAACTTAATACTACACAGCACATAGATACTTCTGCCACAGCAACTACCACAATGGCATAGGCTGAAGGCTGCCCTCACAAGGGCATGAACCAAGAAGCAGAGAAATCAGGTATCTAGAATGCTTTGTAATGTTCAAAAACAACAAAATACAATCCAAAAAGATGAAAGCTGCAAAATCCAGCTCTAAACTGGAGGAAGGAACAGATGCATGAAAACTGGCAGCCAGGCAGACCTAGCTAGGTGAGAGGGAAGTCGTGTCGGGAAAACGAATCTCTAACCCTATCAACATTAAAGTGATAAGGAAAGGAGTAGAGTCATCTGAAGGAAAGAGTCACTTAACACAACCCAGGCATACTCTTAATAATAGGTGCAAGACACCAACTCTCACATGGATAAGAGCATGGTGCCACGCCCCACACAGTAACTTCCCTGGCAATGAGGAAAAAGTCCCAAGCACTCCTGTTGGTAAGGGCGAGATAACTCAAAGTAGTTGGTCTGGAACTCTGGAATCCAAACCTTGTAAGAGAAGAATGACTGGTTGGAGACACTGGGAATATAACCTTGTACCAAAGTTGGAACTAACCAAAGGCAGGAAAAATGAATGATAGTGGCATTCAAAGAATTTTAAAACATATATTTGAAAACAATAACAAAGCAAAGGCCCTGCACGAGACAATTATCCAACTGAACACTAATATTACTTATCTTTGAGAAAAAAAATGCTTCCAACAGGGACAGCACAATCTACAGTACCAGGTGTGAGAATCAAGGCAGATTGGGACCAAGAGTCATTCACACACTGACAACTATAATTTGCATTGTTGCTTCATTAGATTTTATTCTTTCCAGTGTTTTGTTTTGTATTATTTGAACTTTCTGGATGATTTTCATAAGTTTTCGAGTTGCTCTCTGATCCCCATTCTTTCCTTACATCAGTGAGCGAATCAAATTCTGTTCCTGGTTCTGGGTAGGGTTGTGTAAATCTCAGGACTCCAATATGATACATGGGCTTAGTGGTACCAGTGCCAGAGCTCAGGGAAGCAACTCATGGGCCAGCCCAGAAAACCTTTACAAGTCAAAGAAAAATAAACTCCTGAAACACTTTACCTCTTCTTCGACAACTTTTTCTGGTTCCACTATATCTTGATCCATATTTTCAACTTTAACTTTCACTTTTTTCTTCTTCTTTCTTGTCTTTTCTTTAATATTCTCTGTTTCATTTTCAGATGAATTACTATCACTACTGCTGCTACTACTGCTGCTGCTACTACTACTGTTGCTATCAGTACTATTACCACTACTACTGCTACTTGAAGAGTCTGACGAAGAGCTTTCCTCATCACTCTCACTACTACTACTATTGCTACTTGAACTACTACTACTCTCAGCATCCTTATTACTATTTTTCTTTTTCTTAGATTTATCTTTCTTTTCTTTTTTTATTTTAATCTTAGGTGTTCTGCCATCATCACTCTTCTTATTACTTGTATCTGGTCTCTGAAAGACAGGAAAAATTTTGTTAGTAAGCAAAAATAATGATTTTGAATACCTAGACACTCCTAGTGTCCAGGTGAATGAAATATTGTTATCCACAATATAGTGATTAAAAATTTAAAAATAATGATAAATTAGTAGAATTATGATCTATAAAAAGTTAAGTGAGTTGCCTAGAAGAGCAATATTTGCATATACGAGGTGGTTCCACCACGTTCTCAACAATACACTAGTAGTCCTGTCAAATCTATAATGAATAGAGGAATCATAATTAAGTACGGTATATGGCCCCAGCTTTAAAATATTAGGCCTTTCTACCTGTGCCTTTCTGGTGCCAATATAGACTGTGCTTGTTGATTTCTATACTTAACAGCCATATTTTATATATTGTACAGCCAAATATATATTTGAAAAATGCACTGTGCATGCTAAAGACCTGTGCTTCAATAAAAAAAAAAAAAAAAGTTTTAATGTGACAATTTAGGTTGGCTAAAACCCAGTAGGCATTAAACTGTGGAGCAGTACACTGACAAATCACATCATGATGTTTCAATGAACAAATCCACAGGAGCCGTGATGAGGGTTCGAACATAAGCGCTTCGTGTTCCCAGGCACGCTCTGGGAACACTCCATTAAAATGGTGGAATAGATAACTGGATAGAATACAGGGACATACAACAGACAGCATGAAAAACACAACCAAGTGAGGCCCTTTGTCTGACATTTAAAATGAACTGTACACATAACAAATCTATTCTTAGAATAATAAAAATATCACCAAAGTATTTTGAGTATGCAACTGACATCTGAAATAGTAAAGAAATTATGCAATTATACAATTTAAATTTAGAATAAGGAACAATTAAAATTAATTTAACCTTTTGACCATTTCTGCTTTTAGAGGCACTAGTATGTCTACTTTTTTTTAGATCTGCTTCGCGAGGTAGAATTGGACAGGTGAGTCCTATCAAAGCACGCACTGGGCCAGCTGCATCTGGCCACACGACATTGCCTGAAAGAAAGGACACCTACATTAGGATTAAGTCATAATTACCAAGAATTTAATATAAAAGTTGTTGAAGGTGAAGAAAGTGTATTAAAAACTTCCTTTTTAGATGTAACCCACATCCTTTCTCAAGGTAATGTACACATTATTATACAACATTGGAAGAACAGAAATGGTAGAACATTGTACTAACTACCTAGAGAAAGGATGTAGGTTACATCCAAAAATTTGTTTTTTAATACAACAATACATATACATCTTTCTTCACATTCATTCAAACACTATGGCAATGTAATAAGTTTCTCCATAAAAGTAGTTAATATTAATAATGCCATTAAAATGTCATAAATTTGCTGACCATCCAAAAGATGGTCAACACTTTATCTGGAAAAATATTTTGGACCTAAAGGGATATGGCGACTTGAGGAACACCTATGAACAGTGCTGCATCAAATGAATGACTGAGGAGCAACACCAGCTGGTCCAGGAGCCTACAGCGCTGCCAACTGGTGGTGGCCAGTTACTACTAGCAGGTGAATGACTTATCTACTGAATGCTAGAGTTTTTCTAGATGTGCATCTTCACTGTCTGTTTCACTCTGTCTTTCTGGTGGTTTATTTTTCAGCTAGAGTGATTAATATCACCCAGCTTTTTGTGCCTCAGCAAAGAATAGGATGGGGTCTGGCTTGATGATGTGTGTGTGTGTGTGTGTATGGAGCTAACCATGCAGCGAGCCCTCCCAGAAACACTATACTGAAAGCAAAGTAAACTTACAGCTGTTGTCATTTATCCACTCGATACTTGCAGGGGCATAAGACTGAAAGTAGTCAAATATGTCTTTGGTACCAAGATCTTCTGTGCCTCGCATCAATAGAGAATCTGCCCGATAACGACCTCGAGCGAAGTCTTCATCTATGACATCCAAGCTGCAAACAAAATTTTTTTAAAATGGCTATTAAAATATTGAACAGGCATAATAAATTGCCAACTGATTTCACTGTGTGGACACAAAACATTATCTAATGAACTTCTGATTTCACAATATTGTACTGTATTATAAATAAAACCAATAACATAGTACGGTATATTTGTTTGACTAAGACTATGTTATTGGCAATTTAAATATTTCAGGGAATCCCTTTGAATGTGTGTGACGGGTACTGAATTCAGGATTGAAATCAAATGAGAGAAACACAAAATAGAGCAGAGAACAGTAAAACACACACAAAGCCTCAAACTGCATTCATTAATGAACAGTATATTTATGAGAAATACCTTTTATACAGCTTTGCAATAGCCTCTGGCGTTGGGGCGGACTTGGGTGTATCTGAAACTCCAAATCTTCGAGCCCTCTCAGACAAGACCTTGGTGCTAACCTGTTGATTAAATTACCTTATCAGCATTGTAGAAACAAACTTATATATTGTGCATTAATATTAATATATATAACCAGAGGAAGCTCTAGTAACAAAATTCAAACCACTCTTTAACATACTTGGAGCAGCGTATCACACATCAGTCTTAGTTATAAATGCCAAAAAATAAAAAAATAAAATGTAGGAAACAGAAATATAACACTTACTCTAAATGGCAAGGTACTGAGCCGTTACACATAAAAATCACAATTGCGTGATGCATCAATGAACAAATCCACAAGGGCCGTGACGAGGATTCGAACCTGTGTCCAAGAGCATCCCAGACGCTGCCTTGGGGCGTAGCTCAGTCGATTAAGGTAGTGTCTGGGATGCTCTCAGATGCAGGTTCGAATCCTCATCACAGCCCTTGTGGATTTGTACCGAGCCGTGTTCAGAAGTACACGTACTGTATCTGGGCATGTACATTATATTGGATACATATGCAAGAGTAAAAATGCTGAAATAAATCATATTAGCATCTTATGTAAAGCTCAACTGCATCCTCTAAAGGCACTAGCATTTTCTGGTAAAGGTGTTGGGTACCTATCTTGTGGATATTATACATAAGCACTGTTCGGTCCCCGATAGACTATGCAGCACCTGTTTTGTCTTACACAGGGCAAGGCAAATTAAAAACAAAACAAAAACTAGAACTGATACAGTATGCAGTTATGAGGATTATTCTTGGGTGTCAAAGAAATACAATGATTGAAATAATGAGAATGGAATTAAATTTGCAGTGTGTGCACTCCTTGACATTAACACTGTAGTACTGTATCTCTTCACTGCCTGAGGAGAGAGGGGAAGGAATTAGCGCTTTCAAAGCAGATTCAGGCTTGCTTGAGCGATGTTCAGACTTCCAAGAAACAGACATGCTACATAAGGGGATTGGCTAATGACCTCAGGGAATACGATGTACTTGACTGCTGCAAACCCTCTCAAAGGGATAGTAGAACTGGAAGGTACAGAAGGCTGAAGTAGAAATTGTACCTGTGCAGATGAAAAAGCCTCTGCATGATCCAGGACAGCTACGGTGTTTGTATGGAGGCATGATACTGTATCTCGGTTACTGAGAGACAATAGTTTACATACTTTAGTATATTGTAACAGATTGGTGGCTGAAGATGGTAAGGCAGGGTGTGGTGTCCTGATAAGGGCATTGTCTGTGCATTAAAGTGTGGACAGGAAAATTGGACATCGACTTAACAATTATATTTCATTCACACAACTGAACTGCAACCCTTTCTGTCTGGTTTGGAGGACGTGGTTCAAGACAAAGAAGATGATTTCGTATGTTGACAGCCGAGGAGCACTCAAATCATTGAACAGTCGAAACCCAAACTTCATGTCCATAGTTGAGCATTGTAAGAAAAGGATACGAGATAAAGTTAAAAGATCACAAAGTAAAACTCATGTGGAGTCCATCTCATATTGGAACAGTGCCCAATGACGTGGCAGATGAGCTGGCCAAATGTGCCACAATAAAGACCTCAAGTTGACATTGAATGTGTTTTAACCATGAAACAAATAAAACGCAAAATAAGAAAGTATTCAGGCACAGACAGAAATAGTGAAGAGATATAATATATGAGAGAAGTTAAACCATGCAACACTACAAGTGAGTCAAAACACTAATTTCACTTACAGTAAGAGCAAAATTCTGTAAACTGTAACCATGTGGCTCAGAAATATTTGTTAATATGTTGATTATTTGTGATGTGTGTAAATGTATATAAACATTTTGTACTGAATGGGGTGAGAATGGCTTGAGCTACCCTTTGTATGAATAGCCTTTTGTGTGTATTTATACCTCAAAAAACCTATTTCAATTTCAATTCTCCATAGAGAAAGGACGAAACCGGGACAGACCGTTGGCAAGAATGTTGGACACTATTAGAACATGAATGGCACGGAAAGCCAAACCTAGAAGAGCAGAAAACCCAGAGATCCCCCATACCCTACAGTTGAGGCAATGACCCAAGAGGGAACAGTCCAAATGGAGCCAGACTAAGGCGCCCATGTGAATCCGAACCCTCCACAGCACATGCCATATGACCACAAATTCCCGCACTGCACTGTGTGTCCAACGAAGGAGGGGCAGTGGGAAAATTGCGTACCTACTTACATAAACTATTGTGTATTAGCTTTATAATACTTTATGGCTATGAAGATTTGTCTTCTGTTAGGCTAAAAACATTACTTACAACTTATTAAAATACAAACTAAATAATTATGAGGACTTCCTATGTTATTACATTACTGTATTCTGATTAAATAATGGCTGATGAAACATTTGTGACATCAGTACATGCCACGTCACCAAAGGGAGTTAAGAACTAAATTAATACATTTAGCTGCTAATTAAATAACTACAGTTTATAGCTTTGACGCTTTACACTACAGTATTTAAAATGTTAAATAATACGATCTGAAATGGCTTTAACTTAAATCGCCTCTTTCCCCAAATAAAAAATATTTGCGTTCGTCTGAATACAAGTGAAGAAATAGACGGGTCCATGTTTGTTGGTATAGGAACACTTGTCAAATGTGGGTGGTGGCTACTATGTTTGTTGTTTGGTTATTCAGCATGGTGAGCAACATAGTTTATATATGCTGCTACTAGACATGTGAAACTGGTTATGATGTATGCCCCAAAAGCATACAGCCACCCATCTCTCACCTTGTGGCACCCACCCATCTCTCACCTTGTGGCACCCACCCATCTCTCACCTTGTGGCACCCACCCATCTCTAATCTTGTGGCACCCACCCATCTTTCACCTTGTAGCACACCAACCAAGTTACAGGTGTCATCTTGTGACATACAAAGCTTTCACCTTCTATGTGACACAACACCGACACCACCACCTCGTGACAAATCAACCAGACTTCCACTGACTTGTGATGCACAACTCAAATTCCAGGCTTTTTGTGGTATACCAACCAGATTCTCTCCTTTTATGACATAGTAGCCAGTGATCCTTTCCTTTCCTTACCTCATAGATGCCAGAAACAAAGCCGCCACCACTCCTGTTTTCATACCTCCTCTCCGGCCAACTTTGTTTAGCCTGGTAAGGAAAATTGACATAAGTATTTATGCAATTGCTCAAAATTAAGAATAAATACCACAGTTTAATTACCATTAAACTTAATGCCTGATATTTACACAAACTTCATTAGCAATGCAGTCCATACTTACAGCGATTTGCACAAAGTATGGCAGATTTTGAAAGAATCAAGATACAGTAATCTGGATTTCAAATGCTAATCATAATTAGTGAGCACACATTCCCACTGTTTATGTCTCTGATATAAGTTCTTTCAATAAATAACTTTCAATTTTGTCAATAATCAAATGGTCAGTCACCACAGACTGCAACCTGTTATGTTCTGAAGCATCTATAACACACAGATGTATAACAACATAATGTAGCATAGACGACATTCGGTGACACTACCTTCACACAAAATACAAAGGCTAAAAATATGAAAGCATAGTAACAGGACATTTCAAATTTGATGCAGCATGGCAATACTATAAACAAAAAGTTATCTTAAAAGCAATAGATGTCTATTAATCTCAGAAAAAGTATCAAAAGTCTTTTCTTAGTTATAGTGCGTTTACATGCAGCCAAAGAGTGGGTTTGGGAGCCAACTTTAGATCCAATCACCATACAGCCCTTTCACTCTATCTTAGCACTGATAAACATAGCCTAGTTTAAATAAGTATAAATAAGGTGGTGTCAATAGGTGAATCTGGGTCGCAGTCACTATGTCAAAATTGTTGATACGAGTGAGAGGCAGGTGAGGTGGAGAGTTAGGAGGATACATGGACAACAATTCCCCCAAATTAGAGAAAGGAGTATAAAGTGTGGAATCATGTCCATGAAAATCATATACTGTACACTAACATAGAGTGGGACAAATAATACCAGAGCTAACTGAAATAATTCAGCTTATTAAGATGGCTGAGAGTGTCACACTAACAGAGACAAAACTTGAAGATAATATTTTAAACGAAGTCATATTCCTGAGGGGCTACTCAATTTGGAGATGTGACAGAAAAATTACAAAAGGTGGAGGAGTTGCCATGCTGGGAAAGAACACTGAATGGTAAGAGAGTTAATAATTGACAGCCCCCATTGCAGGTTTGAAATGAGGATGACAAACTGATAATTACAGTATAAATGCCTACACACGGGACAAAGGAGCTCAACGAAAATGAGAGAACCTCGTAATGATCATGAAAGAGATTATAGTATGTATGAGCAAATAACGATCAATCACGATTGTTGGTACAGTACTGTACTTGGTGATTTCAACTTGAAATCAATAGACAGGGAGGCCAATGAAACAAGAATGGAGGACATTAGGACTCGCAGGTTCATAAACCTCATCCTGAAGACATCCATGTTTCAACTGGTTAGACAGGCCACGAGAATGGGCAATGGGATGTTTCATCTATGCTGGATTTAATATTCAACAGGAAAGAAATATTTGACATTGCGAAAGAGTGACCATGTCTTATCGGAAATCAAATATGCAGCGAGTTTATCCCTTGGGGGGCACAGCTATTAATAGCCGACAACACTGCTGTGTGCAAGAAAGAATAGCTTCTGGAACTGAAAAACAAGAGTTACGAGGAGAGACTAGAGGCGTTAAAAATGCCAAAACTAGAGGACAGAAGAAAAAGAGGTGATATGATCACCACTTACAAAATACTAACAGGAATTGATCAAATTGATACAGACAAATTCCAGAAACCAGCAACTTCACAAACAAAAGGACACAGATTCCAGCTAAGGAAACAAAGGTGATGAAAAAATATTAGAAGATGTTCTTTTGCAAACAGAGTAGTAGTCAGTTGGAACAAGTTAAGTGAGAAGGTGGTGGAGGCCAAAACCGTCAGTTGTTTCAAAGCATTCAACCCGTTCTCGCAAATTCGTAAAGTCAATATTGACTTATTAACTACGTGCATAGGTGATATACTAAACATAATAGATACCCTTAAAAAGATTCATAGAAAACACCGACCTTCCCTAACCTTGTTAGTATCTTAAGATAAGCATCTTATTGCTTCGTAATTACAATTATTACTTAACCTATACCTATTATAGGTTAGGTAATAATTGTAATTACGAAGCAATAAGATGCTTATCTTAACATACTAAGTAGGTTAGGTAAGGTCGGTGTTTTCTATGAAGCTTTTCAAGGGAAACTATTATGTTAAGTATGTCACCTATGCACATATTTAATAAGTCAATATTGACTTATTAAATTTGCGAGAACGGGTTGAAGCATTATACGACAAAGAGTACTGGGAAGATGGGACACCACCAGCGTAACTCTCATCCTGTAACTACACTTAGGTAAATATATATATATATATATATATATATATATATATATATATATATATATATATATAATTATATATATATATATAAATTACTTTTCATTACATTCAATACTGGATTTTTTAATTACTGTATAACTATAAATTTGGTATCAAAATTTTAACAAATGTACTAGAATAAAGATGCAAAACATATATGGTGTATGGATAATAGATTATGTGTGATGGAGCTGAATAGATCAATGTTTATGAACATTTCAACATTGCTCATTTATTTGTCATTAAAATGAAAATACTCGTACAACTGGTCTACTGTATATAGCTATAAACAGATAATAAATATAACTCATACATTTCCATTAGGTAATTTGCTAAGCAGAGAGGAAATACGCTGACAGTCAGAGCAATTGTTGTCTTGAATGATGAAGTGGTTGGTTGAGGCGATTCTTTTCAAGTTTTCTGATAAGCTCTGTCCACAATATGCTCGTGTATTTCAAGATTTTTGTCATGAAAGTGCAAATAGAGCTACTGTATTAAGAAAATTATTTGTGGAAATTCCAAGATCGAATGACATTCTAGTGTCATCAGAACATTACAGTAAATTAATAATGACACTGAAACACATCATTGGAATGATAAAATGTTAAAATGTAAAATTTATTTTCTAAGAGTTCTTTTTTCAACATTTCCAATTCAAGAATTCAGGATATTGAGAAAATTAATCCCCCCCCCCTCCCAACACACAATGACAAATAGGGAAGAGAAGAAAGGATATCCTGTGCCTAGATGTAATTTTAATTAATAGCTAATTACAGGGTAAATAAAGCAAGCAGGGCTTAGAGGTAATGATGTATAGTAGACAAAAATACCATTAGAAACATGTACTGTACTGTACTGTACTAACATCGTGGCCAAGTAAGTGAAGGTTTGGAGGGTTTGTGACACCCAATCTCCGTACCCGTTTCAAACCATCATCATACTGGGGCTGGAACTAAAACATGAAAGATTGAGAAAAGAAAAGCAAAAGTTAACACTAAACAGAAGACCTTCCATTATGGAAACATTGCTTACAACAACAAAAAAAGTAGACCTTGTAGGCAATAACAAATGAAATCTGAGAAGTATGCAGTACAGTATTATAAAAATGTACATGACAAACATGAGTTTTAGCCATTATAAGAACATTGGATGTGACCTGTTTCCATTCCAAAATTACTCTGGAGAATTTCTTGTGCTTCCTTGTGGTTACATGTTGTATAATTGAACTGATGCAAGGAAAGAGTGTACTGGTACTGGGTCACTGGAAATGTGAAGGTATAGTTTAAGAGTTTTTTAAATCAACATTAACATGCTGTGTAACCAATGACAGGGAAAACAAGACAGTTGAACATTCAAAATGGTAAGAGTCGAGCCCATGGCAGACTTCTAAAATTTTCCCGAGTACAGATTCTAGGTACCCTCCACGTTATCCTAACATGGAATAACTTTACCTATATACTTTTATTTACCCAATTTAACGATACCTTTTTTTTTGGTAAAATTATACAATATAGTGTACAGTAAATATGCAACAAAATTCAGTACTGTAGTTAGTAAGCAGTAGCATATTATTAACTTACCATGGCAAGGAAAGATCCCGGGCGGGGCAGAAATAGTTGGGCACATTTCCTATCACCTAATGCTCCTGTCCACCTAGCAGTAAAAAGGTACCCAGGAGTTTGTCAGCTTCTTGTGGGGTTTCATCCTGGAGAGGGTCAGAAATTCAACCCAAGGAATCCCTCAATATAAGCCTAACATGTACTGTATAAACTAGCTGCCTTTTCACCGACGAAATGAATTATTATTGTGAATTAAAACCCTTAGAATGCATAACGGTGACAATTGATCTAACGTACATTGACAAATGGCAGTCTTGAATTCCATATATACAAAACAGTATTAAGCAAATCTGTTCTATTTCATCAAAAGCCCAGCACTGAATGTAATGAAATGCCAGTTTGTGGAGGAGCCTCAGCAGCTCCCTGGAGCCATCTTCACGAGATTGTTTCATAATATAAGTTAACATCAGTTGCAGATAGCTCCAAAAGAACAAACCATACTCCAGAGCCAAAAGAACAAAACCTCCTGCCTCCAGTAATTATACAAGTGATGTAGGTTTTAAATCATTGAGGACAACATTGGTTGTATTAACATCAATTCAGATGTTTCGTATCATAGGGCATTAGACATCAGTAAAAGAACTCGGGGAGATTTTATTAATTATTTTTATTAATTATTTTTATTAATTATTTTTATTAACAGCCTGAACCTTTACAACCAAACAGCAGAGGTGAAAACCAACAAGAAAATCTGCTTAAAATCCTGAGCCAAAGGGGATAACCTGTAAATTTCAAAGAAAGAAAAGCCAAAACACGGTCAAGGGACCATGGATGACCAGGACCAGGAGGAGCATGAGCAGGAGCTTATGATTTACTCCTTGATTTGCATATAAAGTATATGGACATTACATGCATATACTTCTGGTTTTAATGCCATGTAAGTAATTCTATTGTGAACAAATTGATACCATATAGAACGACGTAGGACAAGAATTGAGGTGAGAATCCCACAAAGAGTACACACATTTTGGTGGTGTTGCGCACTCACAGGTAACCCTCGGCCGATTTATGAGTTTGGTGCGGGGTGGCATGCTGGGCTTTTAGACTTCATGTGTATATATATCCCTGTAGGGAATTTTATTGCAAACAAAAAGATACCAAAATTAATGCCGTAAGACGAAAATCGAGGTGAGAAAACTTAAATAAATAAAGTATACATATTTGAGTCTGGCTGTGCACTAACAGCCAACTCTCGGTGCACCTTGAGGTAGTCTTGGGAGCGCACAGTAGGGATGGGAAAATGTTAACATTAATAATTCATGAAAAAAGGCGCACGAAAGCTACAGTATACACAGGAACCTGTATACCAGCTGAGAGGCGGGATCAAAGAGACAAAGCTCAACCCCCGCAAGCACAATTAGGTGAGTACACAAGCCTTAAATGATCATTAGTTATCCATAGTGTTAGGTACCATTAACTTTGATAGATTTGTTAATTAAGTGCTTAATTTATAATTAATAATAATTCATTGAGTTGGGGGACAGGCACTCGCTGCCTGTCCCTCGATAGGGGGACTTTCGAGACTTGTATTGAGGTCCCCCCCCCTTGCAAACACACAATGTAATTGTCCCTATTTTCAGCTTGTTACAACTTGTAATAAAGTTGTTACATCTTGTTATAACATTTTTATGACGTATTAGAATGGTGTTACAACTTGTTATATAGGTTGCTACAACTTATTAGGAGGCGTTAAAACTTGTTCTAACATTGTAGCAACGTTGTGTAGTTTGATTGTAATTTTGACGTGTTTGGCAGGCCCCCCGGGGCCGAATTATTGACTCTCCCCTAGAATGCAACCCCACAATAAGCTGACTCTCTCTAGGGCACCTATTTACTTTTAAGTGAACTGGTGCATTAGGTGATAGGTAATACGCAAAACCACGCTGTCCTGCCTGGGATTCGAACTCATAATTCCCAATTGTTAGTCAAAAACAAACCCAATTGTACTGCCAGGACAATACTTTTTTGTATACACATATAATACAGTACTGTATTACATAAATGCTTGACCAGCTGACTAAAATGTGCAACAAAATGGTGGCGCTGACTTGGCAGTGTACAAAATGACTATATATTTTAATTTGAAAACATTTAAGCCTACTGGTGATTTTAAATTGTTAAATTGTATTATTCTAAATGTTTAATTTACCCAAAAGATTCCAAATTTCCCCTACTGCCTTGTGAAACTTACTGATGACATCCAATGGATTATGAGATTCCACGGTTTGTGAGCGAGGGGTCTTTAAACAAGCCTAGCCCAACCCAACCTAACCTATGCTCATTTTACCTAGCTGAACCTAACATTAAAATAACACACATAATTTGATGTTATATATATAGTGCGCACGAGATGTTTTGCATCGCCGTTATGTCATAAATTAGTTCCAGGGGAGTTGGTGGATGTTTGTGGTTTGTGACCACCTTTAAAGAATTGTTTTGCCCTGGTAAAACCCCCAGTAAGTATAATTATACAATTTACTAATATGTGGTTCCACTATGTAGTGTAATGTTGGTCATTAGGTCATGCCTGACAGAGAGCACCCCAGACAGTCAAGTCTTAAGGGACAAAAGCTATTACCAGCCCAACACAGGAAACATAAATCCAAATGCCAGTTTGTGTAATAGCACAAGATCAGATAATCTACTCACGTGGCTAACCTATAATGGTTACAGTGATACTGAGTCATGTGTAAGGCAGCATTAGACACATAAAGAGGCCAGGATAATACTCACGGGTTCCTTAGTTGTGCGGCCTTCCCCGCCGGCGTCGCCATCCCCGATAATGACATTAACTTCCACCTCGTCCTCAGACGCTTCTCCTTCCTCTAATTCATCCTCTTCCATTCTCGTCTCTCCGTCGTCCTCTGTTAATTCACCCTCTTCCGGCTGGAGATCGTTGGGAACCTCAATTTTAAGATTTGTGAAGCCCACTCGACTGCCCTCCAGTCCCGCCATGTTTGCTGCTGACTCTTGTTTACATCGCCAGGCTCTTGTTTGTTTTGGACCCCCCACACCCCCTCCCCCCACACACATACACATTCATTCATTCATTCATTAACACTACTAATGAAATTGTAAAAAATATAACTAAATTACCATGTCTTATTGTACCAAGTCAAGCATAATGTATTTTAAATTAGTAATAATATATTGTACTACTAAAGAAAAAGTGATAACCGACTTAAATGTTTTTAAAATCGGTTTTAAGTTAAGTTTTAAGTAAATGTTAAATCTGCCTGAAACGCTTTGCGTAAGTGGGTTTAGGCATTGTATGTACTAGCTCTATCTATAAATCTATTAATTTTTGTAAAATCTCTTGTATGTTTGTACCTTACCTGAATAAACATTTATTTATTATTATTATTTTTTTAAGATTCATTCATTGTGTGGGGGGGACAAGAAGTCAGTTTATTCATACAGTACTTGTGAGGCTTATATTGAAATCCCCCCCCCCCCTAGGATGCAACTCAAGAAGAAGCTCACTAACTCCTGGGTACCTATTTACTGCTTGGTGAACAGACGCATTAGGTGATTGGAAAAGCGCCCAATTATTTGTTCCGCCTGCGATTCCAACTGACAGTCGAGAACGAACCGATTTGTTTTGCCAAGATCCTATATAATTTAAATAGATAGATAGATATAGATTCATATATAGATAGATATAGATAGATATACTGTATACACATACATACCACTCCTTTATGTTGTGCACTTTACTATACAGAACACTAAGAGGAAATAAGGAGAAGTTTGTTTTCTAGAGGCTGTAGATTTCTTCGAACTCCTCCGACGCCGGGCAGGAACCGAGGATGCAGCGGGCATTCCCCCTCTGGATCACGACACTGCGGCGCTGGAAGAGAAAACTTGCTGCTCTAGGGTCTCTGGCAGTGTCAATGAGCCTGGAACCAAGATCTTTAAAAACTTTCTTGCACTCTCTCCCCATGGCCATGTATTTACCTTCCCAGGGGGCGTCTCACTTCCCTGGTGGTGGTGGACAAGATTCATATTCACTGAATTTTATCAGTAACACTGCTCTCTCTGCCTCATTAATAAAGGGGGCCAGGTGTCATTTTTTTTTTAGGCTCATGATCCCTGTAATCCTAAAAAAAAAAAAAAAAATGACTGATGACAACTTGTAATATTGTACTATATTAGCATTGTAGCTTCAGGGAGCCACAAGACACTTCCCCAGAGAAGTAACAATGTCACAATCAAATAAAATGGTAACGTGTATGATTTGACTATAAACATAGAAGATTTAATCACTTTAATGTGGTAACCAACTAACCAACTCTTTAGAACATCCTAGCAGATGGAAATTAAAACACAATAATGGTCGACAAAATATATTCTCATTTACAGTATATAAATAATCATGAAACGGCATCAGGACACTCTGGGTCACAATCAGGCTGGAGGCAGAGTCTTGATGTGATGGTGTAACTACTTGTTGAGCTGCATTGGAACTGATTTGATTAGCTTGCTTGCTTACATATCTTTACAAAGGCAAAGTGGAGGCAGAAGAAATGGTTGTGGAAAGTTTATTGTGAGAGGAAGTACAGTACCAGTTTAACTCACGTGCTCGATGTTCTAATGTTAGTCTTGGCTCGTGAAAACAAAGTAACGGACAGAATTGACACACATTTAAATATTAATGCATATGAAGTTTACTAATGCAGACCTTTATAGGTTACAGTCGAACTAGCCAAGAAGATTTAGCTATATTATGGCCCAAGTAGGACTAATCTTACATTTTTAATGTCACAAGGATTCCATATACATAAGCTCTTTCTTCATATTGAACTGAATACTTTGCTAAAGTTATTTGGCACTTCTTTATAAATGTAGAATTTCAGGAACCAGGTCCTGGATTTAAATGAATGCGCAAATTGGCCATTTCTTTAAAAATTAAAAAAAATTACAATTAGCTTAGATTTTACTGAAAATAGACAAATATATTTGCTTAGTTATGCTCCCTAAACATAAAGTCATCATTATTCACAGATCCTTTACGTGCTGCTTTCCTACAATGGGGAGATTTGATTGTGTTTTGTATTCTGTATTTTAAGGTCTTATTTTTTAAAATTACTGTACCTGGAATTTATCACTGTTAAACATCATTAAACAGGGGGCCCTGACGACTGAGTAGACAGCACTCGAGGTTCATAGTCCTAAAGGTCCAGGTTCAATCCCTGGCGGAAGGCAGAAACAAATGGGCAGAGTTTCTTTTGCCCTGATGCCCCTGTTACTTTGCAGTAAAAAGGTACCTGGGAGTTAGACAGCTGCTACAGGCTGCTTCCTGGGGATGTGTGTGTGTGTGTGTGAAAATCAGGATTAAGGACTTGCCCAAAACACTATGCCTGCTAGTGGCTGTACAAGAAAGTAAGAACTCTTGTATATATCAATAAATAAAAATAAATAAAAAAATTATAATCATGTAATTTTCTGCTATGCAATTGAAAACTCTTAATATCAGCATGTGGTTTTCAATGTATTCTACAGAAGTAATTTTCATGCAGATTTTTGTCATCTGCAAAATTTGGCACAAAATCGACTTGTATTTTTGTCTATATCTGATATGAGAACAAGGAAAAACAGTGATGCAAGGCCTGTGCCCTGAGATACAAAGCTTAATGAACTTAACCCAACCTAAAGTATTTGTACAGGCACATCAGTATTTTTTGAATGAAGAATGTAAATGACCGGGACGTGAATGAACAGTAATGAACTGGACTGGTGCTGAAAGGTCTAATCTTGCACTAAAATTCCAGTGCTGAATTGGACCCGTCTGAAATCATCATCCCTCACTAGGATGGTCATTACATTATGACCCATCCATTTAGCATTACCATACGACCACATAATGCAAGATTAAGTACTCTAATTCTTATTTTGATAAACTTATTTCTTCTATGTCAACATTTGTATTTTTATATACAAAAATGCTGGCAGAAGAATAAAACAAAATTGCCAATCATAAGTGTGAATATTCAAATTTATTTGCTATGGACAAAAGGCATTAAATCAAAACAAATTAACATCAGACAGTAATATCTATTAATAGGGTGATGTGAATATATATATAATATATAAATCTAGTGTGATGTCAGCCAGCCTATCATTTAGAGACCATGAAAGAGACAATGTTGCCTAACAAAGAAAATGGTATAGTGACTTGTGGTTAATTATTTCAAAAGAAAGGAATGTCACACCATTGAAATCTGTTTACGTGTACACAGATGTAACACGTGTCCTCTTAGTTTAAAAATGGTTAGGTGCTGTATATACAAAAAAGGCTAAACACACACACAGTAGATATATAATTTAATGAACAAATTGGAAGGTTTGCAAATAAAATATTTAAAATTATACAATTTAATATCTGTATTCAAAAACATATCCCAAATAAGGCATTTATAACAATGATGAACACAGACTAAATCTTAAAAAATTTACATTTAGTTATACTTAATTCCACCACAAAAAATATTCAGCATCAAGACATTAACTTTATTATGGAAAGGGTAAATACAGTTTCATACTTCTGAAAGCCTATAATTATACTTTCTCTGCAGCTTCACACTGATGAATACATGCAATAAAAAAATTGTGAATTTAATTACCGGTAAGTACCATATGCATAAATTATTCTCGATTCCTTCTTCAACTAAATCTAGGGAAATTTGGTATCGGCCCTTGATTAAAACACTTAAATAAGCACAGTACAATATACTTTATACATACTGTATATCAATCTGTCTATTATATATCTGATGTATATACAATAATGTATATGTACTGGAAGTACTGTATGTGTATATATATGCAAACGAAGTTGAACTTTGGCCTCGAGGGACATAAATGAATGCAAAGAGATTATATGAGTTCCTACAAAATAAAAACATTTAAATTAAGATAAGTTTCTTGGAGAATTTGTATAAATTTATGTATGTTGGAGGAGTCTATTAAAGGCATTATATGCTGACTCCAAATCGAAGATCATCTGTCGAACTTGAATTTCTGATAATGTCTCATCCGCTGTCATTCCTTCCAGTGTCCCAATCCATTCCTTAACTTTTGCTCGACCTTCAAAATCCTGTGGGTATGTGAGAGGGGATGTTGGTACACTAATACAGTGGTGAATGGAATGAAAGGGCAGCTAAGAGAAAATGACATAGGAAAACATATTAACTTTTTCAAGCCTGAGCCAAGTAAAGCTGTCTTGGTAAGTTTTGCCAATGCTTCAATTCCTAGATACTAAATTTTTTCAATGGACACATTTCTTCATTATTTCACTTTAAATAACAGGAACAATAACTGATCTGAACTTTTTTTCCTTGCAAAATTAAGTGATAAGCTATCACTTATTAGGCTTTAGCCCTTATACTGCTCCAATTGCTTCAGAGATTGGCTCATATGCACAAATTGCCTGGAGATGATTTATGGTGCCCCATTTTATTCAAAAACCCACTCAGTCTAGAGGGAACATCATTTGAACTAGAGACCTCTGCCGCTCGCTTACCATATTTGAAAAAAGCCAGCGTTGAATTTAATGAAACAAGTTTCTGGGAGAGCCCTGGAGGCTCCCTGAAGCTATCACACTTGATAAAGTACCATACTATTAGGTGGATCCAGTAAATGTAGCCAAATGTCAGCAACAAAATCAAGCACTAAGTTCTGAAACCACCTAGAATGTATCCCTCAAACTCTCATACTTACACCTCACACCTATTTTTTTGGTTATTACATTTCATCAATTTGAATACGATGACCAAAAATACACACCAGAAGATGAAGAAACAATGATATTTCGATCCGTCCTGGACTATTCGTTTCTTCATCTTCTGGTGTGTGGTTTGGTCATCATATCTTCAGCCACGTTATTGTGATTCATCGTCTGCATCGATTTGAATATCCTGTACTTTACTTTTATCATGGGCCCCCTCTTATTCTGTCTTTCTAGTGAATACAAGTTTTCGTAGTATCTCTTCATAATAGATATTTTTATTTCTTGGATTAACAATATCTTTCTCTATACATGCTTATGTGGATTTATGAGGACAAGATAAAAAAAAAAAACACTGTCTTAGTGATAATACAAATTTTTTAAAACATGAATCACGGTATGTATCCTAAATGCTTTATTTTGAACATTTAAACACCAAATCTTGACTTAAGATCCATAATAATCATGGCTCTCAACATCTATCTCTACCAGGAATTGAGCCTGGGAACAACTGATTGTGAGGTGATGCACTAACCATATTGTCATCGAGCAAACCACTTGAAAATTTACTTATTTCTATGGAGTTCAAAAGTCACTTGAAGCCCTGCATGCTAGCAGTAACTGGGGTAAGTCCTTTGTGTTTGTTAGTGAAGCTCCAGGAGGAGGTAAAGCTCACAAAGGCAGAATTAACATGAAAACCCTAGGTGAGAATGCTTACTGATTACATTTACAGGTATGCAATATTATGTGCACTGGAAACCCGTATGAAATATTATTTAGTTACCCGAGGCATATTTTATATAACAAAATAAGATCCTTCAGCAAATGTGCTCATTGGTTATATTTTTAATTGTATTTTATGTTAGGTATAAAGTTACTTAGACCATATTTTCTATTAGAGATTGATTTATGTTTTGTTTTTCCACCGATAGGTTTTTGCAAAGATTTTTAATGGCATAGATGAAAGAAAACAGATAATGATGAACCATAGCAAAAGGATGCAAGTGAAAATTAAGTAGCATATGTAGCATAACTTTCATATAAAGGAATGAGCATTGCATTGTTCTCTTTATTAACCCATCTCTTGAGATGATTTCGGGGCCTAGTGTCCCCACGGGCCGGTCCTCGACCAGGTCTCCTTTTTGTTACACATCCCCAGGAAGCAGCCCGTAGCAGCTGTAACTCCCAGGTACCTATTTACTGCTAGGTAACAGGGGCATCAGGGCAAAAAACTGCCCATTTGTTTCCGCCTCCACCGGGGATCGAACCCGGAACCTCAGGACTATGAATCTGAAGCGCTGTCCACTCAGCTGTCAGGGGCCCCATATATATGGCTCCTTCATAAAAATGCTAAAACTCAAGTTTGTCGGTTCTATCTTAAATAGTTTCTGTAAATCTCTACAAAAATAATCTGGTAACATACCTGTGGTATTACGGAAAGTCTTGTCATATTTTCAAGAAGATCCTTCAAGTCTGGTTGCAGTTCATCATTGGCATTAATACCTAACCTCAGTTTGTCCATGACGGTGATGAACAACTGCAGTAAGAGACAATATTAAGCTTCAAATTTATATTTAGGTTAATACAGAACTAGTTCACTTTTTACTAAATTGTGTGTGTGCATGGTCTGTGGTGTGTGGGGGTGTGTTTTAGGGGTAAAATGGGCATAAAGCTGGTGGTGATGTAGTGGTCGAGTGTGGGTGAGGTGGTGGTGTACGTTGAGTGGGATACGGTGGGAATTTGGTTGGGTGGGGGTTCCCACTAGACCTTACCACTATTTATTTCATGTAATAAAATAAAGTTAGCTACTAACCGACACAATATCAGCAATGCACTTGCTGGTATTGCCCTTGTCGTCCTTAATAGTTATTGGGCGATCTTCACGGATACGGTCCAGAGCAGCCGGACAATCAAGCTGAAATATGCACCACATGAAACTACTTACATTGTACATTTCACAAATGAGATTATGTCCTAATCTCCAAAACATGTGTATTATTTTATAACTAAACAAATAAAGCACTAAGTGTTAAGAATTTTTCCCATCTGTGAGGTATCTAGAAAAAGATCAGTCATTGGCTACAGGGTTATCTTGAGATGATTTCGGGGCTTTTTTTTAGTGTCCCCGCGGCCCGGTCCTCGACCAGGCCTCCACCTCCAGGAAGCAGCCCGTGACAGCTGACTAACACCCAGGTACCTATTTTACTGCTAGGTAACAGGGGCATAGGGTGAAAGAAACTTTGCCCAATGTTTCTCGCCGGCGCCTGGGATCGAACCCAGGATCACAGGATCACAAGTCCAGCGTGCTGTCTGCTCGGCCGACCGGCTCCCCTACCTCAATAAGCCCAACAGACTTCCTATTCCCAACAATTGGATACCAAAAACTTCAGTGCTTATACTGTTGGATGCAACTTAACTCCAAATATGTCTGGAACTCTTAAAATATACAATAGAAATATACAAGTTATATATAGTAAGAGAAATAGTTGGAATGTGACTTGCACATGGGCTTCTTAAAAAAAAAATTAAAAATATTTTATTCAATATAAAATACTGTATAAAGCATTATTTTTTATATATTTTTGCTTTCAGGTAGTATATAAGATATCTTTAACCCCTGCACTGTACACTCAATTTACATGATAAACTGGTGTGTAAGAAAGAATATAAATTCTGAATTTTTTGCTCTAATTTTTAAGTAAATTTTTTTCCCTGATCACAGCAAAATTAAAAAAAAAATTATGTAGCTTATATTGGTTATGGTGGAGAGATGAAATCTCATGATGTCACACTTTATGAGGGAGCTGTATGGCAAGAGTTACCACAAATATATTTATACCGATTTATATCAGTATCACTGATTTGCTTTTCGTTTCTTTTGCAGTTTTATTATGCAAGTGTATAATTAAAGAAATCTCTAGTACAAAATGTGTGGAACATCAATACACACAAATACGTTCATGTCACACATATGTTCAGATTATTATATTCTTTAGACAATAAACCATACCATTTTTGCCAGGTCAAGGCCGCCAGAGGCAAGGAAAGCAACTCGGACAGTCCCAAATTTGTCAAGTCCGAACCTGGGAAGTCAACAACTGGTACTTCGACCAGCTCACTAGGAACCTGAACCCAGCTAGCTGGGAAAGAACCATATCGCTGGCTGGTAGACACGCAGATCTGCTCGGTCCCATACCATCCAGTTATTGAGATGGGACAAAACATGAACCCCCAACATATGAAGACAAGCCACAACTACTCAGGCCAAGCATGTGAACACAAATGGAGCCAAATTTAGCCCAAACAGGATGCAAAAATGGTAAGCCTTCCACCCCACCTTAAAACATAACCAATCCCCAAACTCAGTGTACTGTACTGTATAGGAACATGCCAATACGTGTACCACAGGTCCAGGGAAATCATCCAAGCATCCACTTAGAGGACGAGATGGACCTGGGACAGAGTGGTCATCCAAAAGGAGTAACAAGGAATGAACTGGTTCACCCTCAATGAATCCCATTTCTCGACTGGAAATAGTGGGGAACCCACTCACTCCGAGATGACTCTGTCGCAGGTGAGGCGAGGGAGCCTGCCCAAAAAGTGAACCGCAAAAGGGCCAGCACAAACTACGAGAGGCTGCCTTCTGAAAAGAATGAGCACAGCTCTGACCAAATGGGGAAGGACCAGCTGAGGTAAGCACTTTCAAACCACTGCACATAATTACTTTGCCAATGTGTGCTACAAATTAAAATTAATCCAATAAGGTGGGCTTTGAAACAATGGGTCAGAAAAGCAAAATAGGTAAGTAGGTAAAAACATAAATGCAATACTGTCCAGTTTGTTATAAGAAAGATATAATTTTGAATAACTTGCAATTCAAAATAAATTGTGGCATTCTACGATTAGGCAGTTACACGACTTACCTTGTACTTTTTGGCAAATGCTTCCACTGAAGGATATTCATCACATTGTACCAATTTGAAGGCTGCTTTATATTGCACAAGCAGTTTACTACACCATGCTGTGTATTCCTTGGGTGGAATCACATCCTAGAAAAAACAATGCATATGTTGAAGTATTTATACAAGTCATTACATGAAAACAACTTAGCTATTGTCATTTGTCAAGAGGTGTCATTCACTGTCAAGTCAGTTCAGCTCACTAAAGTTGCGGAGGCATCCCTGTTTCCACTGTACCAGTAACTTAAAGTGTGAGAGCTATAGTCTCTCAGGATGTGGGAATAATTTAGCCAATCTGGCCCACCATCAGGTACACATAACTTGTTGGCCTAAACCTGCAGGCCAACAAGCAGTGGATAGGACATCCTACGTCTGAAGGCCATCAATAATCATATTATTGTTATTGATGTCCTACACACCAAAAATCCTCCTATGACTTCCCACAATTATGTAGTGTATTAATAATTCTTAGAGTCCTAGGTTTGGCTGGGATGGTACGCTAGACTTTCAGATCTCTTGACACACACCAAAGAGCAAATAATACTTAAAGCAACATTAACAAAAACTTATTGAAGAATAGCAGAGTATGAAGGAAAAGCTCTGAAGGAAGGGGTTGGCTGGAAAGACAAAGACGCTTCAGCAGGATAGAGAAGCTCAACTGCTTCTGCGCCTGTACTAGACGGGGCCAAATCAGGATCCACCCAAGTCGCATCCCTAGCTAAACCCTTTCTCAATTCCAAAACTCTCAAAAGTTTTGGAGTTGGAAGCAGGAGGGAGGGAGAAGGGCAAACTTTGGGCAAGGATAGAGAGATGCGAACGGAATCATGGTCAAACTCACCAACACCCACAAATTTGAGTCCCTAACACTAAGCGGGGCAAATCAAACCGGGCACACAACCTAGTTCTGGTTTGTGGTCCCCAGTAGGCCAATAGAACTCCGTAACTGATGGCACTCTGTAGTATGGCACTGAATTAGTGATAACTTCAGGGAGCCTAAAGGGGCACCCCTCAGAAAAGATTATCATTGTCAGCCAAATACACGACTCTCAAAATCAATAGGTCACCCTTGCCATACATTTTCCAAACTAATGGCACAGTCCATGGGTTAATAATTATTCCTAGCATTTTGTATTAAATTTACAGAACTGGACAGTTTAATATTTTGTGACATGCAAGGGTTATACTCCAGAAAAAACTTGTGCTCTGTGCATGCGTGAGTGCAAAAGAGCGAGAGATATAGACAGACAAAGAAGCAGAAATAGAAAATTAAAATAATGAATTTAACAATTAAAATTTTAAACAAGTCTCTTATGAACATATTTTTATACACATTTTTTTCTTAATTGAAACTACTAGCTCCAAGTCACCTTAGTTTACTGTGTTGAAGAGTGTAATATGACAATAAAACTATAGTATTGTAATTTACTGTACATATAGTAATTTTTATTATATCACGCTCAAATATCTTTGAGTTGGAAACTTATTTTTTCTACTGTATAAAGTTATTAACATTATTCAGTACAATTCAATTCTGCACAAGGTCTCAAACTTATACCTGCATATAGCTAGTGGTCTATTACAGTCAAGTTTCTCTTACTATTTATCACCTTTAGTCACACCAGTGTTTCCCATCTATACTTTGGGATTGATACAATCACTCCTTCCTGTTGGACTTGCTCATTTACACATGTTAAATGAGCAAGTCTAAAACACCCACATCAGTTACTGACCTTGATGTACATCTTCTCCAGAGACTGTAAAGTATTCATCACAGCATACAGTTCAGCAAGGTTGTCATACCTGACAAGCACAAATTATAAATTTAATTTATTCTTGTAGTCATTATGTTCAATAGTGTTTGTATCATACTCAACACAAATTATTTAAACTGAAAACTTAAGAGTACAGTGCTGTACATAAAGTCAAATCCTCACACGACTAGATAATGGTCCAGGATGGAACAAAACGTAGTCGTTTCTCCACTTTATGATGTGTGGTTTGGTTATCATATTTTCAGCTATCATGTTACTGTGACTCATTGTCCAAAAATTAATATCTTCTGAAAATTATTTTGTGAAGATCTTATGACCAAGATTTTATATCTTGGCTTGCTGGCATTTTAATTTTTCTCTGACAAATCAGTTTTTGAAAGATTATTTAGTAAACACATCTGATACATTACTAAGAGGAATCCTCAGCATTGCAGTCCAGATTCTGAATGTTCAACTTACCTAACTCTGTAAGCCTACAAATACAAAATTACTTAAATTTTCAAGTTTCTATTTTGCTCATTTTGTACATAATATAAATGAAAAGATAAACAAAAATAAATTTACTACTAAAAAAACTCACTTTTCTCTTTCACGAGCATTTGTGTAAAGCTTAACCTCTTCATAAAGTTCAGGGCGATTGTGATCTGGAAAAAGAATGTTTTACTGGTAGTAAAGATGTCAATTATACAGTACTGTCCTGTACACTGTATATTACAGTACAGCACAGTACATGTACTTTCTAGCACATCCCATTTTGTTGGGAAACTAGTTTCAAAGAAAGCATTTACTTTCATTTAAAAAAAATGGCTGTCATTGAAAACACTGTATCTGACTAATATACAGAAAGACAGATATAAATATTTATATATCTATATACACACACATTATATATATATTTGCAGTTGCCTACTGGCTTGAGGACCATTCAAGCTTGCTTGCATTATTTATATATATATATATATATATATATATATATATATATATATATATATATATATATATATATATATATATATATATATATATATATATATATATATATATATATATATATATATATATATATATATATATATATATATATATATTATATATATATATATATATATATATATATATATATATATATATATATATATATATATATATATTATATATATATATATATATATATATATATATATATATATATATATATATATATATATATATATATATATATATATATATATATATATATATATATATATATATATATATATATATATATATATATATATATATATATATATATATTATATATATATTATATATATATATATTATATATATATATATATATATATATATATATATATATATATATATATATATATAATATATATATATATATATATATATATATATATATATATATATATATATATATATATTATATATATATATATATATATATAATATATATATATATATATATATATATATATATATATATATATATATATATATATATATATATATATATATATATATATATATATATATATATATATATATATATATATATATATACACATATATATATATATATATGCAACAATGATCACAAAAACACTGATCCAAGTATGCAGAATAACCACATATGAAAAATAGAAAATGCTTAACGCGTTTTCGGCTAATTCGCCTTCATCAGAGCAAAGTAGAATCAAAGTAGAATTCATTCTACTTTGCTCTGATGAAGGCGAATTAGCCGAAACGCGTTAAGCATTTTCTATTTTTCATATGTGGTTATTCTGCATATATATATATATATATATTATAAAGTACAGTATATATATAGTATATATACATATATAATATATACATTCATATTACTATTAATTATAATTATATATCTATCAGTGAGAAGCTGGATTAGGTTAGGTTAGGTTTTAAAAGTAAATAAAAAATTTTGTGAACCATATTTTATACAGAAGTACTCGTATCCCACAAATCTAGGACATCATATACAACAATGGAAGGACAAGTCATATCGTACCTCACTTGCTTTGCCAATGGATCTTAAAACGTACGTATTCTTACCCTGCCTAACCTAACCAAGTGTAACACATCCTAATTTATATTTATATGGTTCAATTTATATGGTTTAGACAATCATAAAGCTCTGTGGAATCGTCTTATGTCCGATTTGAGCACCGGAACTCATTCATAGCTCATTCATTACTTTATAATCAACCACATAATAATGTAAACCGTGTTAAGAATAAATTAGTTAGCTGAATAATTTATTGGACTGTTTGAGCCAATACATTAGTGATAAGAGGATATACCCAGTGACGTCACCTTCACTCGAGGAAGTACTGTAGTAGTATCTTCGTTAAGTTAGTTATAAGAACAGCTATACCATAGCTCAACTAGACGAACTCAACACCTGCAGCTCATGAATAGCCTGTAACGTTTCCAGAACCACTCACAAGGAAGGGTCATGGTATGCATAATAATGGAGCTTAGATCTATAACTTGGGAGTGACTCAAGATTGTTACCTTGCGTGCTGTTGGAAGACAATGCACCAAACATTGTGCCGACGGTGTACTCCACACTCTTCTTCCTTGATATCTCTACTCTCTCTCAAGGTTTCTTCTCCCAGACGGTGGCGGGGGTGGAAGAGACGGAGTGGGAGATGGAAGAGACGGAGAGAGGTGGAAGAGACGTGGTCACAGCCCCATACACCTCGCTCCTACTGTCAACTACCACCCTTTCGTACACACGTTAAGGGCTGGCTTGTGTCACTTGCTGTTATCGTCTGCAAAGGCAATAATATAACCAAAATGAGACGATAGAATTTGCTAATAAGTTAATGCGAGTAATCAGATGGTACAAAATGATAATATATTAAAATAATGATCGACCAGCCACAAACCTGCAGTGAGGTCGAAACGTATATAACCACTTCGGAGGGCGTCAGTTTAGTACACAAAAGTTCAGTTCGTTCACAAACAGGTTTATATTCAGGAACCCTTTTGTATACGAGATGTGTAGACAAAAACACATACAGTATTTGTGCTGTAGACAAAACGCAACTATAAAACACACATATGCGCTGGCGTGTGTTCGCTTCGGTTCTCGTCTTCCAAGATAATAAAATGCCCAATAGAAATTTAGAATAAGTCAAAATTGTGACTAATAAGATGGCAAATGAGTATATTATATTATAATAATACGAAAGTATTTTTCAGATATGCGAGGCGATTTATCCTTATACAATTGAGTTAAAGTTCAAGTATGTTTATTAAGAAAAGAAAGAAATACATCTCAAAGGGATAGAGTAGCTTAGGCTATTTCTACCCTCTCTACTTCAAGTCCCTCAAGGGGCGCACAAATTCAGTGAGCACAAATAGACAAAACATTACAAGAATTACATTACAAATTGAATGAATTAAGTTCGCCTTAACAGCTTTCATATTGCAAAATCATATCAAAGTATCTACACTAAAATCATTAATTGTAGGTACATGCCTAAAGATGCGTATTAGTGGCTTTAGGAATAGTATATACTAGCTTTATCTAGAAGTCCAACATTCTGCTTGTAACTTTTTGAATGTATTTACTTTTACCTTTATAAACATTATTATCAGTATTATTATATAGATATTAAATGTGGGCTGACGTGCTTAACGCTCGGCTTATACTGTTGTATATCTTATTATTATCTATCAGCGAGGGCTTTGTCTCTTATTACAGAACGAATAGACTCAAGATAGTGCAAACAATACAACTGCAATAATCTTTTGGATTATTACATGATTGCAACTAGACCGTAGTTGCACTCTTCATGAACGAACTGAACAAACATCCGAAGCACAAACATACACGAACGGAAGCCCGACTATATGCACAACCCGAAGCCCAAGTGTCACCCCCAGAGCCCGACCAGTTTTGGTGACCGCAAGCCTAGCAAGCAAACATCTCATTCAACCCACACCAAGCCAAACAAACAGCCCCAGAGCCCAACCAAACTCCCTCCCTAGCTCTACCAAATAAACACTTCCTTAATTATAGCCCTACCCAACAACTGCCCTCCCTTGCCTTAGCAAATAACTTTGGAGCCAAAGCAAAAAAACAATTCAGTCCTATACAAAAAAAGAAACCTGCAACTCTTGCAAAAATACAACAATGAAGTCCTAGAAAATAAACATACACTCAGCCATAGCAAAGAAACATGAGATACTAGCACACAACCTCTGAAGCACAACCATACACGAACCGAAGCCCGACCATGCACAACCCGAAGCCCAAGTGACACCCCCGGAGCCCGACCAGTTATTTAACCGGAGCCCGACCAGTTGTGTAACCGGAGCCCAACCAGTTGTGTAACCGGAGCCCGACCAGTTGTGTAACCACACGCCTAGCAAGCAAACATCTCATCAAACCCCCACCAAGCCAAACAAACAGCCCCAGAGCCCACCTAAACTCCCTCCCTAGCTCTACCAAATAAACACTTCCTTAATTATAGCCCTACCCAACAACTGCCCTCCCTTGCCTTAGCAAATAACTTTGGAGCCAAAGCAAACAAACAATTCAGTCCTATACAAAAAAAGAAACCTGCAACTCTTGCAAAAATACAACAATGAAGCCCTAGAAAATAAACATACACTCAGCCATAGCAAAGAAACATGAGGTACTAGCACACAACTTCTGGAGCACAACCATGCACGAACCAAAGCTTAACCATGCACGAACCGAAGCCCGACCATGCACAACCCGAAGCCCAAGTGACACCCCCGGAGCCCGACCAGTTATTTAACCGGAGCCCGACCAGTTGTGTAACCGGAGCCCAACCAGTTATTTAACCGGAGCCCGACCAGTTGTGTAACCGGAGCCCGACCAGTTGTGTGACCGCAAGCCTAGCAAGCAAACATCTCATTCCACCCACCCCCCCCCAAGCCAAACAACAGCCCCAGAGCCCAACCAAACTCCCTCCCTAGCTCTACCAAATAAACTCTTTCTTAATGCCCTACCTAACAACCGCCCTCCCTTGCCTTAACAAATAAATTTGGAGCCAAAGCAAACAAACAATTCAGTCCTATACAAAAAAGAAACCTGGAACTCTTGCAAAAATACAACAATGAAGCCCTAGAAAATAAACATACACTTTAGCAAAGAAACATGAGGTACTAGCACACAACCTCTGGAGCACAACCATGCATGAACCGAAGCCCAACCATCCACGAACCAAAGCCCGACTATGCACAACCCGAAGCCCAAGTGACACCCCCAGAGCCCGACCAGTTATTTAACCGGAGCCCGACCAGTTGTGTAACCGGAGCCCGACCAGTTATTTAACCGGAGCCCGACCAGTTGTGTAACTGGAGCCCGACCAGTTGTGTAACCGGAGCCCGACCAGTTGTGTAACCGGATCCCAACCAGTTGTGTAACCAGATCCCAACCAGTTGTGTAACTGCACATAGATGAGAATATTACAAACCATATCAAATTTGCAGATGACACTAAGATATTTAGTAAAGTGGGAAGTTAAAGTCATATTGAAACCTTACAAAGATCTACGTGAACTCCACAAATGATCAGATGACTTTTTAATGTCGATAAATGCAAGACCTTGCATGAGGGGCATAACAATCCACGTCACAACTACCCAATTGACAGCACTACCTTCCAACAGATAAATGAAGAAAAGAACCTTGGAGTCAGCATCCATCACGTAAGGCATAATACACTACTAAATCATCAACCTTATCTTGGAGTCAGAATCCACCAATCACTGATAGTTGTACAACAAGTGGGAGCGGCAGTAAAAAGGCAAACCAAACCCTGGGAATAATAACCTTCAAGGAAATGAAAGTAGACCTTAAATTGTACAAGTTTCGCCCCCACATGAATTATTGCATCCAGGCATGGAGACCTCATCTTCAGAGAGACATAGTTGCTCTGGAGCCATGTCTTACCAGAGCTATGGAGCTATGTCTTACGACAAAAATCATACCACAGCTTAGTCATCTCTCGTATCAGGAACGGTTGAGGGCCACAGGCCTAACACCACCACAAACCAGGCATGACAGGGCGGACTTCATAGAAACCTTTAAAATACTAAACAATTTGGAGGATGTCGATCAGGACAATGTCTTCAAAAGGTCAGATGTTGCACGAACAAGGAGCAACGGGTTCGAACTCAACAAGCCAGAATGTTGGACAGGAAACAGTAGATGCTTTTTGCCCATACGATTGTAAACCCGTGGAACTGACTACCCGCCGAAGCCGTAAACGCCAAAACTCTGTTGGGGGTTTTAAAATACAGCTGGAAAAGATCAACAGGGCAAATGGGGGGACCTCTGACACGCCGCCGGCTTACTGTCCTCATCGAGGTGTTAGTGTCCCTCAGGTAAATTCAGTTCCTGGAAGGGTGTCCCTGCTCCTTCCCGTTGGGAAGTTGTTCATCTAACTCAACAGTAAAATGGGTACTTGGTTGTAACAACGATTCTTCGTGGGGGTCTTATTCCAGGGTCCTGCCCGAAACGATACGCGTACTAGTGGCTGTACAAGAATGTAACAACTCGTGTGTATGTGTGTGTGTGTGTATGTGTATGTGTATATGTGTGTGTATATGTAATATTATATATAATATATTATATATATATATATATATATATATATATATATATATATATATATATATATATGTATATAATATGTATATATATATATATATATATATATATATATATATATATATATATATATATATATATATATATATATATATATATATATATATATATATATATATATATATATATATTTATATATATGAGCCCATTATATGCCTCTGTAACCCTTTCCACTACTGCCCACAAGATGGGTATGGGGTGCATAATAAATGAACTAAACTAACTAACTAAAGTATTTGTACACTGGACTGTCGCTTGTCACTAAATTTAGTTTATAAACTATTAACTTTATGAAATAATATTACCTTATACGCGAGAATAATTCTGAATACCCACTGCGACCAAATTAACGAATGCAGCTTTGGGTTGGGCGGCCACGGAGGCGAGCCTGGCCTGAGGACAGCTAGCCAACTCTAAACGCTTCACCCTCCACATAATTCGAGTGCAAATAATTACCAACAGAACCTAAATACCGAACCTACTATATGCCTAATTAAACATAGAATATAACATTAATTTGTACATGATAAAAACTATTTTTAATACACAGTACATGAAAGTCGATAATAAGTGCGCCTTAGGAGGTGAGGGGGGGTCGACCGCCGCGTTAACGAGCCTAGTCGTCATAAAAGCGCCTTGGGAGGTGAGGGGTCGACCGCCGCATTAACGAGCCTAGGCTGACGACAGGGTGGTTTAGCACTCTGGGGAAGTGTATTCTACATAATATCCTACCCATATAATGTTGACAAATCATGATCCTCAAAATCTTCCACAATATCCGAGAGAGGACAGACTATTCAGCATTAGTGGAATACAAACATTTGAACCCAGATGAAAAAAACAATACGGAAACAATGACTCTCGGAGACATTTCAAAAACTCAATGTTATAAAAGCGAACAAATGTATAATGCATTAAGCATTGTAGGTGGAGGTAGACTATATATTCCAGCGTACCTCCCAACTTTTCAGACATATCAGTAAAACAAAATTGATCAGCCTTATCTACACGAGAACGACGATGCTCAGCCGCCGCTGCTTCCTGACGACTGGCGGGGCGATAGTCGGTGACCTGTATGCGTCCAACCGACCCAGAGACCCCCTGCCTAAAATTATTTGAACGCCATTTTGAAATTCCTAGCGTATAGCGCCAGGAGTGTGTAAATTAATATTTATATGCATTATAGGCCGTTCTAAAGGAATTTATAGATCTGAATATCATATATATTGCCTAATAAACGCATTATTTAAGTTAATATTTTAATTATGCCGGATACGAGTCAGATCGCACACAAGAAGATTCGTCAGCGGATTTTTTATTATTTTTTTTATTTATAAATAAAAAAAGAGTTCTTAAATTCTTGTAAAACCATTAGCATGCATAGCGTTTCGGGCAGGTCCTTAATCTTAATTTTTTTCCTCGGAATACCGCCAAATCGTTTTTCCCGCCAAATCGTGTAACAACCCATTCTCTGCTGGGTAAACAGTTAAGGATTGCCGCTTGGTCACTCCTTCCGGCCAGGATACGAACCCAGGTCAAAGCGCTGGCGAAGAGCCGGGCGTGTGCTTTACCACTACGCCATAGAGACTGCTCCGTGGCGTAGTGGAATTTTGAATTTTGAAACCTGACTAACCTAGCTGAACCCAACCTAACGTAACCCAAATCAAAACAATCTAATCCAACTGAGCCCAATGCAGCCCAACCTTAATAACATAACCTAATACTTGTACTTGTATCCAGGACTACTAAGTAAATATGAAACTCACTAAACACTGTATCTAATCTACTCAACAACGTAACATAATCGTACGTTGTTGAGTAGATTAGATACAGTGACATAATACACAGCCTAGCATAACAATACATCCGGTTTAAAACAGAAAATGAGTTTAGCCGAATCGTCTCGTGTCCGAAACGACCATATCCCGACCAGTTGTGTAACCAGAGCCTTTCACCAGTTGTGTACACACAGGTCTAGCAAACAAGCACCTCACCTAACCAGACAAACGTCCCCCTAACTCTACCAAGCACACCAAGAGCATAAGATCAATTTGCTGTGGTTGAACCCCATACACAGATACCGTATGTAAGATAGGGATAGATTAGCGCGTAGTGTAATGAGAGGAGAGCAGAGAGGGGAACATTCCAACAGTCAGCTCCACTAACTTGCTCTAGCTTCTGCCTTCCTTTCCTTGGCTACCTTATCATGGCGATGTTTGATGATGCCCCTAATTTGTAAAAGAATCTTGGGGCTGAATTAGCATGCAATATGATCTACTACACCCTCACCGGCCAGCACATCTGTACGCTAGTTTCCTCAAATGCCAGCAGGAGAGGCAATCCACAGGGACTTGGTCATCCTTCCCTGGTTAGATATCACTTTTATCTTTCTCTTGATTACCGTTTTTTGGGGACTATGAAATACGCAGCGCTATGAAATGAACTAAAACTACATATCTATGACAAAGTACATGGTTGTTAGTGATGTTTCAAGAATATAATTTTCATATTAACATTGTTATCTGACCCATTGTTACAGTCTTGTGGTTCAAATAAACAAACTAAAAATAAAGTGATTACGTTGCTGGTGGCGGGGTTACGCCCTTGTTACGGGTCAAGCGAGAGCTTGGGCGTGAACTCCGCCTCCCTGGCACCAACCATATGCCATGCCTGACGTATGATCAACACTCACAACTTAATCTTACTGACCGGACTAACGTAATAAACTAACTAATAATTCCTACAACTTCAACACTAACATTTCTGAGATAAATTTACAGGCGAGGGTGCGTACGCGTCATTGAGCTGTTTGCGGTATGATAGTTTAAGGTGCCAGCTGAAGAGCGGAGGGGTGCCCGGGCGCGGGGCACGCGGGCACACGAGCACCAAGGGACATGGCTAAAGGGGTCGTCCTGCTGGGCATCGCCGCCGCTCTGTCGGTGGGCGCGGTGGTGGGCCAAGTTATCACCTCGACATGTGGCGAGTGTGACAGGTGAGGTGACCATTCAAATTCAAATTCAAATTGAAATAAGTTTATTGAGGTAAAATACACACAAAGGGATGAGGTAACTCAAGCTATTCTCACCCCTTTCAGTACATCGTGTTAATACATACATATAAACACATCACAAACAATAAACATATTACCAAACATTCTGAGAGATAAACATACATTACCTAGGTGACCATTACTCTCACTATAACATAAAATGCACATTTTTTGTGGGATAAACTTGCGCAATAATAATATTTGATTTATAAACATACAGGATCAGATTACATGCGGGGATTATTACAATATTTGTTCATTTTATAGAGCCACTGTAATTACCGTGTACATTACGGTGATGTTCAGAGTGAGTGAACCTGGTCGCACCCGGCTGTCACCACACAGGCAGTGACACAGTGGGCACACAGTTATTCAAGATTAACGTTAATTGAACGCTAAATTAACGTTATTTCTGGATTTTGTTCTGTCACTCTTGCGTTAATTACTGTACTGCTGAACATTGGTCAACGCTGAGGGTGGCACAGCTTATCTGAGCCCATCCCCAGACCAGATCCATTACCATGACAAACTACTCCCTCCACTCAAACCACCTGGATAGTTATCTAGATATTTGTGATGGTCTGAAAGCATACTAGTTCCAATAATAGTCTACATGTAAACTGAGAATTGAATCTTTGCCCTAAACACAGATTACTCTCAAGTTATAACTTTATTGTATTATAAGTAGTTGGTTTAAATATCAAGAGTGTGTTGAGAACGTTTCCTTTGAAGAATTTAGTTTTCTCTAAACAGAATTCTTGGGTACACTTAGTACTCGTGGCGGAGCGAATATTTCTCAATGAGCTCAAATTTACTCATGACCTTATGATTGATCTCACAGATCCAGCTGTGTTGATGTGGAAGCCTCTTGTCCGGGCGGTCTGGTGCTAGACGCTTGCGGGTGCTGTCAGGTGTGTGCGCGAGGCCTGGGTCAGCGGTGTGAGAACCGCACTACCAGTAGTCCTCCATTAACAACCACAACCTCAGCGCACTATGGCGAATGCGGGGAGTACCTGGTTTGTCGCACTCGTACCGATACAGGCGTAAGTTAGTCTACTTCCTTCATGGTTGTTGTTAGATGAGTCCGTATCCCCTCATCACACGTTCTCTATCTTCTGATACATGTTTTTTTTTATACTAAAATTTTGTAAACTACCGTTGTATCTGTTTATACGTTCTGTACATTGTTAACAGATAATTCCCGCAGTCACTGAGCAGTGACTGGGGAGATTAGCCTTTAGTCGGGGTAGTGACGCCTCAAGGATGGGCCAGTCACAGGCTAAGGGCAATTGTAGGTTTTAATCTTGGTAATAGTCGTCCATTCTGTAGTATGATTGCCAAGACTGCACAGCAACCCCCTTGTGAGGCCTCACTGGCACGAGAGATAAAGCTATACAATGACATCAGTATTCCTACAATGCAAGAGTTGTCTCCGTCTTGTGTCGTATTTTAATACACCGCTGTCTTAGGCTTTAATTAATATCATGTTTTTGTTGTTGAACTAACCAACGTTGCATGTGTCGTCTGGGCATCATGTGCATCATTGTTTACCAAATTGAAAATTTGCATTTGTTTTGAGTGAAATTAAAGTCACTTTTTGTCTTAAGTTGATATCGAAGTTCTGCAGTTTAAAAGCTTCGTTTAAGACTGGGGTAATATTATTGTTTTCATCAGTGGAGAAATTAATTAATTTATAATCAACTTATGATCATAAATGTATGACCTGATCAGACTATGTCCTTCATAAATAATTATGAAAATGCGTTTGTACTTTGAAGTAGAAATAATTTGTTTAACTTCATGACAGCTTACACAGAGCTAGTAAATATTAGCTTAATTAGTATGTTACGTGTTGATGTCTACCAAATTTTCTTCATCCCAAGAACTTTCTATTTTTATTCTGCTCTTCCATTTACTGTTTAATGTCTTACTTGTGTGTGTCTGCCTCTTGCTTTATTTTATCTTATACTCAACAATATATATGGTCTTGGGAAACCCTAGCAAATATTTCAGCTAAGCAGTACTTAAGATGTCTAGAATGTTGTTAGTTGTCTCATATATTATTGTAGGACTTTAAACAGTAGACAGACTCCACACAGGGAATATCATACTAAACATCATACATTTATGATATTAAGTTGATTATGACACAAGTGGCGTCATAGTTAAGCAAAACCAAGACAAGCCGAGGAACTCTTGCATATACAATGTGAAAAATTATTATTATTTTTGTAAGTATGTTAGTTGTTGAGGATGAGAGTGAGTGAGGGCGGGAGTGGTGAGAGTGGGTGTTGAGAGAGGTGGTGGGCGGCCTGACTAAGCTGGCCTGACTGTTGCACCCATCCCAGTGGTGACGTCACCTCACACCACCACCACACTCCCTTACTCCGCCCTTGTTATTTTGCATGTTGTCATTTACAGCATAATTTTGAACATTTTGAACATGTTGTTGAGCAAGGCTCAGCGTCTTGAATATATTAGACCCCAAAGCTGATCCGTCCCAGATACTAACTCTAATCTAGACAAACATTGCCACATGTGCGCGATATTTGATAGCACTAGGTTGTTGAGAGAGTGAAAATCTGATGTGAATGAATGAATGAGTGAATGATTGAATGTGCGAGAGAGAGAGAGAGAGAGAGGGGGGAGGGATGGTTGAGTTTCGACTCTTTGGTCCTGCTTCTTAACTGTCACTCAACAGATGTGCAAGTTACTGAGTCTGTTGGGATCTATCGTATCTACATTTTGGAACTGTATGGAGTCGGCCTCCACCACATCATTACTTAGTGCATTTCACATGTTCTCTCCTCTGACACTGAACGTATTCTTTTTAATAGAGATGGGGAAGGTATGAAGATGTTTACACTGATAAGGACAGTATGTACTGTAGTTACAACGGCAGAGACAGGGAGGGCATGTTTGAAAAAAACAGGAAGGGTGTGTGGGAGACCTGGGCGTCGGGTCTACCCGGGCACTGCCGGGTAACATGTGATATGCAAAGTTCTTAATGATTTCTTCTTCCTCTTTCTAAAGGCAGTTCTTATTTTGTGCAACCTAGCACATGCCGCGGGCGATATCTGGGGGACAAGTTTAGTGTAATATCGACTCCGGCTTTCTCTCGTTTTTAAAGGGTTTCTACTTTTAATTGGTACCTTAATTGTGTGCGGCCTCCTATTTCCAGCACCCAATGTAATTACTCTGCACTTATTAAAGTTAAACTATAGTAGCCATTTGTTGGACCATTCCTTCAGTTTATCCAGCCCATCTTGTAGCCTCTTGCTATCATCCCCTGAATTAATTCGCCTCAATTTCTGCACCTTCGGCAAACATTGAGAGGAATGAGTCCACCAACTCACTAAATATGATAAAAGATATGTAGGTCGGGAACGCTTGTATTAGTAACAGGCAGATAATAGGTGGGAGCAAAAGCCGGAGCTTGGTCCTCCAAACACAACTTTATGAGCTCGTGCAAAAACACATTCACAAGAATTTATGGCCAGCAAGTCTGTGAGAGAAATAAACAACATGCCATATCCTCACACACATTACAAAGCGTTATATGACAAAGAGCGCTGGGAAGACGGGACACCACGAGCATAGCTCTCATCCTGTAACTACACTACACTTAGGTAATTACAAACATATACAAAGGGGCAAAGGCACACGGGGAATACATGGAAGCAACGGAGCCGCCGACCTCACAAACATAAACTGTTTATTGAGGTCTGTGTAAACTCTCGCCCAACTTCTTGTTCACTATCCCTGCGTCTTGTTCCCCTTTCAAGCGCCTTTCACCCTTCATGCTTCTTCCCTTAAAATATTAATTTCTATTAAGTTTTTATCTCACGAATAACAGTCAAATCCCAGAAATACCCATACAGCTGCCCCTGGTCAACGTCCTAGTTAGCAGGAGGCAGCGACCCGCTGCAGTGCTGGCTCAGGGCCCCACCTCCCCTCAGCTAGTTACAGCGGCGGCCTTGTGCTCCCCTTCCCTTTGGTCACGCACTCCCAGGGACGGGAGGAGGGGACAGTGTGTGGGGGGGACGGAAGGAGGGGATGCGTGTGGTGACGGGGAGACGAGAGGGGAGGTGGAAGAAGGGCAGGTTGTGGTGTGAGGCAACGTGTGGACACAGCAGAAACTTTGCACTCAGGAAGGAGCGCACAGAGAACTCTTGAGAAGCATGGCTTGGGGAGTGCTTCTTGAGTGACAGATGAGACGTGTGCTCAGTGCAACAATTAAGGGTGATTAATAGAACTAGGAAGAGGTGCCTAATGGAACTAGGAAGGGGTGCTTAATGGAACTAAGAAGGGCTGCCTAATGGAACTAGGAAGGGGTGTTTAATGGAACTGGGAAGGGGTGCTCAAAGGAAATTGGAATGAGAATGTTCCAAGTGCTTAACACTTGTAGTGGAATCTGTAAGACTTTTTATAGGTTCACATTCCCAGGAAGGGTTTATTGTTGTTGTTTTATATTTAGCTACTCAGAAAGAAGTGTTCATGTAGCACGGGCTATGGTGAGCCCGTAAGGCAAGCCTAGAGAGGGCGTTGTTGTACTCTTTATAGGTGTACTGGGTGTTAGTGAAGGTGAACAATGTTAAGTGTAGCGAGACTGAACATGTTTTAGGATGGAGAGGTATTTGCACATTTCCTTTCAACTGATATCATTGTTCACTTAGTAGTAAATAGTTTCCAGAACAATGGAGAATGTTGTTCACAAAAATGACATTTTATGCATGCACCTGTTATGTATCATTGCAAGGGTTTTTACTTTTTTTAAAGAATTGGGCATGGAGGCAAGTACTGGTAAATAAATTTAAGAATACAATGAGTGCAAAACGTTTGATATTTTAAAATGTAATGTAAATAAAGTGTAGGAAAGCTTTGTGAGTGAATAACAGTAACTGTTTCAGGCAGATAACATCAAAAGGAAGTGGAAACTTGAATATTTGTATCATTGTACAGGGTACGGGTGAGGCCACGTGCGAGTGTGAAGATCAAGGGGAAGTGTGTGGGACAGACGGGACCACCTACACAACTCTCTGTCACCTCTTAATGGAAACTGTAAAAAGACCTAATCTCAATGTTGCTGTAAGAGGTCCTTGCAAGACAGGTAAGGCAAGAGAAAGACAACCAAATTCGAATACTGTACTTTAAGTACAGTACTCGAATACTTTAGTACAGGATACTTAATACTTAAAGTAGTACAGTACTTAGTTGCTTCTGTGATACAGTACAGTACTGTATCACAGTATCAGCGATGACTAAATCAATCCACATTTTAACAAGTAATGAAATACTCCATAATACATTTCATGCCAACAATTCTTATTCATTTAATAGGAGCTGTAGCCAAAACAATCAAACTCCTGGAAGAGTCGAACCCTTGACTTCAAGGAAAAGGAGTGAATATAACGTTACGTTGTACTGTATTACATTTGTCAAATGACAATGGTATAAATCTTTTTATATACAGCCCCTGTGATCAAATCCAAGCCAGAAGATAAGATAAGACCACTTGGAAGCATTTTGGTACTGGACTGTGAGGTTGCTGGTTACCCAGTACCAGATATTACCTGGGAACTGAACCTTTCTGATGGATCATCATTCAAATTGCCAGGTGTGTACTTAAACTCATGGTAGTGATTAGTTGATTATCATTTTGTATTTGGGAACTTAGCTTAAAATCTTTTATCAGTGTAGGAGACAAAGATAGACCTATTTGACTGACAATTTCCACTTTGTTTTTTCCTGTCTTTTTTATTTGTCTCAACTGATATTTATCTGTAGTGCTGTATCTATACTGTTTATGTATTTTTGCTTATTTATGTACAGTATGTGTTTATACTCGCCTCTTTGCAGGGACTGATTTCCATCTCCTGGTCCCTATCTCTTAAAACATTTAGCAATCTATGTCATACATTCCCCATTTTCCACTTGCTGTTATTACGTTAGAGAGATTCTTTAACTTTATTTTTAAAGAGATTTTGCTGTTTCCAATCCCTCTGACTTACCAGTATTTGAACGTTCAGCTTTTACTTGTACTCATATGCTTGCATTATTGTTCTCACCATCACAAAAGGGTGAAACACTCAATTTTCTCATCTATGTTCTTTTGGTCTCTGTATTTGTAGTCCTCAATTTTTTGACAGAGAAATTATTAAAATTTATTTGATTTTGAGCCAGTCACCAATACCTAAAACATTTCATTGATAATTAAAGCATTAAACTAAGCCAAAGAACATTTTATTGTCCAAAGACAAGAAAGAGATCATTATAAAATACTGTACTGTACTGAGCTTTCTCCACAACTTTTTAAATTAAAGTTTCTGCTCAATGAAAATATATTTCCTTTTGCTCTTACCACCTTCAGCAACATGACTGTTGTTATGATATATCACTTTTAATAAAATGTACAAAATAGTGTAAATAATACCTTTACCAACTACTGTGAAAATAGTTAAAAACCATGAGAGTGAAATATTGGAGACAGTGTTTATTAATACAAATAACCATGTATACCTTCGTTTCTCATATACTGTACATAGCCAATTAACCAATTCACATTATTTTCTCATAGACATAGTAAATAATATGTAAAAAATTGCGTGATTACCCATGTGGAGTAAAAAATATTATCTACGCTAATGGTGTCCTGTCTTCCAAGCACTTTATAATATAATGCTTTAAAACTATTGGTGGTTTTGGCATCCATCATCAGTTTTTAATTTTATTATTTATTTATATATGCAAGAGTTCTTACATTCTTGTAAGGCCACTTTCATGCATAGCTTTAGGTCGGGCAGGTCTTTAATACTGTACTAATTTTCCCTGGAATACGACCCACCAAATCAGTTAACAACTAGGTACCCATTCACTGCTGGGTGAAGAGGCTATAGTTAAGGATTGGCACCCAGTCATTCCTCCCCTGCCAGGCTTCGAACCCAGGCCAAAGCCCTCATGAAGCGATGGGCGAGTGCTTACCACTACGCCACGAGGACTATCTCCTCACATAATTCGTTCCAATCATCTACCACTCTGATTGCAGAAGTGAACTTTCTAACGTTTCTTTGGCAATTTTGTTTCCTTAGTTTGAATCTAGGTCCTCTTGTTCTTCAAGTTGCAGTTTTCAAAAATTATTTTGTCAATTTTGTTCTCAGTGGTCATATCACCTCTTTATTTTCTGTCTTCTAGCTTTAGTATAGTTAACCTCTAATCACTCCTTGTTGCTCATGTTTTTCAGTTCCGGGGGCAATTTGGTTGCATATCTTTACACCTTTCCAGTTTATTGATATGCTTCTTAAGATATGGACACCATATAACCACTGCACATTCCAATTTTGGTCATGCAAATGTTGTGAAAAAATTTCTTTAATATTTCACCATCCACGTAAATAATGGCAATTCTAAAGTTAGAAAGCATAGCATATGCTCCTTGCTTATTGTTCTTTATGTGTTCTTAAGGTAACAGTTTTCTATCTAGAACCACCTGTAGATCTTTTTCTTTATTCCTTAATTCTTTTTTCACACAATTTGTATGTTGCATGTGGCCTATTTTCTCCTATTCCACATTCCATGGTACAGTATGACATTTATTCACATTAAATTCCATTTGCCAAGTGTTGCTCCATACACTTATTTTGTCCAGGTCTTCTAGAAGGACATGATAATAGACTGTATATCTTAACTTCTCTAATAACTTCACATCATCAGCAAACATATTTATATTATTCTGTATTCCTTTTGGTAGAGCATTCATATAGACAATGAACATTAATGGTGATATAACTGAATCCTGTGGCATACTACTTGTAACATTTCTCCAGTCTGATACATTGGCTGAGTATTATCCAAATTTTTGTCAGACAATTTTTCATCCATGTCAGATTGTCACCCATTTCAGTATGTTCCATTTTCTAGAAAAACCTGTTATGTGGGAATGTCAAAAGCTTTTTTTGTAGGTACAGATAAATGCTGTCAACCCAATCATCTTTGTCCTACAAAATTTTTGTGGTTCTATCATAAAAACTAAGTAGATTTTGTGTAGCATGTTATGATGCTGCCTCCTCCATTCATCATTCCTTCTTTCCATTCACTGCACCTTCCTCAGCTGACAAAGCAATACAGACTGCTCTGAATATTTGAGTATACAGTATATACATAATCAACCCATCCACACTATTTTTACCTTAAATAATGTAATAAATAGGACACAATATTTACAACCTATTCTGAGGCCTTTTTTTCACTATTTTTATTATTTCCAGGTGATGACCCTTCATTTGCTGTTCAAGTTCGTGGTGGTCCTGAAGCTTACATGGTTACTGGGTGGGTTCAGATAATGCGTATTACAAAGGCAAATCTTGGTACTTACACTTGTGTGGCTACCAATTCTGAGGGAGAGGTTCGTGCTTCTGCTTCTGTTGCAACAGAGAAACCTGGTAAGTTCTCATTGACACAGATGGTTGCAGAATTAATTATACATATTAGTTAACTGCATTCCAAGCACCTTAAAACTGTATGGAACATGCATACAATACTTGATTAGGGTTAATCCTTTAGTTTACTTCACATGTTTAACAGACACTAGGTAAATTCAATGATGTCAAAGTTCATGTGCATGTTACTTAAACTGGAAGGTAGCTAACATTCCAGTTCCATCATTCTTACTCTTGTGGAAGTTAGCTTGCCCTTAGAAAAATAAGGCATAAAGTGGGATGAAATGATTGCTTCTGTGTTTCCTTGGTTGCTTCCCTAGCCATGGACTCACCCAGGTTATTGCTATCAATCCAGACTGTGGTCAACTTTGAGCTCCACTGTGGGAAAAATTTTGTTAAATTGTCTTGTCGCAGAGTTTTCGGGCGAGAAGACAAGTGAACACACCTCAATCAACCACTCACTTTGGTACCTAAGAACAGATCAAACTACTTACAACCTCTTCAAATGATCATTGGGACCATAAGAATTGTTGATTTGATTGAATGTAATTAGCAAACTATCTGCTACACTGACTGCCACTAGTTGTCATTCCTAGTTATTCTGGCACATGCATGGCCTGCGCTGAGGGTTCGAATCCTGGTCGGGTCACTTAAAGTTCTTAGTGATCTATGGCTTTTGCGTTCATGCAGCCTTTGTCATATTTGAAGAGTTGGTGCAGCCCATGCATGTGCCAGAATTTTATGAAAAACTGTACCTAGATTGAACCATCAGTATAGTTGGGGGGTTGGTTAGTCGTGGAGTTTTGTTAACAAGCACAAGGACAAACCGATCCCTTACAAGTGCTATGTAGTTGTAATGGCTTGGCACTTTTTTCTGATAAATAACTTACCAGGAACTTGTACCATAACCAGAAGTGTCAGATTAGGAATATCTTTCTTAATCACTTGTGATGCTCAGCCTGTTAACCCCTGCACTGTGCTCCTTGTATAGCTGACATCACCCCAGTGGCCAAGAAAAAAATATAAAATATGTTGTCTACTAATATTGTTCAAATGCATTTCTTGATCATGGGAACATAAAATTTTATTTTATGTTACTTTGGATGTGTTGCAGGTCTGAAAATCTCGCAATGATTTCAAAAGAATTCGTGGAGCAATCCACCCCCAGGCCAGGTGGGAAATGTAGTTAAGATATTTTTACATATTTATTTCGATGTCTCTTGATTTGTTTTTCACCATTGTTTTTGCAGTAATATTATTTAATAGTGTGTCCTTTGAGAAATGTATATACAGCACTGTAATATAAAGTATGGAACATCAGAATGCTCAAATATATTTGTCATTAAGATGCACACCATATTTATGCTTAGAACAATAACACACAGTCCATCACATTTAGGATCTTCTATGACACTATCATTACAAAATAATTGCAGTTACTGTATTTATTTTGTCAATATTTAGTGATCATGTGGGCACAAGCTCAATGGCAGTGCTGTGAGCTGCTGAGGCATGCTCTACCTATGGTCACCTCTTAATATTAAGGCTTTCACACCTGAGGGATGCCCACAATTTTTTTCCAAGATGGTATCTGTTTATTGGAAGTAAACTGGAAGCCTGAGGAAGTATATGCGAGTCCTTTGTACACGTAGGACTTTTAAATCTTATGTGATACCTTAAATCATCACTGATTGACTCACATAGTGGAGTCAGAAATGGCATGATCATTCCTGATTAACTTTAAAAGACTTAACATTTAAAAAAAAAAAAAAAGTTAAAATGTGTAATAATTCATTGTGTCAGGGGGACAGGCAGCCAGTTTATACATACAGTACATGTTAGGTTTATATCGAGCCCCCTCCCCCCTCCTCCCCAGGGGCAAATTACTTACCTTCCTCAGGATGCAACAAAAGCTGACTAACTTGTGGTTACCTTGTTTACTGCTAGGTGAACAGGTGCATTAGGTAATAGGAAAAGTGCCCAACCATTTCTATCCCACCCAGGATTCAAACTCGGAATTCTCTATTGCAAGTCGAGAAGGAACCCAATTGTACTACCGGAACCCTGTAAATATAATATTGTATAATAATTTTGTCAGATAAATAACGAAGTCAATTCATGTCATCTGTTGCTGGTTTCGGGAACTACATATACTGTACACTATACAGCATAAAGTATAATCATGGTTTTGTTATTTTAGCGTCAACATTTATTATGTCTTCTTTACTTTCAGGAGAAAAAGAAAGTTCCATTCAAGACCTGTAATCATCAGAATCTGCAATGAGACAGCACAATTTCAGCTGTGAGCACTGCCATAGTATTTAGTCTTTATATACTTACTGTAGTTTTACACTTAAGTTTTATATATTTTATTGTCTATTATCTGAAATTAATTTTAGTACTTCTATAGATAGTGTGTGAATGTGAGAACTGTTGTAGTAATCTATTTCTTCAGTCACCATTTAAGAATAGCATTAATAGAAACACTATTTTACTCATTGAATTTTATACTTCTAAGATGCATCTTGTTTGAAATATTTACATACAGTATTTTAATAAGTCACTAGGCTAGAAGTAACTAAGTATTTACACTGGTATCATTACTTTTAATGTTAAACTGTGAGCTTTATTTTATTGATTAAGTGTTTAGTAAACTGTAGGAAGTTTGTCTTTTTTTCACCATTCCCCATCCAAGTCCTAACTACTGCAAACTTTAATAACTACTGAACATGAAACATCTCTGCGCTACTTGAGAAATATATCCTAGTTTGAGCATACAAATGATGGCTGCATAAGAAGTCTAGCCAAGCATTAATAAGGATTTCATTATTGCGTGTACTGTATTTTCAGGAATTATAGCAAGAGATGTAAATTACTTCAATTTTCAAAGTAACAATGAAGAGAAATAAGGGACAAATAATGATGGAAGGTAACTATTAAAAAGAACATCACAAGCAGTTATCAAAATGTGCCAAATCCTGAAGGTTATGTATAGCAAGATCATTACTAATTTGCCACTAGAAATCCAAAAAATCCAAAAAGAGTAAATAGATCAATACCTGCAGACATTCACATGCAAGAGTTGGCTCACCATTATTGAGGCACAATAAGGTTGAGAGAAAGGGTTTCAAAATGTGACTTCAGAAACTAATGAAGGAATTGCCCCGCAAACTGTCTGCAATTAGTCACCCAAGACCACCACAGATATCTCACATTTATTGAGGCTTAACCAATACCAATGTTTTTAAGACAAAAATTTATACTTTACAATCTTGGTTATAATACACTTGTTAATGCTTTGTGATGATTAAGTGAAGGCTGTTAAGTAACACCTTTCCTTGGAAAATAATTTTTTACCACTTAACCAATATTTATGCCATTTTATACTTAAAAATTATGATGATGATTTCCTATTACCAAATCTCTTAACCTTCTTAATCTTTTGGTTAGAGAAGCCAAATACTGGCTGTATTATATTTGTAAGTAAACACGATCAAGAAGTTATGCTGGGTAACTAATCATATTACACACTCCCATGAACTGGCCAATTAAAATGTAAAACCTACATGTCAAATATGCCCACTGATCTTGAAATGTATGGCGGCTCCCAGCTTGACTATGTAAATAAATTCAAATACCTTGGCCTTGAGGTGCCACTGTATGGTCCTGTTGTATTCAGACTCTGTCATCAGTATAAAGAGAAGCTCAAAGCTGTTGCAGGTTATCACTCAGGCTGGAGCCAATGCCAGAATTATAAAAGAGATGTACCTTGCATACATCAGATCTTTAGTGGATTATGCTGCACCTCTGCTTGCTTTGATGCCTGAAAGCAAGCTTGGAGGGCTTGAAAATTGAAGAACGAAGCCTTGAGGATAATCCTTGGGTGCTCTTGTACCACAAAGATACTTAATATGAGAAGGGAACTTAAAATTTCAGGCATCGCTGATCGTGTCACTGAACTTAACTGTCAAATTGGTATAAAAATACTTAGGCTAGCTTATCTTAACCATTGCACAGAAGCCCTCCAGAATTTCTTTATTTTATTTATTATTATTCACTGTTCCAAATGGATAACTAAAACTTGATCTGAACTCAAAAGGTATCAGATTTATCATGTCTACCAAGAGAGAACAATAGTGCTTTCCTGCACCATGGGAGAGTACCACCTTTCCAACCAAGAAGCAAATTAGAAATCAGCCCAAGCTTCATCTTGAGGCAAAGTTCAAAGCCTTAAGCAATATTGATGCTCTGCCCACAAAGCATTCTCTCTGACAGCATGACACTGATGGTTCCGCCCAAATTGACCTGCAGTTTTTAAAATATAATGCCTATTGGAAATATGACTCTTGAGCATTGTTTTTGAGTGGAATTCAAAATACAATGGTGTAGGGAACCACCCAATGCGTGCAGGTGAAAGTGCAGTTGTCCTGACAATGGGTGATAGCTTTTATTTTTCCTGCTTGATGGGGTTCTGGGAGTTGTTCTACTCCAAGCCTGGCCCGAGGCCAGATTTGACTTGTAAGTTTTGAGTGGGGAGCCCGTAAAAACAACAGGGCCTCTACCCTTCAGACCGAACAATTTGCCTTGCTTCTTGCACTGAAATGTGTAAAAGTCTCAAAACTTGATACATTAATAGTAAGTGACTATCATCCTTAATTGCACTCAACTCCTTAAGATATAACTTAACATGCTCGTGTCTGAAGTTAGACACACACACATCAAAATTATTAATGAAAGTAACAGAGTCCATTTCATGTGGATTTCATCTCAAATTTAGCCTCCAAATGAATGATAAGAGCTGACGAGTTAGCCAAAGAATCTGCCTTTTTAAGGAGAAATTGAGAAAGTGAAATCAACACCAGTAATTCCATCTGTCATCATACTATCATGCAAGAGCAGCCACACATCTATGCATCACCCAATCAATGGTGATATAGATCACCAGCAGACTCCTAGATGATACTACTGCTCAGTTTAGACTGCTATAAGTATCTCTGGGAATTTTCATTATCTGCAGATGAAGACCTGACCAAATTATTCGCATACCCTGCATCACAGTGATGAAGTGTAATAAAAATTTAAATAATTTAATACCAAATACAATTTTTTTGGACTGTCCCAAGAATTTTTTTGTTAGGGCAAGGATGCACTGTAGTACTGCAATTAGAATTGACAAAATCGACAGGAATTCTTGAAACTAGCAACTTCAAGGTCTTAGATCAACCGTAAAAGGTGCCATAAAGTATTAGAAATTGTTGTTTTGCAAACAGTGGTAGGTGATTAAACATATTAAATGAGAAGGGGTTGAATACCAAAACTGTTAGTAATTTCAGTCATTTGACAGTACTGGGAAGATGGGACACCCCCAAGCATAGCTCTCATCCTATAACTAAAATTAGGTAATTGCATATACATACAATGAAGAGCACTCTGGTGGCCTAGGTATGTACAGTCATTGTCATTTGCTGATGTAGGACTAGGAGCTTAAGTCTGACTTCAAATTATTTTCTGGCCATCCCATGGAATGTTGGGTGGTCAAATGGGTAAGTAAGTAATTATCAAAAAGGCACCAAACCGGGAAGGCTATGTAACACCATCAAATGCGCAGGATAATCAGAGGGCGCTAAATATCACCAAGGACGCCAATACGAGAACAGAAACGCCTAAGGCGAACAATATCAAAAGTATCCGAGTCACGAAGAGACGGCGGGGGGACGGTCGGAAAACAAGACACGCTCGTCCCGGAAGTCAGGACATTCAACAAGGATATGCACGACTGGGGCTATTGTAAGCATATGATCAACACTGGTATTTAAGCAAAATGTTAATCATTTGTTATTTGCATTGCATGAGAGATCAACAAATGAAGATAGCCACTTTTAAAGGGCCATTGAAACACCTGGAACAATAACACAATCAATCCAATCCAAATGGTTTATTTGTAACTCCCTCCATAAATACCAAACTCTCTCAAAATGATCAGATTTTATCACACTTTAAAAGACAATCAAGCTGTCTTCTATTTGCAATGGTCAACATGACATGGCAACTATGGTTATTTTTAAACAAGAGCTCCCTACCAAGACCAGTGGTGGGTTAGTTAACATGAGGCAAGGTAGCTACCAACCATCTGGTTATCACCAAACTTTGTGTCTGAAGCAGCAGAAATTTAGATAATCATGGAATACTACTTTCAGATTTACAGATTTTGTACAAAAATAATGATTCATACCATTGAGCCAACTACTAAGTTAATATATATATATTTCTACTACATCAGACGTTCCCAATTGTCTTGTAGCACCCATACGATAGTCAGCACTTAGGACTGAGTAGGTGGGCGACTCATTACAAGCCATTGTTGCTGTACATGAACACAAAACACTGGGAACAACATGCTTTAATGTGAACAATAATTGATAACCCCTTTGCATAAATGCCACTTACTTCAAACCTAGTTTCTTACTCAGGCACACCACATAGTAATTATAATAATATTAAATCAATGGTCTTGTCTTGGGGATTATCTTGGTCTCTGAGCCCACAAAACCAAGGTTTAATCCATTGACACTCCTAAATTTGCACTTATTTTACAATAAAAAAGAAGATATAGTCATTAGATACACATCAGTTATAAGTGTTTATGTAAGAATAGGAAACTTATGATAGTCTGAGGCAGTTATATCAGAAGTTAAGCTCATACAAATATTGGTTACTTTTTAATTATTAACACTTCTAATTCCATTACTAGTAAATATGATGAGATGCATTAAATGTTGAGAAAGAGAGCAAGAGAGAGAAAGAGTGAATACTAATAAACTTGAAAATTGTGATGTTCATCACTGTTTTATGAATAAAATGAATCTAACAGATAATTAAAAGATGACTGGAATTGGATGATATTTGTGTTCATAGTCTCTATAGAAGTTAACATGAAATGTTTACATGAAAAACTAAAAAACTAAAAGGACACACTTGACCTAACTGGAAGCAAACCAAATGGAACCATCAGGTCCTCAAGTGGCACAGGTTGGATGCTGACCCAGGAAAAAGGGATAGGGCAAATGGGAACACAACAGGTTTATGGTACAGGCACACAATGACCATCAAAGTCAATATGCCTTAAAACCTAAATATATTGATTGAATAGGTTTGTGGTGTGATGGAAAAGGAGGTTGTGCGAGTAGTGTATTCTGCTGCACAATACCGCTCCTCCACCCATGTTACCTGGCAGCCATTTCTTGTGCTTAGGTTGCTTAAATTTCAAGGAGTTCAGCCCCAAAGCTGCATGAAGCTTCATTCATTCACTAAGAAATGCAAACTTTGGCATCTTCCATCATTCACTACTGGAACATACCTTGTAATAATAAAACACACACTCCTGTAGTTGTAACAATGGCAAATTCTCATCCAAGTAAGCTTCAGAGGCAAACCTAACTCCACAAAAACCCTACTGACCATTAAAGGCAATCTTGCACATCGTGTATGTTTGGGGCTCCTCCAAGGTCTACAGTGGATGTGTCCTACCCTACAGAACAACACATTTCCTTCGTTTCTGGGGTTCTGGGGGCTCTAAGGCTGCAAGAATGGCTTCATCAAATACATTCTTGAGCCCTTTCTGTGTAAGTGCAGAACATTCAACATACTTGACAGCCTTAAGCTCACGGCTCAGCTTGTCACCTTGTTCATAGGTTATTGGCTTCTGTTTATTCTTGGCCAGTTTTTCTACTGTAGCAGCATCATCTCTCAAATCAATCTGTGTGCCCACTAGGAGGAATGGAGTCTTCTGGCAGTGATGAGTAATTTCTGGAACCCACTGAAAAATATTTAATCCCATATTAACAATGATTCCAGATTTACTTTTCTAAGCTCTCATCCTTTTCAGGCATATAGCACAATTTTCTTAATTAAGCAATTTACATAATTGACAAACTACCAAAACTAACCAACTCCACATATAAATCACACAGAGGACTTTTAGTGGAGCTCCACAAAACACTCCTTACCTGGTGCTAACTTTATCCAGAACTTCAATTATTTGGAAGCAAAGATATACCAATTATTCCATATACTAGGGAGGGTTGCACATTACTATACTTTTATCTTTGCTATTTTTTTTCACAATTGTGTTATTAGTAAAATGAGAGCACACACTTTCTTGCACATTTAGATACAAAAATCCTTAGGCAAGGGTGATTAAAATGGTAATGTAACATCAGATTACGTTTAAGTTTCATATACATAACAATGATGCCCGGCTAAACATAACCACATTTGCCCAGAATTCTTACTGTGAGCAATTACATGTTCTAATGCTTTTGAACTAATAATACATGGAACAAAAATATATAAAACAGTGATTGCCTCCGAAATAATTTATATGTTTAAGCAAGACAACCAAAAAGGTGCTAGATCTAATTAGATATATTACAGTACAGTAGAACCTCGATTCGCCGAACCCCTGGTTGGAACACACTGTTTCCATGCCAGATTTACTCACCTGATTCAACAAAGAAGAGTTTCCAGAAGTTGGGGTTGTGTGGATTTGCTTAGGATGGTGGGACAGAGTTCACTTATGAAGGCAACATTACAAGAGTTGGGAATTTGGGAAAGCGACTGAGTATATTAAAAACCAAATTATTATTATTTTTTTTTAATTTCCAGGTAGGGGGTTTTTGTTCAGTAAAATATGAACCCCCGTTCCTTTGAAAATGAGATTTTGAGGCTTGGATGAAGGAAATTTGCTAGATGTGGTTAATCTCTTTACAAACAGGTTCTCTTGTCGTTACCCTTCATATGACAGATTCAAATTATAATTCTGCTCGCCAAAATCAGCCCAGAGTGAGAAATATCTGGGTATGAATGGTAACTCAATATGGCTCCAATCATGTTTTTGAGGACTTTTTGTGGATGGACTCAACATTACAAGAAACAGTGGGAGCTTTGGGAAAGGTATTGAGAATATTTAAAACCAAATTTTAAGTTGGGAATGTTTTTGTTCACTTAGGTATGGTCCTGCTATCTTTTGAGAGTTAACATTGAGGCTGGGGACATGAGAAATGAGCTAGATGTGGTTAAAAAAAATTTTTTTAACATGCATGTTCTTTAGGTGGTACAGTAGTTTATTATAGGTTGAAATTAAAATTTTGCCAAGTGAAATTAGCCTATAGGATGTAGGAAATGCAACTTTGAGGCATTTCTGACTGCAACAAATCCTTCACTGCAATGAATTGGGTTTGGTCCTGTACAGTGCTGTCATTGAAGCAAGGTTGTACTGTACTATCTAGCACATTTAGAAATATGCTTTCAGGTAAGTGAAGAATATAATTTTATTTTAAATAACTAATCAGTTTTAGACTTTTTTAGACATAATGAATACCAAACAGAAGATAAACATTGCATAGAGCTAATAATTTGCAATACTCATGAATTCAGCAACCAAAATATTGGAAACTATCCCACATTATAACTCACCTTTTCCTTGACATTCTCAAATGATGATGGAGACACCACTGAGAAACAGACTAGGAATACATCTGTCTGGGGATAGCTAAGGGGCCGCAGTCTATCGTAATCCTCTTGTCCTGAAATACACATGCAAAACGACTGAAAAATTTAGCAATTTGTAATCGTACATAATCAGTGGCATACATAAAAGCTGAACATGCATAAAACATTCACAAAGGCATTAAGCCTTGGTATTTTGAAGTATCAGTATCTTACCAGCCTATTTTGGTACAGTACTATAGTATCAGTAATTTTCCAAATTTTTTTCACAGGTGGGTACAATTCTGATAAAAACACTAAATATCAATTCAGTCTTTTATAGTACTGTACATTACGGTATTAATATTGATCAAAATATTTGTACAGTATCTGTACAATTCTGATTTTGCAAGCTTTCAATTTAAAGTATTGAAACAATTTTAACTCAACCCATTAAAATTTATAGTCCCAATCAACCTTGATAATTGTGAACCAGTTACATTTTATGATATAGGCTCTTGTGGGGATAGTTCCAAAACAGTATTAACCTACATTAATACCTTTAGGTTTCTAAATTTCATTAGTTTTCTGGGGTGCTTGTCCAACTCAGCCTCCCAAAAAAACGTTATAGACATTTATGCAATTTAAGATTTTAATACAGTATTCCATTGCGTGATTTTCTACTTTACATTTTTATATATAAAATTATTGCATCACATTCTATATGTACTGTACTTTATTTTGTAGTACAATATATACAACATGTTGTAATGTAATACAACATTTTCTCAGGGAAACCCCTTGTGACTTCCTGAAGCAATGTCGCTGAGAAAGCGTTTAAATACTGTACTAAGCTACATCAGAAATGGGCATCTAGTTGGATTACTGGAGACCAGAGCCAGAACCTGGCTCCCTCAAAGAGGCACAGGAAGCAGGGACTTGGTGCAATCACCCTCATCAGGAAAGCACCCAGAAAGTAGACAGGAAAATACAGGCAACGGCCAAGGTTCATTTTGGGGCTAATTTGGAATTCTCCGTGAGCATCTCTCTTTCCTTGCCTTCTGCAGCTCTGCTCTGCCTGCAGTAGCATCACCGACAGGTGTTGGATTGGACCTGCGTATCTCGGTGATCGAGTGTTTGTGCGAGAGCCTGAACTTTGCCTGCAAAGTATTTCTTCTAGGCAGGGTTTGACTCCAGGCACTGTACTTGTTAAATGAACAAAGCCACAAGGGCTGTGATGAGGGTTTGAACCTATACAAGAGATCTTCCCAGATGCGCCTTAGTCAACTGTACCCCGACATTGTCAAAAGACTTGCTATCTGGAGTGCTACTACCATTCCTAGGATCCCAATGCATCTCCGAAGCCCAATTGGGGTACAATCGGGTTTCCACACAGTGAACCACTGATGGTGCATCCTTCTGTTGGCTCTGAATTGTTTGGTTGCCCCGAGGTGGACCTCTTCACATTGTGATGACCAAACCAACACACTAGAAGAGGAAGAGACAATGACATTTTGGTCCCTCCTGTACCACTATAAAGTCAATTGTGAAGGGAAAGATTGATTGATGAAGATTAAGCCACCCAAGAGGTGGCACGGGGAATAAATAAGGCAAGAGTGAGGTAAAAGAAGAAGGTAAGAATAAGGTGAACGACATGAATGGGATAAGTGTAATAATGGAATGAAGGAAGAATGGAATAAGCAAGAATAAGTCAGAGGAGCATATGACAACCCTAAAAAGGGTTGTCTATCTAGTATTGCACAAGTCTTCAAATTATAATACTGTACGGTACTTACCAGCAGTATCAAAAAGGCCTAATGTGTATGGTTCCCCTCCAATCATTACTGTAACTGCATAGTTATCAAATACCTGGAAATATAATTTAATGTTTTAATAAAGTCAAATTAAAGGTCTATGTTATAACTTGAAACTCGGATCTTTTTTTTTATCTTAATCATGAAAATTTCTTTTCCCTCAAAATATAAGATATAATAAAATATAATTTGTTACTATACATACCGTTGGAACATACTCGGAAGGGAATTTGTTTGTTGTGTAGGAGATGAGCAGGCAGGTTTTACCCACTGCTCCATCTCCAACCACCACACACTTTATTGTCTGCATCTCTCACGATCCCCAGCAGGCTATTAGAAATTGTACAAGTTAATTATTAGCACTGAATTTTGTGTTTCAAGTGGAATATTGTAATGTAGTTTACCAATCATTATTGAACATACAGTACCAATACTCTGTCGAGTGTGCGTCAGTTATAAGAGGAACAGCAAATTTAACCAAATAACAGGTAATGTTACGTTATGTTATTTCAGCACCAAACCCATGAGTATTTTTTGGGAAAAGCTTTAATATCTATGCTGTAAGAAGTTTAACAAGTAATAACATTACTGCATCCGACTATGGAAATGCATGTCGTTTAGATAGAGATATAACAACAAAGCTCAAATTTAGCTAGTGAGCTATAACAAAGCTCAAATTTGTCATATATTAGACAAATTAAAAAAAAAGAGACATTGAAATACAGTAATTATGTAAAAATATCTGCAGCAACCCCCGCCACACTGCCGGGCTCAAGCACACTGTCGCTGGCATGCACACTGTCAATACCCGAATGCTGCCAGATTTCTTCGTCCTATCACAGCCGTATGTCGCGCACACTTTTTTCTTTAAGTGATAAAGGATTGCATTTTAACAATATTACAACAAAAAAAGTTCTGGGAGATATAATTTTTTTTTGTGCATAGACAACATGTTATTAAGCTACTGTGCAGTGCTGTAGTTTAGCTATTGGCCAGCAAGTAAGCCTTAACTTCCCAAGGGTCATTCACTGAAGACCAGCTACAAGTACTAATAAATATTAAAGCACTTCAATCACTCCATTCACCATTTTCAAACAATTTCTCTTGAAATGATTATTGTTGTTCGTATGAAGGGCAGAGACAAGACTTCTCACAGATCTCATAGGACAAAACTAAAATACTGAATACTTATCTTACTTTAATTAGGGCAACCACAACTCTTTACATTTGTAGAAACCAGCATTTTTCATACACTGGTGTGTTGAAGTTTGGAGGGAAAATCAGAATGAAAGAAAAATTTAAAGAAATTGTCGACGTAGATTTTGGAAAAGTATTGTTCATAAATAGCCAATACCTGACAATGCTAAGCGACAAGCTGGTAGTCAGTAGTTTGGGTGGTTGTGTTTTTTCAATTAGCTGGCACCAATTTTTTTTAATGTCTAAAAATCACAGTTTTCCTTGATAATTTTGGTGCCATGATCAGTGTGATGTGAATTGAATAATGCCTTGTTCAATCTGCAGCAAGTTGTAAAAGACTGAAAAACCTCTGGATGAAACTCGGTAATATATCTTTAACCAAGATAAAGTTCCACTTCAGAATGCAAAACAAATATATCAAACTAAATGCTAATATTATAGCTATTGTACATTTACAACATTTTCACAAATTTAAAAAAATTAAGTTTCTAAATATATATTTGAGTGAAATATATTGGAACACATGAAGGAGATACATCTGTGATTTGTCTATTCTTGTGTTATATAATGGTTATCTTGAGATGATTTCGGGGTTTAGCATCCCCACAGCCCGGTCCTCGACCAGGCTACCTTTATGTTACACACACCCAGGAAGCAGCCCGTAGCAGCTGTGTAACTCCCAGATACCTATTTCTGCTTGGTAACAGGGGCATCAGGGTGAAAGAAACTCTGCCCATTTGTTTCCTCCTCAAACCGGGGATCGAATCCGGAACATTAGGACTACGAATCCGAAGCGCCAGGGGCCTGACACTTAAGCTGTCAGGTCTCTGTAGTGGTATGTAATTTCCATTCACAAAACAGGTCAGATACGATTAAATAATTTATTTCAGTCATAATATAAATGCAATCAATTGCAATTGGAGAAAATCGACATTTTTGTTGGAGCGTACTTCGTTCACGAAAAGCAAATTACTATACATTTAACAACTTATTTACAATTTTAAATGTTTCCAAATGATTTTAGTATTAGAATCAAAATGTAAAAAAATTATAGCCTATAATACCGTATATAAATAGAAAAAATTTATATTAAAGTCAGATTTTATGCAGTTTTGTTATTGGAGTACCATATTAAATGGTTTACTTGAGCAAGACTTCATTACCCAAGGAATCTGGATATACTGCACTGAAAATAGGTTCACAGGGCACAGTGCCATTAAGATACAGTACAAATCTACTGGGTACTGTGCCACTGGTTCACAAAGAATCATTGTAGTACATTAACTATACATGAATAGCGCAAAATGCTATGGGCCTCTCCCAGCCATTTCATTCAGGGTAACTTATTTCCTGAGGCTATTGACATTTTTCCCAACTGGTAATTTTCTCCATAAATTTGAATTTTTAACACTATACACGTATTTCATATTTTTTAGCAGGTTTACACATACAAAATAACACGCATAGTCTTCATGTACAGACCCCTTGCACACGACAACAAACCATCATCTGTGAAGGTTAAATAATGTGAGTTAGGATGAGCTGCTTGCAAGGAAATCACAAGGAACCAACTGGCATTGGTTCCTTGTGATGTGGCCTTTCTGCACTATTCTCACTTTATACAACCATGCAGACAGTGCTCTGCCCCTATAGGCAATCAGTACAAGCCTTAAATCTCCGTCACTTGTCACGGTCACTTTGCACAGCCACATTATAAATGTCCAGTAATTAGTTGCAAATTCACATAGGGCCAAATCATAACTATCATATTAATAGTTAAACTGCATTCCAGTAGCCGTGCAGCTAATGAAGTTATGACCTAACCTATCCTAGACAACCTATCCTCACTACCACAATGAAACAGGTTTATTCTTGCTTTTTCTATGTATCACATAATGTGCATTTCTGGGCATAAACATGGATATGTAGCACAACCCTAGGGTACACACACGTCTCACGAACGTGTTAATTGTTAAATCCGTATAAGTCGGAACGTACGTTTTAAAATTAAAATCCACCGATGAACTATCTTGGGTTTGAAAGGGGAACAGTCCAAAGGTAAGGTAATTATGAGTTCAATACGGTATGAGATACCTATCACTTCAAAAGGTAAGGTAATTATTAGGAGGAAGTGCCAAGTCATTATGACTATAGCACTTGGAAAGGATACGAAGATAAGGATTTGGGATACAGTAGAATGGTGCCCAATAACCTGGAACATCGGGGATTGAACACCGACCTGAAAGAAGTGAAGCCGTTGTTGTGCCGACTAGTTCAAGTGGTTGAACACTTCAAGAGACGGTTTACATACAGATTGCCAAGGTAACTATTGCAAAGGTACAGTAATTTTCAAGAGAAAGTGCTAAAAATATTGCAAAACATTACCCGACCCATAATAGTTATGAATGTATTACGAATGAAATGAAATCGAATCTTAACAAGCTTCAAACTTCAACAAGATTAGGATGATGGATATATAAAATATTTAATTCCCAAATTTTTTCTACAAAATGACTAATGGTCAAAATGCCTTTGCAGGATAATATTATAATGAGGTTTAAGACCATTAGGCTTCCATTTTAATCTCAAAGATGGGCAAATTTAATCATGATAAAAGATATAAAACAAGATATATATGAAAACACTCATGATTAAGAATCTTCTTAAATTCAACTCACTCAGGAACGTTTCCTCCTAAAATTAAAAACCAAACCATTTTATTTCGTGTGAGAACAAGCCATGTGAAGAGGCTGCCAGGAAATGCCATGATTCACCCGGACCCTCCCCGCGCCCTGCCTCCCCCAGTGACACACCTCTCCTGCTGGCCTGGTGCTGGTGGGCCCCCTGGCCACCCCGGGCCCTCACACCCTCACCCCTCACCATCACTGTGAGCGGTGAGGCTCCATGGAGGCTCCTGCCCACCTCACCATACACGGGGGGAAGAGGGGCAGGCCACACCGGGTCTCTCATCATCCTCGCCTCCCCAACCTTTATCTCCCGCATATAGAAAACAATTACACTCGAAATCATGCATATGGAAATGCAAAAATGCCATACTGGAGCTCGGGCTAACACCTTGACATTTAATTTCCTAACGTCAAGTTGAAGTTTTTTTTTTCAGCCATCTTGGCGAGCCCCGCCTTCATATCCAAACACTTTTCGCCGAAAACTAGACAAAAACCTTCACGCACACCGTACTCTATATTCTCGGACTACCCATGCACAGCAACTATGGTGAATAACGTGTACATTTAGGAGATAAGCCAGAGTGTAAATGGAGGAGGTAATGCCTCACCAGCTGGGCGTAGTTCATCAGTAACACTACTGCCCTCTGCCGCCTGCTCTTGTAAACACTCCTCCTCCCTCCTGCCTCATGCATCCACACTCACAATTTCTACCATTATATTTTCCTAATGACACGCTTCATTTGATGCTTTACGTTGCCTCAAATACATTTTAGATACAATTGACAATGTTACAATATCTCATATTTGTATAATTGTAGCATTAAAGGTACAATAATAAGAGTGTACTATCTGTGCTGACAATCTCTGGAGGTCACCTACATTCTTCAGGAGTGACCAGTCAGATACTCACATTTAATCTCTTTATTCACGAAGAAGCTACACACAAGTATTGTACCTGTTTAGATGAATACATATAATACAATAACACTTGCAATCTAGATATAAAATTTTATATAAATATAGAGAAGAAAATAATTTAGATGTTCAACGGGACACTTCGCACATATATTTTTACCATTTCGGACATAAAATTTGTATGTTTCGTATTTATATAATTGTTTAATATTAAAACCACATTATAATGTTATTAAAATTTAAAATCTTCTACTTAACAGGCATATAATTATTAAATAAAATTTAGTGATGTAACGGACATAATCCGGGCTTGGTAAGACCACCGCCCGCCAGCGTAAACACTACACATTTGTGCGTTCGATCATGTTTGTGGGCACAAACATGATCGAACGCACAAAATACAAGACTGTAGGAAGTTATAATAATAATAATGCTTATTCAGGTAAAATTATATACGTATAAAATTAGTAACAACAGAATGTTGGATTTCTAGATAGAGCTAGTATATATATGCTATACCTAAAGCCACTAATACGTAAAGTGTTTCGGGCTTCTGCCAAATTAATAACGAGCCCGTAACGGACGTATGACTGTTACGGGCTCACCATATCCCGTGCTACATGGGCACTTCGTTTTGAGTAGCTAAATCTGAAACAACAACAACAAATAACATTACATTGCAGCAGATTGATGAAGAAAAGGACTTTGGAGTCAAAATCCACCCATCAAAGTTGCACAATAGGTGCGGACAGCAGTCAAAAACGTTAACCAAACACTTTGAATAATCAAGCGTACTTTTAACTTTAAGGAAAAGAAGATAGTGATTCAGTTGTAAATTCAGGTATAAATCTCTGGTATTCTCCCATTTGAATTACTGTATCCAAGCATGGAGACCTCATCTTCTGAAGGACATAGCTGTCTGGAGAAAGTGCAGCACCAGGCAACAAAAATAATTCCATAGCTAAGTTAACTCACGTATCAGGAACGGTTGAGGGCCACAGGGCTAACAACACTACAAACCAGGCATTACAGGGCGGGTCTCATTGAAACTTAAAATACTGAACAATTTGGAGGATATTGATCCGGACTAATTTCTTCAAAAGGTCAGATGTAACACGAACAAGGAGCAACGGTTTCAAGCTCAACAAGCCACAATGTAAAGGACTGTAGGACTGAGAACAGATGTTTTTTTCACCCACAGGGTTATAAACCCATGCTAGTTTAGTTCATTTACTATGCACCCCATACCCATCTTGTGGGCGGTAGTGAAAAGGGTTACAGAGGCATATAATGGGTTCGGTGACTAAACCCATGGAACTACTTACTCTTTGAAGCCGGAAAATGCAAAAACTCTGATAAATTGTAAAATCCAACTTGAAAAGATCTCCAGTGCAAGTGGGTAGACCTTTGACAAACCGCCGGCTTCCTGTCCTCGTCGAGGCCTCTAGTGTGTTACTTGTATTCAGATAAATTCAGTATGACGAGTAACTCAGTTTGCTTAGTATGGAATTGTCTGTGTGGACAGCCTGTACGTTTTCTGTGGTGGTCGGAGAGGTGCCGGCACGTGTTACAGGGGGGACTGTAGAGGATGCATGGTTGTTGTGCAATTTGAATTATTTATTTATTTATTTATGCATATACAAGAATGTACATAAGGAATGTGAGGATACAATTATGGTAATTACAGTCTTGTAAAGCCACTAGCACGCGCAGCGTTTCGGGCAGAAAGATTACAGTATTGGAGGCTGGGGCTGGACCCAAGAGTGTACGGGCCCACCATAGCCCGTGCTACTGGAACTTATTGTTCTGAGTAGCGAATCTTAAACAACAACAACAACCAAGAGTAATAGTTATACGGTGATAATTGGAAGTCCATTGTGCAAGATAAATTCTGGAAGATAGTCAGCAAAGACAGCTGCTTTTGTTTGCATTGATTGCATGCATTTTGTTTTTGTTGCACGTCAATGAGTTCCTCACTAGAAAAAGGCACGAACTTTTCTATAGATTCCGACAAGCTCGTCATAGCAATGAATTGAAAGAAAGATACTTTGTTAGAGTTCTCATTGGGAATTCCCAATGAAGTTTTAGAAACTTTTTGGGTATATTTTGTATGTAGCCCTGGAAATTCAGCTCGTTAATAAGATCAAGGAATTTACCACCTACTTTCTTACTAATTTGAATACTGTTAATTCCTAGATTAATTTGATCAGAGGATTCATTACCAAACAAAATATAGTAGGTTTTACCAATATTAAGGGTGAGTTTGTTAGCAGTTAGCCAAAGATGGACTTTATTTAGGTAAGTATTTACTGTCATTCATTTTTTTTTATTAATAAGTTTAGGTATACACAACAATGTGCTGCTACCCTATTATATACGAAATATTACACAATGTAGATAAAAAACTAGCTATAAGTTCATCTAATATTCCCCTCACAGGATGGCTAGTCATACATGAAATAAGGAGAAAAAATACCTGCATCAATACAAAAAATAAATCAACTCTGACTAAACAATAACTTTACGATTTTCAGAAAAGTTAAGCAATAAATCATGGAAACATTATAATTACTCTTACCAGTTTCTACAAGATTCCTCTCAAACACTCTTTTTCTTTTCTTTTTTAAACAAGCTTAGGTATACATAGCAATGTGCAGAATAAGAGGGTTAGGACTGGAGAAAATGAAGGTTGTGTCATCAGGAAATAAAATTGACTTGAGGTGTTGAGAGGCATTTGGAAGGTCATTAATGTAGATGAAAAAGAGGACAGGGCCAAGTATACTGCCCTGTGGAACACCAGTTGATGGGTAGGGTGGGAGAAATTGAATAATTTACAGACATACTGGAGCCTGTCACTGAGGTAAGAAAGTGACCTCTGACTTCATAATTATGTAATTTAAGAAGCAGGTTATTGTTGTTGTCAAAAGCCTTAGGTACGTCAAGAAATAACCCAACAGCGTTAAGTTATTTTTATCAAGAGCTGCTTGAATTAAGTTAATTATAATAATCAGTGCATCATTGGTGTTTTATGGAGTCTGAAGCCATATTGGCAAGAGTCAAAGTATATTCTGTTTAGCTGGATAAAAGTAAAGCTGCTTGTAGATTAACTTTTCAACTATTTAAATAATGTTGACAGGATTGATATTGGTTTGAAATTGCTGACATCAGTGAGATCACCACTTTTATGGACAGGGGTTACTCTATTTTTTTTTATTAGAATATCTGGAAAGGTTTGAAGTGCAAGTAATTTGTTGTAGACCAATGCAATGGGCAGAGCTAAAAATCTATAGACTTTTTTGTAAATTAGAGTCCGTATATCAGCAAGGGCACTTGACTTTAAGAGAAAAAATTATCACATTAACATCAGAGGAATTAGCGGGAGTTAGGGACAGAGAGACTGGATAGTTTCCTGTAAAGTAGTCCTTAACATTAGTTAGGGATGCATGCTGGGATATTATTTGCAAGAACTCTGCCAATGGATAAGAAGAAACTACTGAATTTAATGTCAGTGTCAGAGATAAATAGTATTCCATCGTCATTGGCTAGCATTGGTTTCTTATTCAAGATCTTCGATACAAATATTTGGTAAATAGTGCTCCACGTTTTCTTCATGTTGCCCCTAGTTTGATTGAATTTATTTTCATAGTTTAGTTTAGCTCTCCTAATTATTTTAGACAGCCCCAAAGAGGACCTCCTTGAAACTTTTTTGGAGATGACCCTTAACCTCTACTTACTTCTCTTTGTTGCATTAAGTGCCCATGAGTCAACTGTGTGGGGCCAATACATAACCCAGCCAAAGACATTCTCTACTTCCTGTTTCTGTGGATATAATCTCTGAAATAACTCTGTAAAAGAATGTTAAAAAAAAAAGAATGAAAGAATACAGGTTTACACATTTGAAACCTTTTTAATATATATCAAGATACAATACATATGCACTAAAACTAGATGCTATTATTGAATCACAAAACATGGAATGCCTAATATTTTTAATATGTTAAAAATCTGCTCAAAGTTATCATTAAGCATAATGTTGAATTTTTTATGGAATGTCAAGAATTAAATTAGTATTTTCTCAGTTACCCCAGCCTACTTTCCAACTTGTAATTGCTCAAGTAATCAGCTAAGTGTAATTACATGATGAAAGCTACACTTGTGGAGTTCCATCTTTCTAGTACTCTTATCATATGATGCTTTGAAACTAAGTTTTGGCATCCACCGCATTCTCACCTAATTTGTTCCAACCGTCTACCACTCTGCTGTATTTGGAGAAAGAGAACTTTATAATGTTTTTTCAGCAGCTTTGTTTCCTTAACTTGATTCTTTGCTATACTTACTATGACTGTTTTTGAAGTTGCAGGTTGTGGATGACAACATTAAAGGCTTTCATGCACTCCAGAAAGATGTAATCCAGTCACCATTCTCTCTATGGCCATATCTTGGCAACTTTATAAAACGTGATCAAGTTCTTGAGGCATGCCTTTCTCTTTCTAAAACCATGTTGTCTCTCAGTTTCAAAGTTAATCCTTTCCAGATGTTCCAGAATTCTCTCCTGATTATCTCCACTATTATTTTAAATAGTACTGTATACAGGTCCGTGATAGAGGTTTGACTACATGTGTGTATTTTTTCTTAAATATGGGAACCAGTTGGAATCTAGCATAATTCTGGTTAGTCCTTATTTGTTAATGACACATTGTAGATCTTAGTCAGAGGGCTACATAGTATTCTGCTGCCTTTTCAATATCCATGGTAAAATCTATTCTCGTCCTACTGTTCTGCGTACATCTAATTCTTTCAGGTATTTCTTTACCTCCTCCGTTACTACCATATTCTCCATAATATGGCTTTCATCCTACAAACAAACTGTGCCAGCCATCCACTCTAGCTTGATCTAGAATATTATATTGAGTTCTTTGCAGACCTCCCTGTTGCTTTTGGTGAGGACATTTACATCCTTTATTAGTCTAATAATTTAGTCCCTTAGTGTTTTCAGCTTGTAAAGCCATGTCATAGCATGACTGCTCTTTGTTTTTAGCCACTGTCATTTTCAAACAGACTCTTGGTGTCCCTCCAGACCCTATTGTATTAACTTCTAGCAGTCTTTTGTGCCTCTGCCTTTGCACTCTGTTGTTGGTACTTTTTCTAAACCTTATTGTTTCTGATTTGGCCACCTTGTACCGTCTCTTAAACTACAAGTTAGTTTTGTTGTTTTCTAGTTCTTTCCTGGGTGGCATGTACATTAATATGGCCTTCATGATATTATGTGCTATCTGTGCAGTGTTTGTGCTCCTCCCACTTTGCATGACATGTTTTTATTCCTTCTGATAATGTTAAATGATACGGTTAGTGTATGTACGTCTCCAAGCCACTTAACATGTTTGTACTCCACCTGCTCAATCTTCGTATTATGTTTGAGGTCCTCCTAGTCACTCCCATGGTGTGTTTGAGCTCTTACTGGTTACTTTCCATGGACTGTTTGAGCTCTTACTGGTTACTTTTCATGGACTGTTTGAGCTCTTACTGGTTACTTTCCATGGACTGTTTGAGCTCTTACTGGTTACTTTTCATGGACTGTTTAAGCTCTTATCATCATCATCACCACCACTTTGCACAGTGTATTTAGACACATGCATGATGTCTTTATACTCCTTCTGGTCAATTTGCATCTTTTTAAACACTGCATATTTTTGGTCATGGTACCTAAGGAAACAAGTATAAGACATACTGTTAGTATATTGGTCTCCACATCTACAATTTTAAATGCTTATTCATGTACTTTATTTTGGGCAAGTAAAGTCAATTTACAATATTAGGATATAAAATAGATTGGAGAATATTATTTTTAGACATGTGAGCCAATTAATCTGAAAATATTTATTAATAAATCAGCAATAATCCTTTATGATTTTGAGAAAACATGGAAACTAGACGACGTTCTGTACGCTCCTATATCTGGTTGTTCAACTTTATGTTTATTGAGGGCTGTCACACAGGCTGTTGCTATTTGGTACATTTTGGTTTGTACCAAACAAGAATGAATGAATGAATTCTCAACAGCAATGGTCTGTTTTGTTTTGCTGAATATATATATACACTATAATAGTCACATTAACAGGAAAAAGACATAGCAGACAAAGGATAGAACCATTAATGAAAGGAGAAAGAGAACTTTCATTTTTACCAAAGTTATGATACAGGGAAATCACCTTTTCCTAAATATCTCAGGTCTATAGCTCCGAGCTGTCCCTCCCATTGCCAGGGCTGCAGCAGTGACATCAGAATAGTTGCCAGATGCACTTGCTGCAAGCATGCTGGCTCCAAGTAAAACTGACTCCGTTTCATCAGGAATGAGCACTGGAACATCTGTCAAATGTTATGCATTTGACATTCAGTTAACTTATAAAGAACTACAGTACATATTTGGATTCTGAAATATAGAAAAGGTTATTAAAAACTAGTTTTACATGAAAGTTATATTGTAAATTATTTAATTACTACATATATAGTCTACAGTATCTTATAATATGAACATAGTATTATGACATACTTCTTGTCTGGAAGACTCGCATCTATTTCTTGTTGGTACTGTAGCAAGTACCTGCTGCATTTTGACCAGTGGTCATCATAAGACCCCATAATGCTGTCATCATACTTTGATCACACCTGAGTCCCTTCAAGACAATGTAGCTAGAGCTCATTCAATACTGGCCATTACACAATTAACATTTTCACATTCTGATGATGCATTAATAGTACATCCAACAATTTTACTTAATTGTTCTGATGCCCCAAAAACATGTCATCTCATAAAAAATATCCTAAAATTATTTCACTTCCCATCATTTATACCTGATGATGATGCAAGTCACACACCCATTTTTTTATATACAGTACATACGTAATTACTGTACTGTACTGTACTGTACTGTACTTTTCTTCGTAATTCTTTAGCAAGTCCTCAATAATCACTAACTTGCCAAGAAAATATCCTTTCATTATATTTTGTGCCGAGAATCCTTGGAAACATTCATCTGTTATTTCACACCATTAAGCTCACTGGTGACCACCACAGATTACACAATTACATCATTGCTATAAGCGAGAATGTCTGTCTGTGTCTGTCTGGCTGGCTGAGACAGAGTAGGTATATGGATGGATAGATGGATATATTGTAGGATTGATTAATGGATAGATGAATAGGAAGATGAATAGGCAGATGGATGGATATATATATGGATAGAAAGATAAGTAGGACAGATAGATGTATGAATAAATGGATGCGTGGGAGAATGTATACGATATGATTCTTATTTCAATATAGCAGACAGCATAGAATTTATTTATTGGCACACACTCCCACACCGTGGGGGGGGGGGGGGGGGGTGTTACCTTATACCTTGCAATTACCTTGCATTGATTTCAAGGGTCAAGGTCCTCGCAGCCCAGTCTGTGACCAGGCCTTCTGGTTTATGGTCTGGTCAACCAGGCTGTTAGATGTGACTGGTCACAGCCTGACATATAAATCCCAGCCTCCTATTAAGAGGAGCTTCAACAACACGATAAAATCCAACACAGGCAAGTGGCGTGAGTACTGTTCATCAATTCATGTCATTTAAATAAAATTTAAAAATTCCAAATAATTCATCAGACAACCCATTTGATATTTCATATTTGTTATAATAGCACAGAACAATAAAGCAAAATATCATAACATTTTTAGTAAACTACAAAATAAACAGTTAAAAGACAACTCCAATGCAGAATGCTACCATGAAAAATACAACCCGTTCTCGCAAATTCGTAAAGTCAATATTGACTTATTAACTACGTGCATAGGTGATATACTAAACATAATAGATACCCTTAAAAAGATTCATAGAAAACACCGACCTTACCTAACCTTGTTAGTATCTTAAGATAAGCATCTTATTGCTTCGTAATTACAATTATTACTTAACCCTTAAAGTGCGCATCACTTCATATGAAGTGTAAATCGTTTTACCAGTCAACTGCGCTTCACTTCATATGAAGTGTATGGGTACCGCGCACGATTTGAATGGCCCGCGGTGTAGCTGGGGGTCCCATACGCTGCCCAGGGGCTCTAGTAAACAGCGGCCATTTTGAAAAAAAATCCAGCTCATGATTCGATGGCATGGGAGGCCTCAGTTTAGCGAGAGTCACCATGGCGAGCGCACGGTCAAACGCCTCACGGGCACGCACCACTCAGTCCCTCACCCCAGAGCAAATAGCCCACGAATTATTCTCTGAAGGTGAAGAAAGTGTGTTTGACGATTCAGACAACAATGAGGATTATACACAGTTGTCGGGTGATAGTAGCAGCAGCAGTGAAAGTGAGAATGACCGCCATGCCATGGCGAGGCCTATACGCTCTCCCATGCCTCCTCGCCCATTTTCTACCCCAATTCTACCACGACCTCACAGTTCCTGTGGATATTTTCTGTTTGAGGGTGACGAGTCAGAGGGAGGTGACTCCTTTTCTGGGTTTAGTGACTCAGATCAAAGTTTTATTGAGCCTGTGGCTGGTACCAGTGGTGTAACTGGGCGAGAAATTGTCGCGTCAGCAGCATCTCGCCCGGCCAAGCGCCACCGCATGGCACCACATGAGGGACCAAGACCCTCGTGTTCACGTGCACCCACCTCACGTGCACGTAGCCGCCGTGCTTCTCGCAGACGGTATTCAGCTCCTGGTCGCCGGTATGCATCTCTTCCTCGCCGTCTTTCCTCTGCATCTCGCAGGACGCCTGGTGTACTTGAGTGGAGTGATGGTGACGATTTTATTCCTAATATTCCTCACTTTGACGATAAAGATGTAGGGATTACAAACCTTTTCCCTAATCAAGGTGAGGACATGGCTGAGATGGAATATTTTACAGCATTCTATGATGAACCACTCATGGAATACATTGTACACCAAACGAACCTGCATGCTGCTTACCTGATGGAGAGGGAAATCACAGAATTTTCACGACTGTAGCGTTGGAAAAATACCACAGTGGCGGAAATGTATGTGTTTTTGGCACTCTGTTTGTTGATGAAGCACTGTCACAAACATGCAATAAATGACTATTGGAGCAAGGACAAGACAATACCAACACCTTTATTCGGGAAATATATGTCACGAGACAGGTTTCAGATACTCCTCAGGTGTCTACATTTTGGAAGTGTTCAGGACCGAACACCTGATGATAGACTGTGGCGAGTGAGGCACTACATGAACGATGTTATTGGAAAATTCAGAGATTTTTACGTACCAGCACAGAAGCTGGTGGTCGATGAATCTCTCATACTTTTCAAGGGACGTGTTCCATTCAAACAGTACATTCCCTCAAAACGAAACCGATTTGGCCTGAAATTTTTTGTTCTTTGTGATTGTGAGACAGGATACGTGTTACACATGATTCTGTACTCGGCTAGTGATGTAGACATTCCCGGTAACGACGAACATGGATTCTCGGGGAGTGTAGTGAAGACCATCATGGCTCCGTGGATGAACAAGGGACACATTTTATACACAGATAATTACTATACAAGTCCCTTGCTAGCTCGGTTCTTGCTAGAAAATAGAACCGGATTGGTTGGTACAGTAAAGCCACAACGAAGGGAAATGCCTGTGTTTGACAACGACATTGCAGTTGGTGAGTGTCAGAGAAGGAAAAGTGATAACATTCTGTCAGTTCGGTGGAAAGACAAAAGAGAGGTGAACTTGTTGACAACAATTCATGATGGAACAATGGTGAACAGTGGGAAAGTGAGCCATAAAACAAACGCACCACTATATAAGCCAGACTGTGTTTTAGACTATAATATCAACATGCGGTTGATTGATAAATCAGACATGATGATTGGCACTGCAGAGTGTGTGCGGAAGACATGTAGGTGGACGAAAAAAGTGTTCTTCCATCTTGTGGACATGAGCCAGCTGAACTGTTTCAACATGTACCTTGTGAGAACTGGACGTAAGCCCACTTTCCGTGACTTTGTATTTGATGCTGCAATACAGTTATTAGGAAAGTTTGCAAAAGATGTCCCAGGTATTCAGCGGCCCATCATAAACCCACTGTTGCAGCATGCTGGTACTCCACGCCTCGCTCACACTGAAGGCTTCCTAGCACACAAACTTAAGTATTTGCCACCTGGTGTGAAGCGTGCAATAGCCCAACGTGATTGCTTGGTGTGTAAAACAACGACACGTAGAGACAAGAAACGGAAGCTTGTGCAAACATGGTGTGAAACGTGTGGTATCCCATTATGTGCTGTCGACTGCTTCAATGACTACCACAGTCTAGAAATCTTCTAAGTGTGCTTCAAAGTGTGTATAGCGTGTGCGAGTGTGTAAATATGTAAACATATAAGCAGATAGCGTGTGCGTGTGTGTAAATATATACAAATATAAGCAGAACATACAATATAATAGACTGTAATGACATATTATATTGCCGTAATTGAAAACATTTGTGTGCGCCTGTGTATACTCAAATATGCAACAATTATTGATACAAAATATGTTCAAACAGTATTTGAAACACAATTAGTGAAAAAAAATTAGATAAAATGCGCTTAGACATTGTAAATAAATAGCGCGAAAATATATTTGTGGCAACTCTGGCTGTTTGAGGACCGCGCGCAACATCTCCCGGGCGTGTACTGCATGAGCGAACATGCAGATTGTGACGTCATCACCGAGCTTCTCGGCTCTATTGCAACAAAAGTAAGTACAATAGAATTTTTTTTTTATTTTTCCCGTGATCAGTGAACAGAACTTAACAGATTAGCAAAAAAAAAAATTTTTTTTTTTTTTCAAAATGACATGCGCCTGTGTGGATAGCAGGATATTAGACCCCGAGCATGTTAAGGGTTAACCTATACCTATTATAGGTTAGGTAATAATTGTAATTACGAAGCAATAAGATGCTTATCTTAACATACTAAGTAGGTTAGGTAAGGTCGGTGTTTTCTATGAATCTTTTTAAGGGTATCTATTATGTTAAGTATGTCACCTATGCACATATTTAATAAGTCAATATTGACTTATTAAATTTGCGAGAACGGGTTGCAACAATACTGTGTTCATATACTAACCAAGGGCATCGACATGAGTACTGATGAAGAGGGGAGATTTGGAGAGTCCACCACACAATAACACACAAGTAATGTTGTGACCGGAGGTTGTTAGCTGCTCTATAATTTGTCGAGTCCCATACTGCCATTTGCAATATAAAAACATGCAGTTAGTTAATGCACAATCATGTGTATGAGCCAGTTCTGCCACTGTCCATCTATTTGCATCCAACAAACCATCGTTTATTTTGATGTTGGATGATACATAACCGTTTCCTATTTTTTTATATTCTATTCTTGTACATCAATTCCCACTAATGAACTGAGTTTCAGCTGGACCATCAGTTCTAGTAACATGGCAACAGAGAAGGCTCATTAAACATGCATATGATATAAAGATCAGGGAGGATTATTTATTGGTATGAGCACAAAAGTTCACACATGTCTCAAGTACATGTTAAAAGCTAGTTCTATTATTAAAATGCTATGCACAACCCAAAACAAAGCAATTATGCTAGTAATTTGTATAATGCTAATACTGCACTTACAACCAATGCTTGCAGAGTTGCAACATACAGCAATGCCAAACTCTTGCTACTTGAATCCAGAGTGAGACCACATACCTGAAATAGAGCACATAGTATTACTGTAAAAATATATTTTCACATCTACAGTATAGTATTTCAGTTACTAAAACTCTAGTGCTGTATGCTATATTGTGCATATCTGTATATACTTTGGTCAATTTACATTTTCCAGTGTTTCATGTTATAAGATTTATCATAACACTTGCAATATTATTCATTTAGATTTTTCAGTGTCCTAAACATTAAGTTAAGTTTTTAAGATACAGTACCTTTAAACATCTTTATTTCAATTAAACTGAAGTGCATATCAGATGCAATAAGTAGGAAAAGGTAGATGTTAAGATTTTTTTAGAATGACCAATCCTTGAAAAAGAAAGCAATGTGAAAGAAGTTAAATATGATTAATTGTTATTTTGTATGAGAATTTTGTACATTAATGAATATATTCATCTTGTGAATCCAAAATCTACTGGAAAACAACATAATAATAATTTGCATTTGTACTAAATACTGTGCAATGCCTCGCACCGTACTTGCTGACCAAGGGAAGTGTTGCGGCACAACACAGGATGCCACCACATTTACTGAATAAAGTACTGAAAACATACAGCTAAGTACATACTGATTTAAATGAATAGCCAACACATTGGATTATGATTATCAACCGAATTGTGGTAATACTGCACAAGATAACAATGTAACATAATACAAGAGCTTGTGCACACACAACAACAACAACAAAGCACTCTTAGCAATTGTGTACTCACCTAGTTCTCACCTAGTTGTGCTTGCGGGGGTTGAGCTTTAGCTCTTTGGTCCCGCCTCTCAACCATCAATCAACAGGTGTACAGGTTCCTGAGCCTACTGGGCTCTATTACATAATTACAAGACTGTAATTATCATATCTACACTTGAAACTGTGTATGGAGTCAGCCTCCACCACATTACTTCCTAATGCATTCCATTTGTGTGGTCAGTTCCTCATGCATATGAGACCTGATTCATAGTAAACGAAAAGCAATAAATGCCCCATTCTAAGTAGCACAATATTATCACTCCTGAGCTCATGGGAGTGGTCCGTCTAATTACCTAAAGTAACAAAATTGTCGCTTGGATCGTCGATTTCTTATTGCATCAGCAGCCACCTAGTTTCATCTAATTTAATTAGAAAATATTATTTCAGAGTAAAAATATGTTTTTTCATGTTCTACATTCAGCACCAACATTGTGAGTAATATATCATATTTCTTTATTACTTTTGTAATGCTAGGAAGCTTTGGGTAACTTTGGGTAATTAGATGGACCCCATGACACTGGTTCTTAGAGACAACATGGGGAACCTGCCATGTCCAGTATATGTATAACCTTAATTATTTGGTTTCAGTTTTTGTCGAGTTTGGTTACACATAAATAGGAGCTGCCTCACATGAGCCAATAATACTTCTGCAGTTTCCTTTATTCTTATGTTATTCTCTCAGTAATTACATTTTTATATCCATAACAAGAGACTGACAATAACAATGCTTAAAAATATGTAGTTTTAAATATACTGTACTACAGTATTCAAGCAATTTATTTCATAAATATTTGGTTCCTATTAATAGAGTATTACTTATTATCACATTACCTGCTTTGTCCTCCTCTAACCATCAGTGTAAACAATTCAGAAAATTAAGGTGTATCCAAAACATTCTCATCTACACAACAATGAAAAACATGTACTCATATGAAGAAAAAGCCCTAGTGTACACACCATTCCCATCATGGAAGGGTCAGCCAGAGGAGACCTGTTGCCATGGAAGTCTGGATATACGTGTAAATCCTTAGTGAGGTATGTGGGACTAGACACGAAGTTCATGTCTGCCATTTCTTCCAATATCCCTTCAAGCCATTTATAGACATTTCTGCAGATTATTTCATATAAAAACATTATTACAAATAAATTAACATTAATTTTTTTTTAAATTAAGCAAGAATTAAAAAAATTAGATTACAAATAAAATACACTATAGTAATCACTAATTCAGATTCTAAGGGGCAAACCCCATCTGAGTTATAATGAAATTCCAGTAACTTGATTTTAATGTTATGATGATCTTTATATATTACAATTACTGTTTATGCTCAATTATCCAAAATACTGTATATGGGGCCTACGCCCATTCAAGTTAGCCGGACATTCCACTTAGCTGGACATTTAAGTTAGTCAAATTTTTACCTGAAAAGTACAAAAATTAAAGTATTTGAATTTATTTGGGTATTCATTTGCCAGATATCTTGGTAACCTGAATTTTTATTCGCAATCAGCAGTCAAAATTTTAATTCAAATTTATTCAGATTACCCAAAGGTTCAGGTTATTGGAATTCAGTAAGAATGCATGAATTCAGAAATTCATGATTCTGGAATGCAGGATCAGAATTCCAGAATTGAATTCCCATTTTTAAGGAACAAAGCTGGCCCCCCCCAAAAAAAAAAAAAATTTGAATGTAATGAAACGCCATTTACTGGGTAAGCTCTGGAGGCTTCCTGGAGTTATCGGACTGATATACACTATAATAGTCTGGGGCTTCAGTCAATGGAATTCTGTCTACTGGGGACTACAAGCCAGAACCTGGCCCTCCTCAGGGAGGCGCAAGGAGCAATGGCCTAAGGAAACCCATAAAAAATCTAGATCTCGCTCCCCTATGGTCACTGATGGGTAAGCACCAGGTGAATGATCGAGTTATGACACCAACTGATCAGTGAGCTCCCAGTGTTGCCAGCTGATGGTGGGCAGCTGCTATTAGAGGGTGAGCAACCTAACTATAGGGTGGCTTGTTTTCTGAATGGTTTAGAGTGTCATGCTGTTATCTGTTTTGTTACATTCTACCTTTCTGGTGACTGTTTCCTCAGTGAGGGGTGATCAAGGCTCCCCTGCTCTCTGCACCTCTATGAGGGGACCAGGTTTCACTGTACAGAGCTTTATTATTATTATGCAAACTACCAGGCAACAAATGCAGAATTTTAATGTGAGTATTTCAGCTGCCCCACACATTGATGCTTCCTCAAGTAAGGGATTTTTAGGAACTTTTTCTATTGAAAATGCCTGGACTTTTCTGAAACATATAACCCCTTTTTTAATTTAGATAAGAAAATCTGTTGTCACATATATAAGGAAAGAAACCAAGATAAAGAAAGCAACTTTCTTCTTACTTATCTGTGCATTCCTTAGCAGCGGGATGACTTTTTATAATGTGATCTATAAGGCTACCAGTTGAACTCTGTCCACCCTCAGTAAGCCAACAGCCAGGAATCATTGCACTGTAGTAAGGTCCCCAAACACCCGGTACAAATATGGGATCTACACTCACACACATGTGACATGTTGATGTTCCACAGATTAGACCTGGAAACAGTTATGGAATCACTGTATAGACTGTAGCACTTTAGAGTATATCAAATCAAGCACTGAATATAATGAAATGCCCTTTTCTGGTGGAGATAACTGAGCAGGTCCTTGAAACATCAAATGATGGGATAACTACACCCACTCAACACCACAAAACTAGGAGCTGCTAGAGTAAAGGTTGCTATAAAAAACAAGGGAACAACCAGACCGCCTCCATCACCAGAAGAGAAGACCCACTAGAAATAGGCTATCATTGTAGACCTGTATCGTTTGTTAAGTCTAGTATCTAGTAACAAAAGAGACCAATCATCACTAAGGTCACCACAAAGGCAAGAGCCAGTATCATAGACCAGAGGCCCCAAAATGGCAGAGACTAGCAGTAGTACATTGGGGTGGGAAGATGGCAGCCCTGCAACAACTAGCAGAAAGACAGAAGCCACTGTGAAACTACTCAGTTAAGTGTGGAAACAAACGGGAAAGTCGTAACAACCTGACTGAAACAAAGAAGACAGGGATGAAGGAAACCATCAAGCTGATGGTCAGTTATGCCAGGCACAATAGAAGCTTGATGGCAGAACCCCAAAACTTGACTCTAGATGCCTGGCAGGAAAAAATAGGCAGTTATAAATAAGAACAATTAGCAAGTGTCCCTTCAAAAAGTGCAAGGCCACACAAGAGCAGGGACAGGTGCAACTGTAACCCCAGCACACAACTAATACTACACTCCCTATCAACAGGCCTTGAAGTGCAGAACAGGTCACAAGCATTACGTTATCTAGAAGTGAAGGGTCTGAAGAGTGGTCAGCTCATAGAGAAGGAACCCAACCCTTCAGAACATGCATCTCTAATGGGACAGGGCAAACAAGAGCTAACTACCAGAGAATAGAAACCTGACTGATGATGAAACTTATAAACAGCTTGAAGGGTTCATTAATGAAGAGAACAGTCATCTGTAAAAAATCTGTAGGAAATAATTCAGAATGCTCAAAAGATAAATGAAAGTGTAATTCAACAAATAAATATAGAGGACATTACAGAATTTACAAAAAGCACAAACCACTTTTTCATGAGGATTAAGAAAGTTTTCTGTAGTGATGGTAATGAAAATGGCACAACTCTGACCTTTCCCAGCTAACATTAAAACGACAATATACAACACACAGTGTGCACTTCAATGTAATATAGAAATACACTGTACTGTAAATTGTGGGGAGGGTGCATCATACTGTTCTGCATGCTAGGAGTGTGATTTCCAAACTTTACAAATCACCTATAATTCCCATGTTTCTGGTCCTGACCAGTGTGGGAACAAGTCTATACCATTATTCTGATTTATTCACTCACATTCTTTCATAAAATACTTCCACTAAACACAGTCCACATCTCCTCTAATATTTAATGCAAAACTTGCACTTTTCACTATTTTATTTAGTGAATGCAGGAACATAAGTGAAACCATAGCAGAAATCCCAACAGAATTGGTAAATTAATATATAATTTAAACAATAATAACTTTTATGAATGGACAACACAGTGTACAACAATTACAATATCTCATTTTCCTTACCTAATCTACCAATGAGATTTTTCTTGGACGTAGCATCGGCAGCCAATAGAGCAAGGCCTCCTGCATGAGCATCTATAATAGATGTTGCAACATGTGTACTCTCTGAAAGTCCCGACTCAAGAGCTGCAGCTGCTGACAACTTGCCACACTGGGTTCCCGGGGCCAACACAACCTTTCCTGATATAAAACCCAAACTGAGGAAATGAATTTGGTTGTAGTCTATTTTTAATGCATACATGAACAAAATTAAAATTTTAAATTTTTAAGTTATATAATGTCAACATTCTTAATATAATAAATCAAATAATGAACACAGTAAGCCTCACATAATTATCTTGAATGTAACTACAACACACTCTTAATTGAAAATAATTGTGGATATTTAATGTGGAACATTCCTATGTAAGGTATAAACTAAGAATTTATTTCAAGAATGCTTTGTTGATGACCTAACCTTCAGCCATTTTATTGTGACTCATCGTCTGCAATGCTATGTTATTCTCTGAATTATATGTACTGTAAATGCATAATAATAATAATTTTCAAAGAATGTTTTAATGATAAAACATTTATTTATAAATCTCTTCCTGCCTCTCTTCTCACAGCTGTAATTACACAACTGTGTAGTTGTTTCTTGCTTCTGCTTAAAGTGTTGGTACATGACTGTCTCCAGGATGAGGTTTACAAATCTGCCAGTACAAATGTCTTCCATTCTTGCTTCATATACCTCACAGTCTATTGCTTTCAAGTTAATGTCACCAGGTACCAACAATCATGATTTATCTTTATCAGCTCTTATTATAATCTCTCATGACCATTATGAGGCCCTCTCATTTATCATCCAGTTCCTCCTTTGTCCATGTGTTGCTTGCTGGTGGACTGTAGGCATTTATGATTATCAGTTTATCATCCTGATTACAAACCTGCAATGCCATTATGTCAACTTCTCTTGGGTTGTTGATAACTCTCTCTCTTACCTTGAAGTGTCTGTTCACCAGCAGAGCAACACTTCCACCTTATCTAATTGTTCTGTTATGTCTCCAAATTGAGAAGCCCTCAGGAGTATGACCTCATTTAAAAGATTTTCTTCAAGTTTTGTCTTTGACAATATCTGGCACCTTAAGTTGAATTATAGCTTTTAGCTACATATTTGTTTTTTCTCATTCCATCTACATTAGTATATAAAATTTTCAGTAACATGTTCTCTAGCCCTTTATGTCATTTGTGCACATGTATGTGTATGAATATGAACTTATAAAAGCAAACTAATATATAGAATCTTAACACTTTAATGTTCTGTCCTGTCGGCAAGTACTCGACCATAAATATACCGAGCATCTCAAGGACCAGCTGAGCAACACCTAAAGTGCTTGTACTCTATGTTTTCTCTTCTAACATTGCTCATATATTTCTAATATTCTTCATTTGACAACATTAATTCTTTTTTGTTTAATGTAATGAAATGCCTCTTTCCGGATGAGCCCCAGTGCTCCCTGAAGTTATCCTGCTTAGACTGATGCCAATTACTAGGTCACATCCGTCACAGTTCTGTTTGGCCAGAAGGGGTACCACAGCTAGAGCCTGGCCTCTCATATAAGTGCAGAGAGCAGGTGACACACTGCCACTCCACTGGGAAAGCATCCAGAAAATCTACTTACCAATTCACACCACTGCTAAGTTAAAATGAACCATAGCCCACAAAATCGTCAAATACTTTAAACTATGTGAACAAACGATCAACACTTTTGCAACTAGCTCAAACTGGTTAGTACCAAACTACTGTCACCAATGGGGCCTGGAGCCCCAGGGCTCCCACAACCACCAACCCCCATCCAGGTTACTTTTGGACTATATGTAAAATCTCAACCACCTGATCCTGGTTGGGAGGGAGGATATCAAGGAGCCACTGGCATTTACCCAGAAAGTGGCATCTCATTACATTCAATGCCGGTTTTCAAGGGAAGCCCCTTGTGACTTTCTGAAAGATAGCATAAAAGAAGTCAAAAGAATAGTCACTTGTGACTTCCTGAAAGGTGGCATAAAGATAGCAGTGAAGAGCTGCCAATGGACACAACAAATGATGCGCCCCTGGCTGAACCAGCCAAGCACCAAGATGCAAGGGACCCATCTGGAAAGTGTGCCGACTCAAATCTTTGCCAAAAAATAAGGGGAGGGCTACAAACAAACAAAATGCCTACCAGGCCTAAATGGACAAAACCTATGCCTCTAAAGAAAAGCTTGAAACTTCCTCACCCTACAACAAGTGGTGAGAGCCAACAGGAACACTGCCTTGAGAATAGAAACTTGGACCAAATGTAAAGCTGTAAATCATAAACAAGACAAAGATGAGGATGCAGTCAAGAGGACCAAGATGGCTCAGGAGCATAAGCAGACTAAAGTGAAACAAATCCCAGGACAAATTGTGGAATGGCACCGAGGCAGCATAGATGCTGAATCAAAACATCAGTGGTTCTGGCAAATGCTGAACGATAAAAGGCGACAGTATTAGGCATGAGATGTTGGTTAAGAAATAACCTAGACAGAAAGGAGAGTACTGTACAACCAAAACAGCATAAGAAAGATGACAGAGGAACAGTCTTTTCACTGGAAAGACAGAGGAACCCAGTGAAAGACCACTGTTGGATTCTTTTTGAACCCAGCAATGATCTGCACTGGAACAATGATTTTCTGGATGGTTTCCTGGTGGGGTGATGGAGTATCACCTGCTATCTGCTCCTCTGTGAGGGGGCAGGGCCACATTCTGGTTCTGGTCCTCAGTAGGCCAAACAGAACTCTGCAACTGATGTGACCTAGTAGTTGGGAGTAATCTTAGCAAGATAGCTTTAGGGAGCTACAAGAGGCTCCTCCCCCAGAAAAATATAAAAAGTATGGAAATGTTCACACATGATGTCCACACATACATCTATATTGATGTAACAAGTAAAATATAACTTCTTTCAGACTTTTCTGGCAGGTAATTTGCAAAGCATTGTAAAAAATACAAGCATGCAAATTACATTTTGAGTGATAGATATTTGGCTAAGGTGATCTCTGGATGGTCCAGATGGTCTGGATGATAAGCTATGCCCACATTGTGCTAAAAAAGAAGGGCTTTTTCAAAATTTTGAGATGTATGTTGTGTTTTAGCATCTTCGGAACATTTACTGTCATAGGTACAGAACACTAAAGTGTTAGTAGAAATCATACACACCAATTTTGTTCCAGTCATCATCAGCTAAATCTTCCAATCCAATGGCTTTGAAAAAGTTGTAGTCCCATCCCTGAGTCTGTTCATCACACATGTACGTCCACTTGCATACCAATGAGCACAGTGACCTTTGGAAAAACCAAAAGTAAGCTTGACTAAAAAGTAAACTGCAAAAATAAAAACTATTATACAGTACAGGTATTAGAAAACTTGACTGAGTGATGGACTGCAAGGAATGCTCGTGCCCTACTGAACATCAAAAAACATGTATACTTTACGCAGGCGATGAGTCACAATAATGTGGCTAAAGTATGTTGACCAGACCACACACTAGAAGGTGAAGGGACGACGACGTTTCGGTCCGTCCTGGACCATTCTCAAGTCGACACTCGACTTGAGAATGGTCCAGGATGGACCGAAACATCATCGTTCCTTCACCTTCTAGTGTGTGGTCTGGTCAACATGTATACTTTACATCCACTCTCTGAACTTCTGTAGTGTCAAATATAACTTGCTCAACTTAGGGACTTCATGAGATGCCTCAAATTGCCTCAAATCAAAGTTAGAATATTTATACAGTGCAATTATTGTTTGCCTTATTATCCAAGGGTGACACATTTTCTTCAAGAAGTTGCATTTATTCATTCAGGTGGGATTTTTCTGAGTTTTGCCTTGATCTCTGAAGCTCACCTCACCCAATAGAGATAGCTAAATCCTGGTCCTGGCTCCCAGGAGGCAAGGGCGAGTCACAAAGGCCTGATGAACTTTCAAAAGGCTAGGCTGGATCAGAGCATAGTTCTGGGAGTTACTGAGGAGGCCCTCCCAAAAAAGACACATGGATAGAAAGGCACAAATGCACACTAAAATAAACTGCTATAAACCCCCTTCAACATGAACAACAACATATATAGAAATTTGAAAATAACTCACCTCGAAAACTGCCCTGTGGATTTCAAGGTCAGGAAATCTGGCAAGTCCAAGAAGTGGGCGGCCATAGCCCATGTGTTTTTCATATGCTTCTTTAGCCAAAGGAGCTTGGGAGTCTGCATTTCTAGTGACACTTTCCCTCCCACATATTTCAATACACTAGAGACAAGAAAACAAAAACATAAAACATCTTAAATATGGTAGTTAGAAATCTTAAAACAATCTGGAGTAATGAACAGAGTAAATACAGTATAATAAACATGTGATGTTGGTGGTTGTATTTATTGTGACAGCAGTTATATTTATTGTGGATGTAGTTATATTTATTGAGATGGCGACTATATTTACCAGAGTTTACCGGGTAAACTCAGTTTAACAACAATGACTCAGGTCCCTGCTTGCCAACTACCATGCAACAAAATCAGCATGAACGTGAAGTTCTTTAACTCAGGAAACCCAGATAGGAAGGGGTGCTGCCACATGGTACTGGCCCAAATAATGCAATTAGAGGTTAGCAGAGCCCTCTTCTTGGTGGCCACTTGTAATGCCAAGGGAGGGTTTAAAGGGTTTTTAAGTTTTTATAAAGAAACTTCTGTTAATCATCCTTGGCTTTGTAATGTCTTCTAAGGTGACACCCTAGCACCTTAATGATCCTGTAGACCAACCTAAGAAGTTCCCTCTGGTTCCAGTGCTAGAAAATAAATTTTAAATGTTCCTTACTTGTGATCCTGGGAATTGATAAATTCAGCTTCTTGCTTTGCTCTATGATCCATCCACATCACTATATTGAAGTTGTTTTTACCTGAAATATCATAACTACATTATATAACTACTTCAATCATTATGCATTACCGTACAGTACTGCACAATTTGTGCATCTTATGAGTACCTTTTCTTATTTTATTTTCCTAGCCAGACAAACCAACAATTCTCCAAGTACTGATACTTATCAATTAATTTTACACATAAGAGGCTGTTCTGGAAACTGAAATATACTGGAAGAATAACAGGGAGACTTCTGATATCGATGAAAATTTTTTGTAACCGACATAAAAATGAGGGCAGTTATCAGAGACAATGTATCAGGCTGGAGAAATGTTACTAGTACAACTGGGTTCGGTAATAGCATCAGTAATGTTCATTGTTTACATGAAGGATCTACTAGAAGGAATACAGAATTATATGAACATGTTTGCTGATGATGCCAAACCGGTAGGGAAGATAAGAAATAGACAACTGTCATACCCTTCAAGATGATCTGGACAAAATGTATAAAGCAACACTTAGCTGATTGATGCCTTTTTCTCACACATTAGTCATTGGGGTCAGGAAGGTCAGCTGAGGCTGTCATGTTCTCAGACTAACTGGGTCATTAGTTATTATATGTATATATTATACATGTGTTATTATGTACCGTATTGGTATGGTAAGAATTGTGATTATGGTGGGGGGGGGGGGGAAGGGGGAGTATCAGTGCATCATATTTTTATGCAAAGTCCATAGCGACTTATGTTTTGATAGAGTACTAGTGACTACGTTTACCAAGTTCCTAGCAAATTTAAATTTGCCATGTTCGCAAAGACTAAGTATGTTCGGCCCATAGTGACTTTAAAGTTTTGGTCAAATCCATTGATTTAAAGTTTATGACCAATATTGACTTAAAAGAATTCGAGTTTGTACTATTCTTACGTGTATCTAACTGCGGTTTAGTGCATCAATGTTCTAATAAGTACCTTGTACTGTATATAATGTAAATATTACTGTTTTTATATTACATGTTATTGCACTTTTATTATGAACTCACCCAGTAAACTGGTAGTCTGTCTGATGTAGTTTTCCCTTACACTAAACATATATCTTAAGGCATTCAAGCATTCTTTACTATTAACCAAGACAACACGAAACTTACAGGAAGCCAAGGGTTTTTGCCCAAAGTGCTATGCGTGTTAGTGGCTTTGCAAAAATGTAAAAACACCAATACTAATAAGCAATGACAATCGAATATTAGGACAAGAAATTTGCACTTAACAAAAAACACATTGTCTCTATTGACACAAAAGATGAATAACTGTTTTAAAAAATCAATCTGCAGACAGAATTTTACTTGACTATCAAACCATAAACACCTAGATCTTGAGAGTGTGCCTAAACTGATCATGCATACAACTATAAGAAAATCCTTTCCATTCCCCCCCCCCTTCCTTCCCACCAAAGACAAAAGTTGACTTACTGTATTTACAGAGCTCTTACCAGGACTGACAGCAATGGGCTCAAGATCCTTATCCAATACTACTAGAGAACATGTTGCAGTGAAGCCCAAACCCTGAATCTGGGACTTTTCTTCTATATCACAGGTTACAGCCTGAAAAATTTAGTCTGCATTTTCTTACAATACTGCCTTACCAAGGGTCTAGAATCATGTCTTTATACCCTCTTTTCAGTATAATTTGTTTATCAACAGATTGATCTACTTGCTATATTCTACTTCAAAATATTAATTGAGAGGCTCTTCAACAAATACTTTTGGTATATTTCTACTAATTTTTTTAACTGTCAAGTGTTATTTGTGAGTGCACATACATGTGACTAATAATGATATAATGTATACACACAACAAGCTCTACTAAAAGAAACTAGTGAATGGGTAGGCAACATCCTTCTCACCCTCTCTGCTGCATGATGTAACACTTCCATGGCTCTATACACAAGTTAGGTCAGCTGTCTATTGTACACCAACAATAGTCATAATATAATTTATAATGAACAACACAATCACAATAACATGATGTATCAATGAGAACATACTGAAACAATATAATGGGCTCAAACTCACATCCCTGGACTCCCCAACCAGGCTGTGATTCATAGATCAGGCTGTGAACAGCAGCATCCAACAGCCTGGTTGACCAGTCCACAACCAGGAGGCCTGGTCGAGGACTGGGCCGCGGAGACGTTAAGCCTCGAAATCATCGCAAGGCAAGGTAACCCAGATCCATGCACTATCAACTGAACTATGATAAACTCAAAAGTATCTCAATCAGAAGTTCTACATTATTTTCTTAGTGTTTCAAGGATCCATCCAGTACCACATGGCTCGGTCGGAAATGGATACAGTAATTAATCACTTCCTGTGGCAACATATCAAGGAGCCATTCAAGAGAAAAAAAAGAGAGAACCCACTAGATAACCTATATTAGGTGTTTATCCAAAATAAGGTAGCTATAGAAAATTTTTAATATGATGTGCCACTAGGAGCCAATTACCACTATTACTGTATTGGATATGGGAACCTGCTAGAACAGGAATCTACATTACTGTATTTACATTGAAGGCTTTTTTTTTAATGTCTAAATTGACTAAAATATATCATATTAAGATATAGTAGTTATGGGTTAAAAAAAAAAGTGAAAATAGAATCCCAGGAAAGATAACAATAAAATAATTATTAAGTTAAAGTAATCATACCTTCACTGACTGACATACAGCTTGCCATATTTCATTGGAGTCTTGCTCATAATAGTCAGGCTTGGGGTTAGAGACAGTGATAGGGACACTGTGAATTCCAACAACAGCACCAGTGTGCCTGACAAGAGCTGCACGGACGTTACTCGTACCAACATCAACTCCAACATAGTATATATCTGCCATAATTGCACTGAAAATGTATTTAGCAAAAATCATTTTATTGCACACTGCAGCACATATACAGTAGTTCATTACAGTATCTTCATTATATGAAATTGAAATTGAAATTGAAATAAGTTTATTGAGGTAAAATACACACAAAGGGATGAGGTAGCTCAAGCTATTCTCACCCCATTCAGTACAACGTGTTAATATATACATATACACACATCACAAATAAACATATTACCAAACATTCTGAGAGGTAAAAATATACATTTCCTCCCTCACAAGTAGTATGGTATCAGACGTACACACAAATACTTTTATGACCTAGGTATACTGTATAGACAATTTGCAAGACACCTGCAGATAATTCAACAAAATATTACAATCTTGGTGCAAAATTCTTATATCTCTCAAGAATATCATCAACCTTTCCGTTGTGACACATCCAGGCTATTTGTTCAGGAACAGTCCTTATCTCAGTGTTTCTATATACACTAATCAACGGACAATCAAGAATATAATGGGCAAGGGTGTGAGACCTTAACATACCACATAGTTTACACTTCGTGTCATTACCATGAACATCTATCCCATATTCCCAGTAATATTTGTACCCAAGCCTGAGCCGCATGTACACAGAATCACTCCAAGCATTTCTCCTTTTACCATAAGTGAAATGGGTGTTTTGACTCACATACATGTAGTGTTGCATGGTTTGACTACTCTCATACATTATCTCTCTCCTCTCCACTCCCGCCTGTGCCTGAATATTTCTGATTTTGCTTCTTATTTGTCTCATTGTGAATTCACATTCAATGTCAACTTGTGGTTTTGATGTGGCACGTTTGGCCAAGTCATCCGCCACCTCGTTGAGCTCTATTCCAACATGAGATGGAATCCACATGAATTTCACACTATAACCTTTCAGCTGTATCTCAGTTATTCTTCTCTTACAGTCCTCCACTATAGACATGAAGACTGGGTTTCGACTGTTTAAGGACTCCAGTGCTCCTCGGCTATCGACAAATACAAAAACATTTTTGTCGTCATGACGTACTTCCTCCAAACACGCCAGAATGGCCTGCAGTTCAGCTTGTGTGGATGATATATAATTACTAAGCCGGAGTTCAATTATCCTGTCCACAGTCCCAAACTCCGTATAATCCCTTATTAGGACACCACACCCTGCCCTGCCATCCTCCGCCACCGACCCGTCGCAATATACATGTAAAGTGTTGCCTCTTGGTAACCGAGATATCATGCTTCCATACAAACACCGTAATTGTCCCGGTTCATGATGAATCTTTTTCACCTTGAGGGGTACAATTTCGACGTCTATTTTCTGTACTTTCCAGGGAGCAGACATATTACACTTTCGAGAGGGTTTACAGCAGTCAAGTACGTCGTATTCCCTGAGGTCATGAGCTAATCCTCTCGTATAGCGTGTCTCCCTCAGTTTCCTGGAAGTGTGTACGTCACTCAAGCAGGTCTGAACGCTCTCAAACAGCTTATCCCCTCCTTTTCTCCGCATGAAACGAATAGATACTCTAGTGTTAATGTCACGGACTCTATCACACACACTCTGTAAATTTAATTCTTCATTATATTGTACAGTATTATGAATGTATTTTTGTGGTGTGAGGTACTGTATGTAGGGGTGCTATACTGCTAGGTCAATTGCTCTATCAACACCAACACAGAAATGTATTGATAATTTGCCACATAAAACTGTTCAAAATAAAATGAATTCAGCTGCAGTTAACCTGAAAAGAACAGAAATAATATCTTGTATATCTTGCAAGAGTGCCAGCTAACAGCACACTGAAGCTTCTGATAAGGCAGAAATGATAAGCAATGGGCCTAAGATCATACAGATAAAAAGATACGTAACGAGACTGACATTTATATAAAGATACATAAGCATATACATTAATATCCAAGGATTGAATTGTGAATAGACAAATAGATTTACTGTATCTACAAACCAAGTATTCAATGTAATGAAACGCCTCATTCTGGTAGAGCGTTGGATGCTCCATGAAGCTATCTCAGTTAGATGGCTCCCCACAATGCAAGAGTTCTGTTTAGCCTACTGGTGAAAACAAAAAACAAAACAAACAAGCAACACTTGGTTCAACTAGACCCCTGGTTCTTAATGACAACCCCCCCCCCACCGAATAAAGGTTCCTCTCCTCATCAGGGCCACTATATCTATAGTGGCCCTGTAAATCCTATAGATCTATAGGTAAATTCAGGTAAATTAATGTATTTCATGAGAAAGGAAGTGCTTTAAAATCAGCTTATTATGACCACTAATGAGGCAGCAATCCCAATACTAAATGCTTCAGTTACTGCAGTGTTATTTGTGTATAAAAAAATATTGTTCTATATTGTGTAAGAAAAATGACTGACAGATCATCCAGTCTCACTTGGCTAAACGTAATCAAGAAGCCCTGAAATTAAAACACACAATACCTGCTTGATACCTGCTGGATGGGGTTCTGGGAGTTGTTCTACTCCCCAAGCCCAGCCTGAGGCCAGGCTTCATACCCAAGACTTCTACAAATTAAGAGGTATTATCAGGCAACATCACCATGACAAGGCAACTGAGGAAAGGATAGAACAACAAATCAATGAATCTGTATGCTGCTACAACATGGTTGCAACTGACAATCCCAATTATTATGAATGAAGAGGAGGAGGACGCGGGAGAGAATAAGTAATAGCGAGAATCTGTCTTGGATACAAATATCCATTGAGATTCGGAATGGAAACAATAGCTGAGCAACAGAGTTGCAGAATCTGCAGTGAGTGACAGACACCGCCTTGACCACTACCTGAGAGAGTGTGGACATCTAAGAATCATTAGAAATATGTGTAGAATAATAAACCCCACATAGTTTGAGTTAGGAAACACTATTTGTCAAATATAGATACTGTTCTTAAAAGATCCCATCATTTTGCACCTGTAAGATAACTTAAGATTTTAAGGGTTGACAAATGCTGTCATTTTTTTTATTGTTATTTTTTTCTCATGTGTATTTCATATATATAAAATGCTGAACTGTAATGTCAATCCTGACCTTAAAAGCTTCCTAGAAGGTTGTAAAATCCCATGAGCACCACACCAGAAACAAATACTTATTTGATACTCCAAGAGTACGACTTAATCAAACTAGAAATGCTTTACAAATCAAGGTACCCAGAATAGGGAATGACCTTCCCAATCATGTTAAAGATTGTACCTCTCCCAACCAGTTTAAGATAAAAACTATGCACTACCTAATTAAATCCCTAAAATGTCAACCCATGTCTACTATTCTAAACAATGCTGTTTGTTGACCAAATTGTATTTTGCTATTTTTTTCTGTCATGTTCCCCTACTTTTTTTAATTTTTGTATTTTCTCAACTCAATTTATACTTTAATCTCAATTAGTATTAAGTTTTAGTCTTAAGTGTTTTTCCTGCCCGAAACGCTTTGCGTAATAGTGGCTTTAGGCATTGTATGTACTAGCTTTATCTATAAATCCATCAATGTTTTGTATCTCACCTTGTATGTACTGTATGTACTTTAACTGAATAAATACTTGATTTGATTTGATTTGAATGTTAATCTTGTTTGATAAACTGTTCACTTAAGACAATTAAGCAAGTCCCAGTTATGTCTGGGTACAAGTGACAGGATGAACAACCCAGCGGGGTTTCTTCCTATTGGGGAGTGTTGTACACACTGCTATAACGGTGTGTCCACTCACAGGATGAGTGCCACTGCCCAATAAACTCGCCCCTCAGGGCCAAAATTTAAGGCTTGCGAAGGTCACCGCTCCTCCTCCTCCTCCTCCTCCTTGTTGTTGTGGTGTGTCCGAGGGGCTACGACTGACGGTCTAAAAGTTATCTCTAAATTCCGCGAATTTTTCACATTCCATTATATAATGACGCAAAGTATGCGAATAACACCATCAATAGTGTCCAATAAATGTGTAAGTACTTCATTCATAATGATGTGCTGCCCGAAATCTTAGCTTAGTATACATACATATACATACATATATGTACTGTATGTATGTACATGTATGTATGAGTATGTGTACATGTATATATAACATTAATAGTTTTGTAACTAGCGTCAAAAGACTGTTATTTGCTTAGCTAAACGAACTAGAGGGTTCAGTTCCTGAACCGATTATGAGCCTCTGTAATCCTTTACACCACCGCCCACGAGAGTGGTATGGGGTGCATAATAAAGAAAGAAATTGAAAATCTAAAAGTAGCAAAATTGTAATTAAAGCAAAATTACGCAAAGCGTTTCAAGCAAAACTTAAAATAATTTGTACAAAAATTATTCAAATGTGTGAAAGGGTAAAAACTCTTTAATACTAAAAGAGAAGTAGGCTAACAAAAATTGAGAAAGTTCAAGAAAATAACAGATGAATGCAATAAAAAGGTAATAGTTAAAGATGACAGGCATATATACTATTACATTATGGAGTCAGTAGTTCTACCAACTGTACATTAGTTTGTTTACATTAATAACAGAACGTAAATACTCTAATGAGTAATTTACAAAAGCAACTGGAACATAACATAGAGTAGAGTAATAAAGTATAATTTAAGTTTAATGTAATAACCCTTGAAATATAAATTAAGATCAAAATAATTTTAAATAATAATTATTTAAATATAAAATAATAATTTGCAGTTCCCGTGGCGCAGTGTTAAAGCACTCGCCCGGATACAAATCCAGACCAAATTTTTTACTTGCGAAGCACCAGTCAAGTGTTTTACCACTGCGCCACGGAGACTTTCTATCTTAGAAAGCAGTGAGGAGTACCGCTTAGGCAATTCTCTGGGAATTATCCCTAGCCTGTATAAGGTGTTTCATGGACGGTTCCAAGATTCAAGATATGTTTCAAGAACGGTTCCAGGATATGTTTTAAGAACGGCCTCAAGATATGTTTTAAAAGCGGTTTTAAGATATGTTTTAAGAACGGTTTCAAGATATGTTTTAAGAACGGCCTCAAGAGATGTTTTAAGAACGGTGAGGTGTTTTTAAGGAAGAGGGACAAATGACCAACACTCGTTGCATTGTGCAACCGATAAAAACAATGTATATATTTCTTATCAGCTGCTGATTCATCACCATTTTTCAATATACAGTGACGGTGTGGTTGTTTTCAGGTCGTTCAGTGGTCACAGCATTCAGTCATCGGGGTGGTGACATCATGTTGCGCTCTAGTAGTGACATCACACGTTATGCACCACCGAAGTCAACCATCAACCCATCCATTATTTTTGCATTCGGAGTCGAACATGATCATACAACTTCCTTATCCACCACACGCTGTTGACAAAGGTTGCAATGTGGGTTGACGGGAGACATGCACGCCCATGGTGGTGGGCGTGACATGGGTGTGACACACATACACACACACTTTGGGGGCCTGGAGGCTGAGTGCACAACACTCAGGTGTCGTAATCCTGGGGACCGGGATTCAATCCCCGGCGATGGCAGAAACAAATGGGTAGAATTTATTTCACCCTGATGCCCGTTACCTAGCAGTAAATAGATACCTGGGAGTTAGACAGCTATTACGGGCTGCTTCCTGGGTGTATGTGTGTGTGCAAAAAAAAATTTAGTAGTTAGTAACAGTTGATTGATTGACAGTTGGGAGGCGGGCAGAAAGAGCAGAGCTCAACCCCCGGAAGCACAACTAGGTGAATACAGCGGCTCACCTGGCGTGGGGGTCACGCCCCGACGCCAGAAAGTTTTGCTGTAACTGTCAAGAGAAAATTTGCGTAATGTGACGCATTACTTTCTCCACGTCTGAGGTTGAGACACGGACGTGATCTACTGTCGATGGCAGGGATGGTGGTGATGGTGGTGGTGGCAGTGTTGGTGGTGGTGGTGTGGTGGTGGTGGTGGTGGTGGTGGTGGTGCTTACCTAACAGTGTCTACCGGGGAGTAAGGTCTTCCTCGTTATGCCCCGCCTAATTGTCTTGTTGTGCCTATTGCATTACAATTTAACTATTCTGACTTTCAAACTCTTTGTCGAATTTGGCCTTAAAGTTGTGGATGGAGCATGGGTTGCGTCGTCTGCAAAGATTGACTTACACGAGTTCATTCCTTCAGGAAGGTATTCACATCAATTAAGAATAGTAGTGGTCCAAGGACCAACCCTTTGGAGACGCCACTTGTTGCCTTCCTGCGACTATATGCTTCATCTCTGACTGTGACTGTTTTCTGTGCTTCAGGTGGTCCTTCAGGTGGTCCTTCAGCTGGTCCTTCGATTGACATCGAGCTGGGAGCGAGCTAGGGAACAGTGATCACAAATAAATCAGATTTAGCATAGAATGGAATAGATTTGTAGGAGAAAATTATGTTAAAGTGCCAGATTTCCGAAAAGCTGATTTTAATGACATAAGAAATGTTTTAGGTGTAATAGATTGGAAAGTCCTAGACATGGGGGGTGGGCCGGTCTTGGAGAGAGACGTGAACCCAGCGATGGGCGACATAAGAAAGGATTTCGACCTGCATTCAAATTATAGTTTATTTAAAAATATTCTAAGCAAAGCACAGGAACGTTGTATACCAAACGAATTGAATGGATCGAATAATAATAATAATAGATAGCGTAACATAATAGAAGTAAGATCCCTTGATTGTTTCAAGGGTAGGCTAGACATATATACATTATATATATATATATATATATATTGGGAGATATAAATAGGAGCTGCCTAGTATGGTCCAACAGGCCTTCTGCAGTTACCATCATTCTTAACTTGTTATGTAATACTGAGACTACGACAAGGAAATATGTGAACAACTGAACACGAGGTCTTCGCAGGAGTACCTTTAAGAACAGGAGAACACAAGAGTTGACAGATGTCAGGCTAGTGGCAACACTGAACGACATAGTTGTCAGTGTGGAGGAGGTTAAGACCAAGCGATGGAACTGAAGAGTTATAATGCACTGTTGTAATGGTTGGTGATAATGTCATTGTTGGAGATGATGTTGTTGTTAGTGTTGATGTAACAAAAGCGGTT